TGCTAATTTTATCTGATAAACCCATGTGCTTTTTCCTTACATTTAAAAACCTTTAATGTCACCCATGTGACAATAAATGAGTTCTCGATACCAATACATGGCACTATTATTGCATGCACAACTCTGTTTTACTTTAAAATGGTTTGATTGCCATGACAACCAATTAATCCAATGTGTCGACAATTATAAAACCACACTGCAATCATTCACGAAGTCCAAGTCTTGTAAAAGCAAGTAACAATGCTATTTATGGATAAACAAAAAACAAGAACACATTAAGAGGCTCATTATCTGAGGGTATCAATTGACAGACATACTATTTATGTTCGTTTCGTATTTCTTATTTTTTAAATTTCATTTCAGAGTATGTCAGGAATTGAATTTGATGAAGAGGTTTCCACAATCTTTAACGATATGAAGCTTAGAAAAACCTTGAAGTGGATTACCTTCAAAATAGAGAATAAGAAGAAAATCATCAAGGATCAAAGTGCTGAACCGAATGACAATTATGGCGATAAAACGCAGTTCGATGAGATGAAGGCCAAACTGACTTCTGAACCACGATATATTCTCTATGACTTCAAATTTGACTCAAAGGAAGGTCGCAAGATAAACAAGATTGCTTTCATTTTTTGGTACGTATACAGCCATCTTACTTGCTGAGGCATTTATTTCTCGATTCTCGTTCAAAACGAATAAAGTTAAAATTTCACCTTCCCCCAAACGTTTTCAGCACAAATATCCGTCCTGATCCATTTTTTTTATTAGATGTTAGGTGGGATAAAGAGCATTGTGTTTCACACGTACGCCGGTGTGTGTTTTGCACTCTATACTTTCCCGAGTCCTAAGAAAACAGATCACAAACGATTACTCGGGTGGGATTCGAACCCACGACCTATGTCAATTCAAAGTGATCTTTTACAGCTAGACCACCAAGCTTTTCCGGTAGCAAGAGGCAGTTCAATATTGTTAAATACTGGGCAAGCTCGTTGGTCTTGTGGTAAGACATATGCTCTAGAATAGCAAAGGCCATAGGTTCGAACCCCCACTTAAGTATTGTGCCTGTGGATTTTTTTGTTCAGTGGACTTGAGAAAGTACTGAGAATTCAGCACTTAGAACATATTGGTGCAGGGGTAAAACACAGGTAAAATGATCAACATTAATATTGTTATCAATGCAGGATTTTTGACGATATGATTCAATAACCTGAGATTAATTGTTCCCGCAGGTGTGATGACAATGCTATAATCGGAGACAAGATGATCTACGCATCATCCAAAGACGCCATAAAGAAGGCGTTTACTGGCCTTGGTTTGGAGTTCCAAGCTAACACTATGGCCCAGTTAGACTACGAAACATTCAGGGCCGAGGTTGAGAAAAAGGCTTAAAATCATTACCCAGAACCCGATTTGATAAGATTAGATACGCGTTAGAAAACCGTTCGAAGTTTTAGTCCTTGTCAAAGTTTGAGAAACGAAAAATGAAAGATGCTAGTAGTTTTTCTCTGTGCGCGTGAGTGTATTACGTTAACAATATTTGTTGATAATAAGGCCCGGATGACAACATGGACGACTGTTTGGACAGCAGCTGTATTGTTCCACACCAATAATCAATCAAATTCGACATCAGGGTGGGTGTAATGTGGGCGGAGCTTCAATGATAGGCCACACATTCCTACATAGCTGTACTCCAGAGGTGCAGTGTAATTTGATTCCATTATCGTCACAAGTTTATATGAATTATTCATTTTGATATCATTATCCTTACAAGGTTAAATGAATTATTCATCTGATATCATTACCATCACAAGGTTAAATGAATTTTTTATTTGATATCATTATCGTCACAAGGTTAAATTAATTACTTTCGATATCATTATCCTCCGAAAGTTAAATGAATTATTCATTTGGCAAGAATACTTGAGTGGACTTGACATTGCTTTGTTGTGAATTGCTATAATTATAGGTTGGTTGTGGTCTTTTATTTAATCAAGGTTGGTGAAGGTTCTTTTTTATTCGCGACTAAATCATCTCTTATTCTCTTTACTTTGCTAATATGTTCTTTTAAGCTTTGATTATAAATCAAGTCAGTAGTATCGGAAATGAAGTTTCTTGGTTCGCAGATATAAAGTTTACGTGTATGTTTGCAAGCATACACATCTGACTTTTGTTACTTGTTATTCTGAATATATTTTCTAGCTGATTGCAAATAATATGCCGCATGGCTAATACCATAATACCCATCTACGTCAAACTCGAATCTTAAAAGTAATGTTTCAGTTCCAAGGTTTTATTTAAAGCGGCTTATCGTGTTTCTATTTCTATGTTTTGATGGCTTCTGTTATAATTGTCTTTTTATTACGGTTACGGCTGTTCAGTCTACAAGTTTTATTAGTTGAGAGAATAAATAATGATTACTGCATAAAAAAAGAGTGTGTATACTTCAACAAAAATGGTTGACATGTGACACAAACTGTATAGATTGGTACCCGTCCGATTTAAGAGTCTTGAAGTTCACAAAAAGTTTCAGACCTTTATGATCGTTGCGGCATATTTTAAACATTAAGGCCAACCCCGTATTCGTACAGTCAGTTTCCATAATGATTTCCCTAATCGCTCGGTATTGTCATTCATTTCTAACCTCGTGCATTTGGCGTGTCATGGCTGAGAGGTTAGTGCATCGGACACGGTGGCTAAGTCTTGGTGGCTACGTCATCCGGGTGTGGGTTCGAATCCAGGTCATGATACTTGTGTCATTGACCTAGACACTTAACCATAATTGCTTCGTGAAAGTTGGGGAGGTGGTGCGTTCTGCCCTACCGGCCAGGCTTCCAATGGATGATACCCAAACCGACATTCTCACGGACTGTAAAGAGGAAACCCTGTTTCAGCCCCAGGAGTAGGTGGTTACAGCCCGGGAAAACAGTTGATTTCCAGCCCACACTTTAAGTGGCCTCTGGCCTTGTGTATCTAAAGTCTTGCATTACACAAAAATAATAATACATAAACAAAACCAAACTTCATAACAAAATTATTGATATATAGTGAAAGAAAATTGATGAAAAAAAGTAAAATTCTGATTACCTTAAGCGGTACGTGCTTACCGTTGTTCTCAACAACCGTTGTGGACAGTACCATGACTCGTCTGTCCGGTTATCTTCCTCCTCGTTGAGGATTTTGACGTAGCCCGCATCGACCAACTTCTGGATCTTCTCGTTGTGGATCTTGGCAAGGTCTGGCAGAGGTGGCAGCAAGTCATTTTTTGCAAGTCCAAGTCAAGTCACAAGTCATTAGGTCCAGTCACAAGTCAAGTCACAAGTCATTAGTTTCAGTCACAAGTCAAGTCACAAGTCATTAGGTCCAGTCACAAGTCAAGTCACAAGTCATTTGACATGTTTGGTCTCAACACAAGTCAAGCCACAAGAATCTTTGTCCAAGAACACGTCAAGTTGCACATTATTTTGTTCAGCTTTAAAAAAGAACCTAGCGTTAACTAACGAGTTATTTTGAACATGCCTCCTTAATTTTCCTTTTTCAATGTGTTGCAATTACTATTCTTGTAGTTTATCACATATCCGTCGGATATTAGCCCTTTGTATACTTTAATGAATGTACTTTACATTGTAGAAATAAATGCTGAGATGACATGAAAAAAAGACTTCACTCACTCGATTACATGTAGTATACTAACACTTTATTGTTCAATTTTCATGTAAACTAAACGCCTATACAATGGGTTAAGCTATCCGGTATTTTACATGCAATTGACAAAGGCATGCTTTCTTTTCATGAAAGGTTCCTTTCAAAGTTTGTTCAACCATTACATTAAGCAAGGGACTTGGTCATTGAAAACTGTAGTTTGTTGTGACAGTCTTATTGAAAACTTTTGAAACAAGTGGGAACTATTCATTTTGCTGGATTCAGTCACTGAGGTCTATTTTCTGCAATGAAACTTTCTCGCTGCATCTATAAACTGCATTTATAAACACCTTGAGCGGCCTTTTGGGCCTTGTGATGGGCGACTTCAATTAAAATAAAATCGAGTAGCGTCTGAATTGGGTTGGTAACAAGTCATTTTTTGCAAGTCCAAGTCAAGTCACAAGTCATTGTTTGCAAGTCCAAGTCAAGTCACAAGTCAAAGCTGGTATTTACAAGTCAAGTCACAAGTCACAAAAATAGTGACTCGAGTCCGACTCGAGTCCAAGTCACATGACTCGAGTCAGCAACTCTGAGGTCTGGCTGCTTACGCAGTTTTCGCTCGATGTGTGGTGAGGCCTACGGAGCTGGTCAATGTACACCGTCTGTGTGGTCATTACCAGTGTGTAGATTTTACTGGCTCCCTGCTGGATGATTGCTTCATGCAGCACTGTCAAGTGGACTTCTTTGCAGTTGTTGCATGGTTTCTTTAGCGTACAGTTCTCTAGTTTGTGGGTACGACCACACTTCTAGCATCGGGTTTTCTCCTTCAGCCCATTCGATGATCTGGTTACTGGTGAGTTTCTTGAAGTCTGCCCAACCATTCAAGTAGTGTTCGTGGCCGTCACAGTGTGGACAATAGGCAGAACGCTTGTTCTGCTTCGAAGGTGCTGACTGTTGGTGAGGCTTCAACTTCATTTGCTTTCCATCGTCAGTCTGGAAAACTGTTGTGGGAGAAGTTTTCTTCCTCTCAAAACCTCTTTCTCTCTTGTCAGATCTGGAGCCGTCATCCCTGTGGGCGGTGACTGCTTGTCCGGCTATGCGCTTGGCTCGGGACTGGACTTGTAGCCAGTCGGCGAAGTGGAGCAAGGTGTATGTTTGGTCAGAATCGGCTTTCAAGATTCCTCGGTTGATGCAATGTTAATCGACGAACCTGTCCCGGTAATTGGCTGGCAGTTTGCAGAGCAATCTGTCGACGTGCATGGGCCCACAACTGAATAAAATGAAATTTTCGGGCACAACAGTTGTTTTTGTTCATTCTGAGCCCTTAACGGGCCTTATTTAGATTTCAAATTTAGTCTTTAATGCTACTTCGTTGGTGTCCGTCCAATACGAGCGGGCCACGTGACGATGCTAAATTCATTGCGACCTTGGGAACTCGTTCTTTGCTCCAACTCAACTTGGCAACGTTCGAGTACTACGACCAGGTACTTTAATCCTTTCCTATAGATTCACGACGAAGCCATTTTTGATCGTGTTCCCTGAATCTATTTTATAAGCTTTAAACCATTGAATGGGATGGTATCAGACTATTTTATGATTGGAAAACGTTCCAAGCCTCACTTTTGTAAATGTGGCTTAAAACATTCAGATATGTTTAATCACAAATTTTAAATTATTCATCAGAGCACACTGGTATTAATTTGTAATTAACATTGTTTCATTGCTTTCATTTCTACTCACAAGTTCCAAAACTGAAAACTTTACCTCGCTTTCAATTCAATGTGGCCGACTCGAGAGCAAGCCTTGATCTCAACCAGCAAAAATCGTAGTTTCTGCCCACCGAAATAATTTGCAAAAACACACGTTTGTAGAATATGTGTGCATCCGGGAAAAAAGTAGATAAAAACGTACACGGGAGGTTTAGCCTTTTGATCGGAGACATACTAGCCACAGTAACAAATAATCGAGGATCTTGGTAATCAACCCATTACATCGAGATGTATTTTTCGACTTGATGATAATATTTAAACATAAAACTGTTGGTGGATTAATATTTCTTCTACTGCTTTTTAATGATTGCCCTTTGCAGAAGTCCAAGAAAGGAGGTATCGAGAAATACTTAGCATCGGAGAAGGGTGAAGTGGTGGATGGCTACATGGCCCTAGGTAAAACCGAAAATCAAGTATTGGCGGCGCCCCACCAATTTTTATCTTATTGTCATTAGAAAGCCATCATATTTATTGCGCGTCCACAGGCCCAATATGACTCTTAAAACTCAACAACTCAAATTTTCTTTTCATTTCGCAGTGAGTTGTGAAATCCCAGACATGCGCGAATAAACGGTTCCAAATTTCATGGAAGTCTATAAACGCCGTGAAATACTCCAAACTTCGCATCTGATTTACGAAAATTGTTTCGATATTATATTGCCAGTGAAGGCTTTTCACTCTTTCTTTTTTAAAGAAAAACTATCACCCCTGAGAATACTTGGTCACTCCTTCATCTGTTTTTATAATAACAAACAATTAATTAGTGATAATGACATGTTGATCTTGTTGACATTACCATTGTTTCACCACTGTCTCTGTTTTGCAGTTAAGACGGCGAAGGGCGAGCTGATCCAGTTCTATGTTGATCAACTTTACGCGGCCATGAAAGGATTGGGGACAGATGATAACTTGATCATCCGTACTCTGATTTCGCGATCTGAGGTGGGGCACAATGACATCTTGGTCATTTTGTCATGCTTTAATTTTCGGAGATTGCAAACAAAGTTTCTTTTATACTGGCACCTACTGTAGAAGCTGTGTTCTTTTACTAAGTTTTTCCTCTTGCCTATGGTTTGTCCTACCCATTTGTTGTTTCTGGTACTAGTTTTGCTTCGAGTTTTGTTGTAATGTTTGTTTTTCTGCTGGTTCATATCTGGTTTTTAATCTGATTGTCCTATACTTTGTTCACGACGCTAGTCTTGCTTTCTCATCACCCAGATCGATCTTGCCAACATCAAGCAGGAATTCCATGCCAAGTACGGCACGACCTTGGAGAACTTCGTCAAGGACGACACGAGTTGAGACTATTGCTACCATCCGGCTGCGCATTCTCGCTGGTGGTGATTTTGAGGCCCATGCCATGCGTAGGGTTGAACAATTTGAGATTACTTAGTTTGCCCAAATCCTTTCCAAATTCTTTCTCCCAAACTCAGAATGATTGCGCTGAGTCTTCATCAAGGCAGATTAAAAGAGGTAAGTTATAGAAGCATGGTACGAGGCCCCCCTATTTATTTTTAGATGCCAATTAAAGTGTCAAAAGAAAAAAACCTGTCTACATTTCAATTTGTTTTGCAGATCCCCCCCCCCCCCCGCGAGAATTCCTGGATCAGGACCGTTAACTTATGCATATACATGTACTTCTTGAAAAGCCTCATGGTGTAAATAATCTCGTTAGATAGATATGGCAATTTTTTTTCAGCATAATTTAGGAAAGATTCATGACTGTTCCGAACAGTTTGAACAAGTGTTTGACTCCAATGATGTGCTCTGGGAAGTGGGATGTTTCTTCGCTAGGCGCGATAGCAGGTTCGTCATGCTCTGGAGAATGTTGCTCCTCGAGCAGGTTGACGTGGTGGTGCCTGGGGATGAGCAGGTTGACGTGGTGGTGCCTGGGGATGAGCAGGTTGACGTGGTGGTGCCTGGGGATGAGCAGGTTGACGTGGTGGTGGATATGGTTAGCAGGTTTACAAAGTATGCATACGAAAAGGCCAAAATGTCTGTCCATCATGATTTCTTCGTCTTTAGAAATAACGTCTGGTATAGGAATGGTTGCCTTTTCAGTTTTCCCAATGGGGCCGCTGACTCTTCTGCCTCACGGCCCTTATTTGCATAAATTATTATTCTCGGATGAAAAGGTCTATTGTGAGATAGGCACAATTGCAGAATGACCCGCCATTCGATCTATCCATTGAGCAAAGTCCTTGCTCTATGATCTATCGACCTCGTAGCCGGCTACGAGGTCACGGTTGGTTGACCTCAATAAATATTCTCAGCGCGGCTACTTGTATGTACATGTACTATGCGTCATGCTCCATTGGTGTAAATAATCTCGTTAGATATAGATGTGAGCGTACATGTAGTTGGTTTGGACTTACTTTTTTCAGCAACTCCCATTCCTTGTGTGTTGCTTCGTTCTCAAATTACCCTTTCTGTGCGTCATTGACGACATGTGAGTAAAATCAGCCCTTTATTGATATATAAAGACATGCATGATATAGTGTTTTAAATCTTAGACCGTTAAATTGGCATGATTTTAGCATAAAGTTTTTGACCTAATCTGACGAAAATCATCGTTATTGAACATGTACATTTGTGCATACGTAGCACGTACGTCTCGCCTCATTGCAGTAGGTACGTTTTACTAACCTAATATGTGGTTTATCATTTTTTTTTTTTTTTCTTCAAGCTTGGATTGTACAGACAAGGTGGGGTACTATTTTGCTTTTTTGGTGTCCTCATGTACATTGGTGTCCTCCATAATTTTCCTTGGTGCTTTCGATCATTTGCCTTGGTGCAGTTTCCCATTCCTTGGTGCTCTTTGGTAAAACAAATTGAGGAGCTGCGGAAATAGAGGTCGCTGTTGGAGCTACCGCGGAACATTTTGGGGAAAAAAAGATCGACGCGCATGATTAAAATCGACGCGCGCGCTGACCAGAGACCGACTTATTATTTTTTTTGGCCTTATATTCCTACTATTTTGCATACATATTGTTCCATGATTTATTATTACATTTTGCATTCAAAACTGTAGGTAGGAATACTTTATCGTGAACGCTTGCATTAATTGTTTTTTGTTTTGTTTATTTTTACTCTTTTCCTTTTGACAACCGTACAACTTACCATATTTACAGAAACCTTGTTAATATTTTAATAAAAGCTATTGAATAAAGAATTTATTTTGAATTAATGGGTTTAAATCTGTAATATCAAAATCTTATTTCTGTCGTTGAAAAAAATTTCTCCTGATGAAAAATCTCCGCGGTTTTCAATTACTTCCGTGTGCATCCGTGGACTGCGTAACGCCATAACCACAGCAATCCTTGGAGATGCTAATGATTTATCCTTTACCCTAGTGTACGTGTATGGGATGGTTGACCTAGCATGTCTCAATATTTTTCACAGGGAACAATAGATTAACTATGAAGCTGATACTTTTCCTGCATGCAGAAAAAGTTTGTGTAATGATTTTTGTGCCAAAGAGGATTGGTGGTCTTACCAAGAAAATTACCAAACTGTTTTTTAATCGAGGAAAATGTATGGGCTCACCATGCAAGCTTAAACGGTGCATTAGAAGAAGCACATATGGTCGCAAACAACATGGCGAATCTCCCAAATTTTGATGTTTGCATTAGGCCCAATTCTGGGTATGTATACAACCTCCAAGCGGCATTGGATCTCAAGCAACACCATGAGCTGACGAGTGGATCAAGTTTTATCGTTCTTCCCAATTTTTTGAGTACATGTATATTATTTTGTCTTACAAAATTTCAAAATGTGTTTTGTGCTTTAACTGAAAATAAAATATTGGGCCTGTTTTGTTGTTGCTTTTGCCGGTGCCTCCTTTTTTTTTTTTTACTTGTCAACATCACCGAACAAATTTCGATTGGATTAAATTTATTCGAAATTTCCTACAATGATGATAAAGATAACCGGGCATCGTTCGCATTTAACTTGCTCTGTGTTTTAACCATTGATCTCTATTACATTGATCTCCATTAGTAAGACTTATACTAATGGAGATCAATGGTTTTAACTTATGCACCTATAAAACAAGTAATGACAGTACCACACCGATTGTGGTAGAGGAGGGGGCATCGTCCGAAGGTCGCGTGTACGGCAATTATGGCCGAGTCGTACATGTTACACGTGGCACCCGGTACAATGTAAGTACTGTACGGTGGCGTGCTGGTGGATCACGCGCGGACCGACGATGTACACATGTACATAATTCATAAGTTTGATGACGCTGACATACTGTTTATGGCATAAATTATGATAAGTGGTACCTGCTAATGTAAAGCACTTTGATCTCAGTTTAAATCGCTATATAAGAACCTGTTATTATTATTACTGCTGGAATTGTGTTACTGTAATTTACCAAAAGTTTACCCTTTCTGTGCGTCATTGATGACATGTGAGTAAAATCAGCCCTTTATTGATATATAAAGACATGCATGATATAGTGTTTTTAATCTTAGACCGTAATTAAATTGGCATGATTTTAGCATAAAGTTTTTGACCTAATCTGACGAAAATCATCGTTATTGAACATGTACATTTGTGCATACGTAGCACGTACGCCTCGCCTCATTGCAGTAGGTACGTTTTACTAACCTAATATGTGGTTTATCACGTTTATATTCCTTTATTTTGCAGAACCACATTTCACCTGTAATCTCACCTGTAATCATCCACCTAAGTATTGTATTCCTGCGTGATTTGAACTAATTAAACAGTTAGTGTTTCTTGCCCAACACAGTCTGACCGCTGTCCATTTGTTACTGTGTGTAATCTTCGATCCAACCGCCTTCCCTTTCCGTTGTACCAATAATCAATATATATAACACAACAACCCGTAGTAAGGTTTGCGACAACACCATGTACATGAGTATGGTTTAAAACTTTGTATTGTGGCGAAACAATCTATATAGTAAGGTTTGCAATAGCACCATGTACATGACTAGGATTTCAAACTTTAAATGGTGGAGATACAATCTAGAAGGTTTGCAGTAGCACCATGTAAATGAGTATGGTTTGAAACTTTGCATGTTGGAGATACAACCTAGTAAGATTTTCACTAACACCATGTGCATGAGTTGGATTTGAAACTTTGTATTGTGGAGATACAATCTAGTAAAGTTTGCAGTAACTTCGGCTTGTTGTTGTTGTTGTTTGAGATTTATTATTATTATTACTATTTATTATTTATTTGTTAATTTGCTTTCAATTACAATTTAATGTTCTTTTATAATTTTATTCTGTTTTCCTTTACAAATTTTAATGTATGGAGTTGGAAAGTATGGAAATAAGTGTTGCATTGAATTGAATTGAATTGAATTGAATTCCACGAAGCCTGAGGCTAACGTGAGAGGTTGGCAATAACCTTGAATGAAATTCAATGATCAAATTCTTTGCTTTCTGGTTGACCGTAGATGACATCATTACAAATCAGTGGTCTATGAAGCTTGCGTGCATGCTCGGACAATAAGCACAAGCAGCTCTTTGTTCGAACAATAAGTTTTGAATGGTTCTTTTTCCCTAATTAGCCCTTTATGGACGGGGTGTAATCACGTATGTTTCAGCCCCATAGTCCGTGCGTGCATTAGGTGTCTTCTCACGCATGCGCAATGGTTTCCTCCGCGTCGTCGGCTTGCAAACAGCGGTAGCAGACGACGCACTGAACGATTGTCTGGTTTTCATGTCTTAAAAGGTATCCTTCTCAAACGTACTTAAAAGATGATTCAAACCAAAAATTATCAGTAGACCAAGTGAACAAAGATGTAAATTGTCTCTACAGTGTGGTAACGGCGCTAAAAACCTTTTCAAATAAATATACCAATAAAGCAATAATTATGGACAAAAAAACGTACAAAATGAAAAGGCAAAACATCGTTCGCTTTTGAGTTTGGTTTACACATTTGGACAATTTGCCGGGTTTACCTTAGATCAGCCGTAATACCATCGGAAAGAATGATAGATTATTTTCATTTTACAGGTGATTTGATGTAAGAAGGAAACCTGTAGCTTATGAAAATCGTCATTTTTCGAGTAAACCCATTTTGAAAGCTTCGTGCACAAATACACTGGTCCCAGTGCCCTCTATGATCGTACTCAACTGCATTTCAGGGCCGGGAATTACAAACGGAGCGGCGCGTGGCGCGTGGCTAGCCCATAGATATAGAACTTAAAATAACTAGATCGGACGCGTTCGAACGCGCCATTCACTGTGCACAAAACTTCTGGGTTCTTCATGGACGCGCTGCAAAGTCACGTGAATAGGGCCACGCGCAAAGGGCAGCTGGTGAATGCTGGACGGAAAAATATCACCAACACCCCCACCTGAATTCAGCTATGCGTTGAAGTTCTTAACAACAGGTTGACATTTTTAACTACGATTTTTGACAATGTGACATTTCATATTCCTTTGAAAAGTTACACATGAGTTTGCCTCTGTGTCTTATTTGGGCCAAATTGGCGACTGTGTTGAAGGTTATTGATTTTCAGCCAAGAATACTAATTTGTACCGAAAAGTAGCCACATTGTGTTCTTATATCTTTAACAAAGGCAAATGTCAAAGGCGTAGTTAAATGTCAACCTGTTTCATGAGATTTTCCCCTCTTTTTTAAAATGTGCAATAAAAATCAACCGTTACTTGCCTATCAGACAAAATATAAACTTTTAATTTTACCAACATCAAAATGAAATAACAGAAAATTATTTTGTAAATGAGCAACGATAAAAACGGGCACTCGAAATATTGCGTTGCTTTAATAACAATAATAGCTTTATTTACAGATGGTGGCCATGTCACCTGACAGATGATTTTCAATGGGCCATCAATTAATACTGCTAACCTCAATAAACAAGTCTCTGGCCATCTGTTGTGAGTACTGAACAAACGAATACTTAAATAACTTTTAGGTAATAAACACTATGAAAACGTACTCGGTAGCTAATAAATAATCTGATGAAATGGCAGTTCCATATCCATATCATCCATTAATCAAGATGTCAAGAATATCATTGCTCATGAAAAAAATACATTTAGTTGTCACCATCCGAATATTATTTTATGTGAAGGTCTAGCCTATGCAACTACCAGCAGGTGAGTATTGCTTCCCATAAATTTAAGAAGAATAAGTAATCCAATGTATTGTAGCGGAAAGTGTAGGGACTTATAGCTAGTTTATTTACAACGTCATCCCTATGGCACTAACGTAAATTCACTGTGTGTTGGTGACTGGGCGGAGCATAAGAGCCCAGTGGCTGAATGCGCGTACGCTATTGGTTGCCTAAGGCCCATAGGTTTAGTGCATGCATTTGTGTTTGTGCGGCGTATGCATGTTCACGTGAGGGCTATTCACGTGATCGCGCGGAGGAGTTTTACTGTGGACAGCGGACGGTAAGGTCGTATATTGCTCGCGCTCTGTGTTTGGGTAATGCTGACGCGCACTGTGTAAATTGCGCTGGTCCTTACGGTGCTGAAGTTGCGCTGTGTGAGGCTGACGCGCAGCCGTACAAGTGAATGTACTGTACGATACTGACGCTAGCTTGCATGGGTAAAGCGTAAATCAGGTTAAGGCTGACAGCGTATATTACTTACATTGGCGTGCATTACTTACACTTGCGTGTGTTATTTACATTGACGTGCACTACTTACATTGGCTTGTGTTATTTACAGTGGCGTACGTTACTTACATTGGTGTGTGTTGTTTACTTAGTGTACGTTGTTGACTTCGTGTACATTGTTTACTGAGTGTACATGGTTTACTTAGTGTACGTTGTTGACTTAGTGTACATTGTTTACTTAGTGTACATTGTTTACTTAGTGTATATTGTTGACTTACCAGTGCATTGTTTACATTAGTGCACCTTGTTGACTTACCAGTGCATTGTTTACATTAGTGCACCTTGTTGACTTACCAGTGCATTGTTTACATTAGTGCACCTTGTTGACTTACCAGTGCATTGTTTACATTGGGCGCATTGCTCAAGCTGTGCGCATTAATTGCTGCTTAGGTGAGCTGTTAGCTGACTTGCAAGTGTATTTAAGGGACCCTGATAATTAACCACCTCATTAAGTCTCAATCACTACTGCATATTTCTTGATTATTGTACAATAAATTACGATCATATTTGTTGTGCCGACAATCCTGTTGTCCAGGTGTATTTGTTGTTGGTTTATTGTGCAATTAACGGTGGGTAATCACAATCATCATAATCGGCGGTATATTTCCTCCAAAACGGACCTGCTCCCTAGGCCTTGAGGTCGCTCTGAGTGGTCTCTCGTCTTGGGAAAGCTTGCGTTCAGGAAGATCAGCTACACTCTAATAGGTGTCAGACTTGGTCCCAACGAACTTAGGTTTGGCCCGGGGAGATCCCCGCTACAGTATCTTCCTCATATGCATGAACGCAAACAGAGGGCTATTCAATCTTTCAACTTCTGAGGAGCAACAATAAGACGATAACGAAATACCAAGCGAAACTTGTTAAATTTTAGCTATGGTCCACGCACGAGGCCCAGTTATGCATGCGTGGCCAGCTATCTCCTCACTGTACGCACAGTCGGCAGTGCAATCTTCTTGCTGACGAAGACGTACGTAAGCTTTTGTCGAGCAGTGAAAACTTCTTCATCTGTTCGCTATGATTGCGGCAACACCATGAGTATATGGTTTGAAACTGTGCATGGTGGAGATACAATCTAGTAAGGTTCGCAGTAACACCATGTACATGACTAGGATTTGAAACTTTGTATTGTGGAGATACAATCTATAGTAAGGTTTGCAGTAGCACCATGTACATGACTAGGATTTCAAATTTTAAATGGTAAAGATACAATCTAGAAGGTTTGCAGTAGCACCATGTACATGAGTTGGGTTTGAAACTTTGCATGTTGGAGATACAACCTAGTAAGTTTTGCACTAACACCATGTGCATGAGTTGGATTTGAAACTTTGTATTGTGGAGATACAATCTAGTAAAGTTTGCAGTAACTTCGGCTTGTTGTTGTTGTTGTTTGAATTGAATTAAATTGAATTGAATTGAATTGAATTCCACGAAGCCTGAGGCTAACGTGAGAGGTTGGCAATAACCTTGAATGAAATTCAATGATCAAATTCTTTGCTTTCTGGTTGACCGTAGATGACATCATTACAAATCAGTGGTCTATGAAGCTTGCGTGCATGCTCCGACAATAAGCACAAGCAGCTCTTTGTTCGAACAATAAGTTTTGAATGGTTCTTTTTCCCTAATTAGCCCTTTAAGGACGGGGTGTAATCACGTATGTTTCAGCCCCATAGACCGTGCGTACATTTAGTTGTCTTCTCACGCATGCGCAATGGTTTCTTCCGCGTCGTCGGCTTGCAAACAGCGGTAGCAGACGACACACTGAACGATTGTCTGGTTTTCATGTCTTAAAATGTATCCTTCTCAAACGTACTTAAAAGATGATTCAAACCAAAAATTATCAGTAGACCAAGTGAGCAAAGATATAAATTGTCTCTGCAGTGTGGTAACAGCGCTAAAAACCTTTTCAAATATATAAAAAAAGCAATAATTATGGATAAAAAACGTACAAAATGAAAAGGAAAAACATTGTTCGCTTTTGAGTTTGGTTTACACATTTGGACAATTTGCCGGGCTTACCATAGATCAGCCGGCGTTATACCATCGGAAAGGATGATAGATTATTTTCATTTTACAGGTGATTTGACGTAAGAAGGAAAACTATAGCTTATAAAAATCGTCATTTTTCGAGTAAACCCATTTTGAAAGCTTCGTGCACAAATACACTGGTCCCAGTGCCCTCTATGATCGTACTTAACTGCATTTCAGGGCCGGGAACCAGTCAGTTGTAACTCGTTTCAGTTAAATGTATACATTTCCAACGCGTCAAAAGATTACAAACGGAGCGGCGCGTGGCGCGTGGCTAGCCATATTTACGGGCCAGATTCCTGGGTCTGTGCACAGGTACGTGCACACTAACGTTACATTCAACGAAAAACAACGGATAACGTGAGACCTTTCTTTTCTCAATGAAACGGTTTCCGACTTAAATGATATTTATACATCGCACTTTCCGTGGCATCCTTTATCATTTTTTCAGTGAAGACAAGTTTACAATTACTCGGCAAACCTGAAAAATTATCCCCTAAACTGTCGCCTGTTTCGAATTTGTGTTCTAATACTTTCGTACTACACGACACGGAAAAACACAAAAAATGCATCAAATACTCTGTGTGTTTTTTTTTGCGCTACGGTTTGCAAAAGTGACTTTGATTGCTTTAAATTCCTGTCCACGTGGAAAGAAAAATTTATCAAAGTACTTCGAGCGGGATGTTGACCGATACTTCAGTGGGTCAAACTGCGACTGCAGGCATCCAAACTTGCTGATCAGTATTTCATATTTTGAGTGCGCATGCGCGCAAACTAAATGAGCGGCTGAAACATACGTGCCCTCCACACATAGAGCAAAGTGGCCCGCATGACTAGGCGCGTGCCGCGGCATACCACAGCTGGCAACTGCATTCCAATGAGGATTAGCGGCCGCGGCCATGACCACTTCACGTAATAGCTAAAAAGCTATTCAACACTTCGTGCTCGTTCAAAAAGGGTGGTTCAATATATACAGATCTCCGGGAATGCCAACTTATCTCACCATTGACTTATTTATGTGTTTGGGGATATTTTAATATATTTTTTTTAATAATGCTGAATTCTTTCCTTCCTTTTTTTTAAAAAAGCATCATGTTTGGACTCAGGACCGCGTTGCTTCTTTTGGTGGCTATCAACGTCTTGGTGAATGGATACCAGGATGATGGCTACCTGGATGGCGAGTTGGAAGTCCTCCTCAAGCGCCTTCTGGAGGGTCTTGAAGAAGAAGAACGAGGCTATGAACTGAAGAACTTGTTTGAAAGAGAGGTGAGAACATACATAATTAGCCCACACAGGGGTATAAGTGCGTTTCGAGATATTGTAGATTGACAATTTGGCTCAATGACATTACTGTAACTGAGCAACCACGTGTGTCAAGACTTGGTACATGACAGAAAGAACGGTATCAATGGAAACCTTCTGGAGATTGACATCACTAGAATTTGTGACACAATTTAGATTTCGAGCAATCTGTCACTTTGTGAAACTGCGACGATTTTTATTTGTGTGCGTTTTTTTGTGTTTTTGTTGTTTTTTGTTTTGTTATTTATCAGATTGGAAATAAGGCACCTTAAATCGAGCATTTTAAAGACCAAGTTTTATGTTGCTCTCGTTTGCCAACAGATAGGACCCTCATAAAAGGAGAAAAAAATACAAGTCTCCAACTTCATGTTAAAATGGAGTAAACTGTCATTTTATTTGATACTTTTTCAGAGCGACATTTGAAATATAATGTCACTGTATATCAACAACAAATGGATATATACATGCCACAGTTGAATTTTTCTCGTCAGTCTAGAGATTGACTATCATCGAAATTCAGTAGTGAACTAAACATTTTCCTGTACAAAAATGTACAGAAAACTTTGGGAGGGACGGTCATCATTAGTTTATTGGTAAAAGAAACCTGCAACTTAATTTGAAGACACAAAACCTTTGTTGAAAGAAAACGTTTCCCTTTTCTCAACCTCGATCCCAAGCCAGCACGCGGAGCTTGTCAAAAAAAGGGAAACAAAGTTATACTTTGAAAATGTTTATACATGTTGAAGGTAAATTTCTTTAATATAAACCACTTTTAATAACCGACAGTCACAAACTAAATCTAACATCAATTAGAGACCAAAGATAGCCGGGTATTCTGAGCATTATTGCAGAGTACCCTGACTTGAGTAATGATAACACAGTTTAATCGACAGGTAAATTTGGGTCTTTTCAAAATGAAGGCTTCGTTTTGGGTCTCAGTTTTGATTTCTTCTGATATCCTTATCAAGAAAACGTGTGTAAACAATTATTGCCAACGTTTGTAAGCATAGTATCGGCGTCACAAAGGGAATCAATATTCTAAGCAAAGAGGTTGGGAAGTGATTAGATGTCGCATTACCTTCGTTATTATTTACCAGTATTGTCACATTAGTATTCATTCTGTAAAGTCACATTACGTTGTTTATTGTCATAGAAACGACCCTTTTACTCTATATAGGTCCTTCTTGTGCTAATTTTATCTGATAAACCCATGTGCTTTTTCCTTACTTTTAAAAACCTTTAATGTCACCCATGTGACAATAAATGAGTTCTCGATACCAATACATGGCACTATTATTGCATGCACAACTCTGTTTTACTTTAAAATGGTTTGATTGCCATGACAACCAATTAATCCAATGTGTCGACAATTATAAAACCACACTGCAATCATTCACGAAGTCCAAGTCTTGTAAAAGCAAGTAACAGTGCTATTTATGGATAAACAAAAAACAAGAACACATTAAGAGGCTCATTATCTGAGGGTATCGATTGACAGACATACTATTTATGTTCGTTTCGTGTTTTTTATTTTTTTAATTTCATTTCAGAGTATGTCAGGAATGGAAGTTGATGAAGAGGTTTCCACAATCTATAACGATATGAAGCTTAGAAAAACCTTGAAGTGGATTACCTTTAAATTAGAGAATAAGAAGAAAATCATCAAGGATCAAAGTGCTGAACCAAATGACAATTATGGCGATAAAACGCAGTTCGATGAGATGAAGGCCAAACTGACTTCTGAACCACGATATATTCTCTATGACTTCAAATTCGACTCAAAGGAAGGTCGCAAGATAAACAAGATTGCTTTCATTTTTTGGTACGTATACAGCAATCTACGGTTGCTGAGGCATTTATTTCCCGATTCTCGTTCAAAACGAATAAAGTTAAAATTTCACCTTCCCCCAAACGTTTTCAGCACAATAGCCGTCCTGATCCATTTTTTTTTATTAGATGTTAGGTGGGATAAAGAGCATTGTGTTTCACCCGTACGCCGGTGTGTGTTTTGCACTCTATACTTTCCCGAGTCCTAAGAAAACAGATCACAAACGATTACTCGGGTGGGATTCGAACCCACGACCTATGTCAATTCAAAGTGATCTTTTACCACAAGACCACCAAGCATTCCCGGTAGCTAGAGGCAGTGCTCGTTGGTCTTGTGGTAAGACATATGCTCTAGAATAGCAAAGGCCATAGGTTCGAACCCCCACCTAAGTATTGTGCCTGTGGATTTTTTTGTTCAGTGGACTTGAGAAAGTACTGAGAATTCAGCACTTAGAACATATTGGTGCATGGGTAAAACACAGGTAAAATGATCAACATTCATATTGTTCTCAATGCAGGATTTTTGACGATATGATTCAATAACCTGAGATTAATTGTTCCCGCAGGTGTGATGATGACAATGCTAAAATCGGAGACAAGATGATCTACGCATCATCCAAAGACACCATAAAGAAGGCGTTTACTGGCCTTGGTTTGGAGTTCCAAGCTAACACTATGGCCCAGTTAGACTACGAAACATTCAGGGCCGAGGTTGAGAAAAAGGCTTAAAATCATTACCCAGAACCCGATTTGATAAGATTAGATACGCGTTAGAAAACCGTTCGAAGTTTTAGTCATTGTCAAAGTTTGAGAAACGAAAAATGAAAGATGCTAGTAGTTTTTCTCTGTGCGCGTGAGTGTATTACGTTAACAATATTTGTTGATAATAAGGCCCGGATGACGACATGGACAACTGTTTGGACAGCAGCTGTATTGCTCCACACCAATAATCAATCAAATTCGACATCAGGGTGGGTGTAATGTGGGCGGAGCTTCAATGATAGGCCACACATTCCTACATAGCTGTACTCCAGAGGTGCAGTGTAATTCGATTCCATTATCGTCACAAGTTTATATGAATTATTCATTTTGATATCATTATCCTTACAAGGTTAAATGAATTATTCATCTGATATCATTACCATCACAAGGTTAAATGAATTTTTTATTTGATATCATTATCGTCACAAGGTTAAATTAATTACTTTCGATATCATTACTACTACAGAATACTTGAGTGGACTTGACATTGCTTTGTTGTGAATTGCTATAATTATAGGTTGGTTGTGGTCTTTTATTTAATCAAGGTTGGTGAAGGTTCTTTTTTATTCGCGACTAAATCATCTCTCATTCTCTTTACTTTGCTAATATATTCCTTTAAGCTTTGATTATAAATCAAGTCAGTAGTATCGGAAATGAAGTTTCTTGGTTCGCAGATATAAAGTTTACGTGTATGTTTCCAAGCATACACATCTGACTTTTGTTACTTGTTATTCTGAATATATTTTCTAGCTGATTGAAATAATATGCCGCATGGCTAATACCATAATACCCATCTTCGTCAAACTCGAATCTTAAAAGTAATGTTTCAGTTCCAATGTTTTATTTAAAGCGGCTTATCGTGTTTCTATGTTTTGATGGCTTCTGTTATAATTGTCTTTTTATTACGGTTACGGCTGTTCAGTCTACAAGTTTTATTAGTTGAGAGAATAAATAATGATTACTGCATAAACAAGAGTGTGTATACTTAAACAAAAATGGTTGACATGTGACACAAACTGTATAGATTGGTACCCGTCCGATTTAAGAGTCTTGAAGTTCACAAAAAAGTGTCAGACCTTTATGATCGTTGCGGCATATTTTAAACATAAAGGCCAACCCCGTATTCGTACAGTCAGTTTCCATAATGATTTCCCTAATCGCTCGGTATTGTCATTCATTTCTAACCTCGTGCATTTGGCGTGTCGTGGCTGAGAGGTTAGTGCATCGGACTCGGTGGCTAAGTCTTGGTGGCTACGTCATCCGGGTGTGGGTTCGAATCCAGGTCATGATACTTGTGTCATTGACCTAGACACTTAACCATAATTGCTTCGTGAAAGTTGGGGAGGTGGTGCGTTCTGCCCTACCGGCCAGGCTTCTAATGGATGATACCCAAACCGACATTCTCACGGACTGTAAAGAGGAAACCCTGTTTCAGCCCCAGGAGTAGGTGGTTACAGCCCTGGAAAACAGTTGATTTCCAGCCCACACTTTAAGTGGCCTCTGGCCTTGTGTATCTAAAGTCTTGCATTACACAAAAATAATAATACATAAACAAAACCAAACTTCATAACAAAATTATTGATATATAGTGAAAGAAAACTGATGAAAAAAAAAGTTAAAGTCTGATTACCTTTAGCGGTACGTGCTTACCGTTATTCTCAACAACCGTTGTGGACAGTACCATGACTCGTCTGTCCGGTTGTCTTCCTCCTCGTTGAGGATTTTGACGTAGCCCGCATCGACCAACTTCTGGATCTTCTCGTTGTGGATCTTGGCAAGGTCTGGCAGAGGTGGCAGCAAGTCATTTTTTGCAAGTCCAAGTCAAGTCACAAGTCATTAGGTCCAGTCACAAGTCAAGTCACAAGTCATTAGTTTCAGTCACAAGTCAAGTCACAAGTCATTAGGTCCAGTCACAAGTCAAGTCACAAGTCATTTGACATGTTTGGTCTCAACACAAGTCAAGCCACAAGAATCTTTGTCCAAGAACACGTCAAGTTGCACATTATTTTGTTCAGCTTTAAAAAAAAACCTGGCGTTAACTAACGAGTTATTTTGAACATGCCTCCTTAATTTCCCTTTTTCAATATGTTGCAATTACTATTCTTGTAGTTTATCACATATCCGTCGGATATTAGCCCCTTGTATACTTTAATAAATGTACTTTACATTGTAGAAATAAATGCTGAGATGACATGAAAAAAAGACTTCACTCACTCGATTACATGTAGTATACTAACACTTTATTGTTCAATTTCCATGTAAACTAAACGCCTATACAATGGGTTAAGCTATCCGGTATTTTACATGCAATTGACAAAGGCATGCTTTCTTTTCATGAAAGGTTCCTTTCAAAGTTTGTTCAACCATTATATTAAGCAAGGGACTTGGTCATTGAAAACTGTAGTTTGTTGTGACAGTCTTATTGAAAACTTTTGAAACAAGTGGGAACTATTCATTTTGCTGGATTCAGTCACTGAGGTCTATTTTCTGGAATGAAACTTTCTCGCTGCATCTATAAACTGCATTTATAAACACCTTGAGCGGCCTTTTGGGCCTTGTGATGGGCGACTTCAATTAAAATAAAATCGAGTAGCGTCTGAATTGGGTTGGTAACAAGTCATTTTTTGCAAGTCCAAGTCAAGTCACAAGTCATTGTTTGCAAGTCCAAGTCAAGTCACAAGTCAAAGCTGGTATTTACAAGTCAAGTCACAAGTCACAAAAATAGTGACTCGAGTCCGACTCGAGTCCAAGTCACATGACTCGAGTCAGCAACTCTGAGGTCTGGCTGCTTAAGCAGTTTTCGCTCGATGTGTGGTGAGGCCTACGGAGCTGGTCAATGTACACCGTCTGTGTGGTCATTACCAGTGTGTAGATTTTACTGGCTCCCTGCTGGATGATTGCTTCATGCAGCACTGTCAAGTGGACTTCTTTGCAGTTGTTGCATGGTTTCTTTAGCGTACAGTTCTCTAGTTTGTGGGTACGACCACACTTCTAGCATCGGGTTTTCTCCTTCAGCCCATTCGATGATCTGGTGACTGGTGAGTTTCTTGAAGTCTGCCCAACCATTCAAGTAGTGTTCGTGGCCGTCACAGTGTGGACAATAGGCAGAACGCTTGTTCTGCTTCGAAGGTGCTGACTGTTGGTGAGGCTTCAACTTCATTTGCTTTCCATCGTCAGTCTGGAAAACTGTTGTGGGAGACGTTTTCTTCCTCTCAAAACCTCTTTCTCTCTTGTCAGATCTGGAGCCGTCATCCCTGTGGGCGGTGACTGCTTGTCCGGCTATGCGCTTGGCTCGGGACTGGACTTGTAGCCAGTCGGCGAAGTGGAGCAAGGTGTATGTTTGGTCAGAATCGGCTTTCAAGATTCCTCGGTTGATGCAATGTTAATCGATGAACCTGTCCCGGTAATTGGCTGGCAGTTTGCAGAGCAATCTGTCGACGTGCATGGGCCCAAACAAAATGAAATTTTCGGGCACAACAGTTGTTTTTGTTCATTCTGAGCCCTTAACGGGCCTTATTTAGATTTCAACTTTAGTCTTTAATGCTACTTCGTTGGTGTCCGTCCAATACGAGCGGGCCACGTGACGATGCTAAATTCATTGAGACCTTGGGAACTGGTTCTTTGCTCCAACTCAACTTGGCAACGTTCGAGTACTACGACCAGACCAGGTACTTTAATCCTTTCCTATAGATTCACGACGAAGCCATTTTTGATCGTGTTCCCTGAATCTATTTTATAAGCTTTAAACCATTGAATGGGATGGTATCAGACTATTTTATGATTGGAAAACGTTCCAAGCCTCACTTTTTTAAATGTGGCTTAAAACATTCAGATATGTTTAATCACACATTTCATTATTCATCAGAACACACTGGTATTAATTTGTAATTAACATTGTTTCATTGCTTTCATTTCTACTCACAAGTTCCAAAACTGAAAAGTTTACCTCGCTTTCAATTCAATGTGGCCAACTCGAGAGCAAGCCTTGATCTTAACCAGCAAAAATCGTAGTTTCTGCCCACCGAAATAATTTGCAAAAACACACGTTTGTAGAATATGTGTGCATCCGGGAAAAAAGTAGATAAAAACGTACACGGGAGGTTTAGCCTTTTGATCGGAGACATAATAGCCACAGTAACAAATAATCGAGGATCTTGGTAATCAACCCATTACATCGAGATGTATTTTTCGACTCGATAATAATATTTAAATATAAAACTGTTGGTGGATTAATATTTCCTATACTGCTTTTTTATGATTGCCCTTTTCAGAAGTCCAAGAAGGGAGGTATCGAGAAATACTTAGCATCGGAGAAGGGTGAAGTGGTGGATGGCTACGTGGCCCTAGGTAAAACCGAAAATCAATTATTGGCGGCGCTCCACCAATTTTTTTTCTTATTGTCATTAGAAAGCCATCATATTTATTTTAATTGCTTGATTTTAGCAGTATGTCAGCATCAAAGCTGAGCATGCGCGTCCCAAAACGATAACAGGCCCAATATGACTCTTAAAACTCAACAACTCAAATTTTCTTTTCATTTCGCAGTGAGTTGTGAAATCCCAGACATGCGCGAATAAACGGTTCCAAATTTCATGGAAGTCTATAAACGCCGTGAAATACTCCAAACTTCGCATCTGATTTACGAAAATTGTTTCGATATTATATTGCCAGTGAAGGCTTTTCACTCTTTCTTTTTTAAAGAAAAACTATCACCCCTGAGAATACTTGGTCACTCCTTCATCTGTTTTTATAATAACAAACAATTAATTAGTGATAATGACATGTTGATCTTGTTGACATTACCATTGTTTCACCACTGTCTCTGTTTTGCAGTTAAGACGGCGAAGGGCGAGCTGATCCAGTTCTATGTTGATCAACTTTACGCGGCCATGAAAGGATTGGGGACAGATGATAACTTGATCATCCGTACTCTGATTTCGCGATCTGAGGTGGGGCACAATGACATCTTGGTCATTTTGTCATGCTTTAATTTTCGGAGATTGCAAACAAAGTTTCTTTTATACTGGCACCTACTGTAGAAGCTGTGTTCTTTTACTAAGTTTTTCCTCTTGCCTATGGTTTGTCCTACCCATTTGTTGTTTCTGGTACTAGTTTTGCTTCGAGTTTTGTTGTAATGTTTGTTTTTCTGCTGGTTCATATCTGGTTTTTAATCTGATTGTCCTATACTTTGTTCACGACGCTAGTCTTGCTTTCTCATCACCCAGATCGATCTTGCCAACATCAAGCAGGAATTCCATGCCAAGTACGGCACGACCTTGGAGAACTTCGTCAAGGACGACACGAGTTGAGACTATTGCTACCATCCGGCTGCGCATTCTCGCTGGTGGTGATTTTGAGGCCCATGCCATGCGCAGGGTTGAAAAATTTGAGATTACTTAGTTTGCCCAAATCCTTTCCAAATTCTTTCTCCCAAACTCAGAATGATTGCGCTCAGTGTTCATCAAGGCAGATTAAGGTAAGTTATAGAAGCATGGTACGAGGCTCCCCTATTTATTTTCTGATGCCAATTAAAGTGTCAAAAGAAAAAAACCTGTCTACATTTCAATTTGTTTTGCAGATCCCCCCCCCCCTCCCTGCGAGAATTCCTGGATCAGGACCGTGTTAACTTATGCATATACATGTACATGTACTTCTGGAAAAGCCTCATGGTGTACATAATCTCGTTAGATAGATATGGCAAATTTTTTTCAGCATAATTTAGGAAATATTCATGACTGTTCCGAACAGTTTGAACAAGTGTTTGACTCCAATGATGTGCTCTGGGAAGTGGGATGTTTCTACCCTAGGCGCGATAGCAGGTTCGTCATGCTCTGGAGAATGTTGCTCCTCGAGCAGGTTGACGTGGTGGTGCCTGGGGATGAGCAGGTTGACGTGGTGGTGCCTGGGGATGAGCAGGTTGACGTGGTGGTGGATATGGTTAGCAGGTTTACAAAGTATGCATTCGAAAAGGCCAAAATGTCTGTCCATCATGATTTCTTCGTCTTTAGAAATAACGTCTGGTATAGGAATGGTTGCCCTTTCAGTTTTCCCAATGGGGCCGCTGACTCTTCTGCCTCACAGCCCTTATTTGCATAAATTATTATTCTCGGATGAAAAGGTCTATTGTGAGATAGGCACAATTGCAGAATGACCCGCCATTCGATCTATCCATTGAGCAAAGTCCTTGCTCTATGATCTATCCACCTCGTAGCCGGCTACGAGGTCACGGTTGGTTGACCTCAATAAATATTCTCAGCGCTACTTGTATGTACTATGCGTCATGCGTGTAAATAATCTCGTTAGATATAGATGTGAGGGTACATGTAGTTGGTTTGGACTTACTTTTTTCAGCAACTCCCATTCCTTTTGTGTCTCTTCGTTCTCAAATTACCCTTTCTGTGCGTCATTGACGACATCATGGTGAGTAAAATCAGCCCTTTATTGATATATAAAGACATGCATGATATAGTGTTTTAAATCTTAGACCGTTAAATTGGCATGATTTAAGCATAAAGTTTTTGATCTAATCTGACAAATCATCGTTATTGAACATGTACATTTGTGCATACGTAGCACGTACGCCTCGCCTCATTGCAGTAGGTATATTTTAGTAACCTAATATGTGGTTTATCATGCTCATATATATTCCTTTATTTTACAGAACCACATTTCACCTGTAATCATCCACCTAAGTATTGGGCACAAAATTCCAAGTATTGTATTCCTGCGTGATTTGAACTAATTAAACAGTTAGTGTTGCTTGCCCAACACAGTCTGACCGCTGTCCATTTGTTACTGTGTGTAACCTTCGATCCAACCGCCTTCCGTTTCCGTTGTACAAATAATACACTATTTCACAACAACCTAGTAAGGTTTGCGGCAATGTATAGTAAGGTTTGCAGTAACACCATCTACATGAGTAGGATTTCAAACTTTGCAGGTTGGAGTAGTAAGATTTGCACTAACACCATGAGTAGGGTTTGAATCTTTGTATTGTGGAGATACAATCTATATAGTAAGGTTTGCAGTAGCACCATGTACATGACTAGGATTTCAAACTTGAAATGGTGGAGATACAATCTAGAAGGTTTGCAGTAGCACCATGTACATGACTAGGATTTCAAACTTGAAATGGTGGAGATACAATCTAGAAGGTTTGCAGTAACACCATGTACATGAGTAGGGTTAGAAACTTTGTATTGTGGAGATACAATCTAGTAAGGTTTGCAGTAACTTCGGCTTATATTAAATGAACAGCACCATACTTTTCAGCCTTTCTTGTTGTTGTTTGATATATTATTATTATTATTATTATTATTATTATTATTATTATTATTTATTATTTATTTGTTAATTTGCTTTCAATTACAATTTAATGTTCTTTTATAATTTTATTCTGTTTTCCTTTACAAATGTTAATGTATGGAGTTGGAAAGTATGGAAATAAGTGTTGCATTGAATTGAATTGAATTGAATTGAATTGAATTGAATTCCACAAAGCCTGAGGCTAACGTGAGAAGTTGGCAATAACCTTGAATGAAATTCAGTGATCAAATTCTTTGCTTTCTGGTTGACCGTGGATGACATCATTACAAATCAGTGGTCTAAAAAGGAGTAAACTGTCATTTTATTTGATACTTTTTCAGAGCGACATTTGAAATATAATGTCATTGTATATCAGCAACAGATGGATATATACATGTCACAGTTGAATTTTTCTCGTCAGTCTAGAGATTGACTATCATCGAAATTCAGTAGTGATCTAAACATTTTCCTGTACAAAAATGTACAGAAAACTTTGGGAGGGACGGTCATCATTAGTTTATTGGTAAAAGAAACCTGCAACTTAATTTGAAGACACAAAACCTTAGTTGAAAGAAAACGTTTCCCTTTCCTCAACCTCGATCCCAAGCCAGCACGCGAAGCTTGTCAAAAAAGGGAAACAAAGTAATACTTTCAAATGTTTATACATGTTGAAGGTAAATTTCTTTAATATAAACCACTTTTAATAATCGACAGTCACAAACTAAATCTAACATCAATTGGAGACCAAAGATAGCCGGGCATCTTGAGCATTATTGCAGAGTACCCTGACTTGAGTAATGATAACACAGTTTAATCGACAGGGTCTTTTCGCAATGAAGGCTTCGTTTTGGGTCTCAGTTTTTATTTCTTCTGATATCCTTATCAAGAAAACGTGTGTAAACAATTATTGCCAACGTTTGTAAGCATAGTATCGGCGTCACAAAGGGAATCAATACTCTAAGCAAAGAGGTGATTAGATGTCCTGCATTACCTTCGTTATTATTTACCAGTACTGTCACATTCTGTAAAGTCACATTACGTTGTTTATTGTCATAGAAACGACCCTTTTACTCTATATAGGTCCTTCTTGTGCTAATTTTATCTGATTAACCCATGTGCTTTTCCTTACTTTTAAAAACCTTTAATGTCACCCATGTGACAATAAATGAGTTCTCGATACCAAAACATGGCACTATAATTGCATGGACAACTCTGTTTTACTTAAAAATGGTTTGATTGCCATGACAACCAATTAATCCAATGTGTCGACAATTATAAAACCACACTGCAATCATTCACGAAGTCCAAGTCTTGTAAAAGCAAGTTACAGTGCTATTTATGGATAAACAAAAAACAAGAACACATTAAGAGGCTCATTATCTGAGGGTATCAATTGACAGACATACTATTTATGTTCGTTTCGTATTTCTTATTTTTTAAATTTCATTTCAGAGTATGTCAGGAATTGAAGTTGGTGAAGAGGTTTCCACAATCTATAACGATATGAAGCTTAGAAGCACCTTGAAGTGGGTTACCTTCAAAATAGAGAATAAGAAGAAAATCATCAAGGATCAAAGTGCTGAACCAAATGACAATTATGGCGATAAAACGCAGTTCGATGAGATGAAGGCCAAACTGACTTCTGAACCACGATATATTCTCTATGACTTCAACTTCGACTCAAAGGAAGGTCGCAATATAAACAAGATTGCTTTCATTTTTTGGTACGTATACAGCCATCTTACTTGCTGAGGCATTTATTTCCCAATTCTCGTTCAAAACGAATAAAGTTAAAATTTCACCTTCCCCCAAACGTTTTCAGCACAAATCCGTCCTGATCCATTTTTTTTATTAGATGTTAGGTGGGATAAAGAGCATTGTGTTTCACCCGTACGCCGGTGTGTGTTTTGCACTCTATACTTTCCCGAGTCCTAAGAAAACAGATCACAAACGATTATGTCAATTCAAAGTGATCTTTTACCACTAGACCACCAAGCTTTCCCGGTAGCTAGAGGCAGTTCAGTATTGTTAAATACTGGGCAAGCTCGTTGGTCTTGTGGTAAGACATCTGCTCTAGAATAGCAAAGGCCATAGGTTCTACCCCCCCCCCCCCTAAGTATTGTGCCTGTGGATTTTTTGTTCAGTGGACTTGAGAAAGTACTGAGAATTCAGCACTTAGAACATAATGCATGGGTAAAACACAGGTAAAATGATCAACATTCATATTGTTATCAATGCAGGATTTTTGACGATATGATTCAATAACCTGAGATTAATTGTTCCCGCAGGTGTGATGATGGCAATGCTAAAATCGGAGACAAGATGATCTACGCATCAACCAAAGACACCATCAAGAAGGCGTTTACTGGCCTTGGTTTGGAGTTCCATGCTAACACTATGGCCCAGTTAGACTACGAAACATTCAGGGCCGAGGTTGAGAAAAAGGCTTAAAATCATTACCCAGAACCCGATTTGATAAGATTAGATACGCGTTAGAAAACCGTTCGAAGTTTTAGTCATTGTCAAAGTTTGAGAAACGAAAAATGAAAGATGCTAGTAGTTTTTCTCTGTGCACGTGAGTGTATTACGTTAACAATATTTGTTGATAATAAGGCCCGGATGACGACATGGATGACTGTTTTGACACCAGCTGTATTGCTCCACACCAATAATCAATCAAATTCGACATCAGGGTGGGTGTAATGTGGGCGGAGCTTCAATGATAGGCCACACATTCCTACATAGCTGTACTCCAGAGGTGCAGTGTAATTTGATTCCATTATCGACACAAGTTTATATGAATTATTCATTTTGATATCATTATCCTCACAAGGTTAAATGAGTTATTCACTTGACTATTATCCTCACAAGTTGAAAAGAATTATTCATTTGATATCATTATCCTTACAAGGTTAAATGAATTATTCATCTGATATCATTATCTTCACAAGGTTAAATTAATTTTATTTGATATCATTATCGTCACAAGGTTAAATGAATTATTTTACGATATCATTATCCTCAGAAGGTTAAATGAATTATTCATTTGGCAAGAATACTTGAGTTGACTTGACATTAATTGCTTTGTTGTGAATTGCTATACATGTAATTATAGGTTGGTTGTGGTCTTTTATTTAATCAAGGTTGGTGAAGGTTCTTTTTTATTCGCGACTAGATCATCTCTCATTCTCTTTACTTTGCTAATATGTTTTTTTAAGCTTTGATTATAAATCAAGTCAGTAGTATCGGAAATGAAGTTTCTTGATTCGCAGATATAAAGTTTACGTGTATGTTTCCAAGCATACACATCTGACTTTTGTTACTTGTTACTCTGAAAATATTTTCTAGCTGATTGCAAATAATATGCCGCATGGCTAATACCATAATACCCATCTACGTCAAACTCGAATCTTAAAAGTAATGTTTCAGTTCCAATGTTTTATTTAAAGCGGCTTATCGTGTTTCTATTTGTTTTGATGGCTTCTGTTATAATTGTCTTTTTATTACGGTTATGGCTGTTTAGTCTACAAGTTTTATTAGTTGAGAGAATAAATAATGATTATTGCATAAAAAAAAAGAGTGTGTATACTTAAACAAAAATGGTTGACATGTGACACAAACTGTTGAGAAGCAAACAGTGTGATGACCTACACCGTGTGGTGCATAGTATAGATTGGTACCCGTCCGACATGGGCGTCGCCAGCATTTTTTCTAGAGGGGGGCAAAAACTTGAATTTTTTGCCAAAAAGTGCTTGTATTTCTCAACACATCTATCAGTTTTAGAGGGGGGCAGGGACATTTTGCCCCCCACCCCAACTCATTAAATTTACACCACTTTGTCTTCGCGCCTCTTTTTTCTTTTCTTTTTTTTTTCTTTTTTTTTCTTCCTTTTTTTTTTTTTTTTTTTTTTGCTTTTCCAGGGGGGGGGGGGGAAAGTGCCCCCCTTGCCCCCCTCTCGCGACGCCCATGCCGTCCGATTTAAGAGTCTTGATATAGTTCACAAAAAAGTTTCAGACCTTTATGATCGTTGCGTCATATTTTAAACATAAAGGCCAACCCCGTATTCGTACAGTCAGTTTCCATAATGATTTCCCTAATCGCTCGGTATTGTCATTCATTTCTAACCTCGTGCATTTGGCGTGTCATGGCTGAGAGGATAGTGCATCGGACTCGGTGGCTAAGTCTTGGTGGCTACGTCATCTGGGTGTGGGTTCGAATCCAGGTCATGACACTTGTGTTCTTGACCTAGACACTTAACCATAATTGCTTCGTGAAAGTTGGGGAGGAAGTGCGTTCTGCTCTACCGGCCAGGCTCCTAATGGATGATGCCCAAACCGACATCCTCACGGACTGTAAAGAGGAAACCATGTTTCAGCCCCAGGAGTAGGTGGTTACAGCCCCTGGAAAACAGTTGATTTCCAGCCCAATTTCCAGTTAATTTTCCGAGCAATCGTGCTTTTGTAATGATGAATAATGAAATGATTATTCAGGGAGACATAACTTGGATTTTAAAAAATGGGTCAGTGGGGTCGGGGGGTGGAGCTTGACAACATCTGGAGTGGGGGCAATCTTGCGATATAGTGCCGACAGCCCCCTCCCATTTAGTTTAAATTCTAGTTTTAATTCTTCTTGGAGAGAAGTAATCCAACACCCTGTCTGGCAAATTACATTGTCTTTTGTTTGTTTGTTTTTTGCACAGAACTTGCATTGAACGCGTCGCGAGTGGGTTTTCGACTCGGAAACCTTTGCTTCGGCTTCGGTTCGGCTTCGCCTCCTACTTCTGAATCAGTGAGAGGCAACCTAAACAAAATTATTTCAATTTTTGTCTTCATATCAACCGATTGAATGTTCCTGAAGCATAACAGGCACCAAAATGTAGCCGGAGTCCCCGAAGTCGGGACCTATTAGAGACACACTCTTCGGGAAAAAATGGTCCGGTTAACATTGTTAACTTATTTCTTATGATGGGACTGCGGTTTGGCCGAAGTCAATTGAGCGTGATCGGCTGACTGATAAGGTTTACGTACAAAACCCCAAGCCACCGAGGTTTTTGTATTGAAAGCTGCCGGACCACATTTTGCGAGAGTGTGTCTGTAATGTTTGAAGCCTGCCGGTAATGCTGAGCCTGCAAACTGCCAAAGTTACCAGTGGCATGCCTACATTTTCTCGTGCAAATAGGTCCCATTTTTGGACCCTAATTTTATCAAATCTGCTCTTAGATAATAGCCCAAAAGCCAGGGAGATGATCCTCGGCTATATTCGCACGATTCCATCGATTTTTAAACTAGACGGTCTCGTTTTTTACAAAAAATTGTGGGGGCACTTTTCATGCAAATTAACGACTCGGACGCGTAGAAATTTTGAAACCCTAATCAAAATTATTGCGCCCGCTGTTGGTCTTATTGCGCCATTCAGATATATCTTCTGTCTAGCCAACACCCCCCCCCCCCCACCACAACACCGCAAAATAATAGTAATTAAATACTGTTAAAAATGTGCTCGTTTATTCAGAAATTCATGAAGCATATTCAAACTGATTGGATGTTTCCAAAGTGTCTTTCCCATTTGCAAAAGTTCTTTTTAAAAGCCCGTCAACCGTAAAATGTCATTAAGCCGCAGACGAAACCACTGAAAGCCAGTCGTTTCGAAAACGCTCAAATCCTGCGGTTAAGAAGTGATAGCGCCCTCATTCTAGGCAAGAATCTTGTACCTAGTCTCACCGTGAACCGTTTCAATATGATACGAGCGCATAGGATCTTTGGCATTCGATGGACACCAGACTATTCACGTATCGACATTCGAGATGTTGAAAGGGGGATGAATTCGCGAACAAATTCGTGTTTTTCTCATCACAATTATGTCGGGAAACGATGTCTCTCCACAAAGTCAGACCATGGAGACCACTGAGAAAAGTGAGCTGGAAGATGGGGAAATTGAGGACGAAACGGGGTCGGAAAATGACCAATTTGTCTTCACTCCCGGACCGGGCAGCTCCAGGAAATTCCAGATTCCGTCGCTCATGACAATGAACGTTGCGCAAAAGGGATGGCAACGACGTGGGGAACCCCCAACGAGTCGAGCACCGAACCGATATTTCCCCAGAAATTCAGGTAGTCACCAGCGTCCGCAGGGGAGAAAATACCCAGCAAGTACAGTCATGGCAGTAGGAGGACCACAGATGTTAGAACCTCTCCGTAAAAGGTCGATGGGAAGCAGAGAGTTTACCGGAGGTGTCCAAAATGAAAGCAGTGGTGCTGGTGTCAAAAGGAGGAGGGAAATGAACAAGGATGACGTCATAGACGAGAGGAGGCTTCCAAGAAATGATAAAAACTTGGTATCATCTGCCAAGAAAACAAGACAGTGTATCCTTCATTAGCAATAATAGCATGATTAGAAAATTAGAGATGACAATTTGTGTACAACAGCCAACCTTTGGTGGAAATTTGATAGGTCATTCAAATGAGACATAGCACTAAAAAAATAGCCAACGATAAGGAATACATTGAACCAGTTTCATGGTGATTGCCATCTTGGAGTAGTTGCAGAATACCCCGCCACGCGAAAATTACCCACTAAAAATAAATGGCTACGTAGTGCAGAAATGTCCAAAGTACATCGGGAAGTGGATACGCGGATACAATATACAGCGTGGAGTTGAGAGCTGGAGGGTCTAAAGAGGGCGCTATTTCCCTGTAATAAGAAATGAGGCAAGCAGGGACAACGTGAATTGAATGGGGAGCAGGGGTTCAATAAATGTCTAAGTCCAAAGTAGGTGCCAGGAAGTGGATACGCAGATACGGGGTGGACATAATAGCGGGCGTGCCCGCGTGTAGTTTGGTTGAGCATCCAAGCGTGACTCCGTATCCGTGTATCCGGATACGAGGTGAGTGGTGGGGTATTCTGCAATTGTGCCGCCATCTTTATTTTCCTGTTGTATTTGTTGTTTCCATCTTCATCTTTAATATCCCCAATTTCTCTCAAAAATTTAAAATCCTGAATTCTCATGATACTTTATCTGTGACACACCTGCATGTTCTTAATGTCGCTAACTAGTTTTGTAAGTCAAGTCAATTAAAAGTGGATTTTGTTCTCCTATATACACGATATAAGGAACCGGGCCCATAAATACATGGTCACCCTTTTCAGTACTTCCCATGGACTTCAGTTCACAAACATGACAAAAATATTCATCAATGTTCATTGTGGCATAGATGGACATGAACGGGTTAGGACATATTGATTTCTGTTTTGTGGTAACACTGGTACTTTAAATCTCCATGTTTTTGTTTTAGAGACTAGAAAAAAATCAAGCTGAATAGTCATTGTTGATAGCAAGGCTTATTGTAAAAACAGTACTGTGAAAGGATAATGGCAGAAACACTTGTGAAGAATACATAATACGAAATATTTTGTAATCACTTTTGTTAAAATTTGTTAAACATCTATCTTCAAGTTCACAATTTTGTTGTACATGAGCTATGTAGAATTTCATATACTTTCTGTCAGCCCAAAACACTGAAAACCTTAGCACACTGGCCATAGTCGACCGAAAACGTGCCCGGCGGAGATCCCGTACTAAGGTCAGCCTTGAGAAGGAGTCTAACGTTTCCTCAGATCAAGATGAATATGAGGCCTTGTTGCGCAAGCATCATGAAGTACAGGAACTCATCAAACAGGAAGAACAGAAATTGACATCAGAGAGGCGGAGTCTGGATTCAAATCAGGAGGAGGGAGGCGGGGATGAAAATGTTCAACTCGACAGGTTGGTAGGCTGTGCTGTAATTTGAATATTCATCTTCCATTGATTATTGAGTAATGAATATTGATGCGTAATTTGCATTTTGTGTTTTGTCAGCAGGGGCAAAGGTCCAGAGTCATCAAAGCGATTGAAAACAAGGTCAAGGTCAAGGTCTGGTTCCCTTAAAAAGGACCTAGCTTCCCCTCAGGATACCACAGTAGAGGACGGAAGTGATGCCGAGATTGTTGAGGTACCTGACTACATGAATCTGTATGTGTTTCTTTGGGCAATAGATCCAACAGCCAATTCAACGATAGATAAGAAATATCTTCAAACAAACAACAATTTTGCCCAAATGCAACATTGTGTATCCCTCGGTTCATCTTTACTACTGCTCAGAAGTCATTGGTGCTCAGTCATCTATAACTGCAGTGCTGCAATATTAAGTTATCCATGGAGAGCTGATAAAGTTCTTTAACCCTTACTCTCTGAGGGTAGTTTACTGCATGTCAGTTGGTTATGCCAATGCCCTCCAGCTGCAGTTTATTGGCAGATAGTTTGATTTAACAGTGAAGGCTCCAATTGGCAGGAGTTGGAGGCCCTGGAGGGTGCCTGATAGTGACCAGCTGGGGGCACTCACTTTGTTATCAGAGGACTCTCATTGTTCTCTGTGGCATGTATTGGAGTGCCTGTCCAGTTACCCTTGAAATGACATGGCAGATATTGGAGGGCCATGCAAAAAACATAGGAGATTTTCTTGAGGCACATATTGGCATGCGTTGGAGGGTCTAGTAGGGTAAGGGTTAATTAACGGATGTAAGTGTACCAAAAAATTGTCAATTTTGTGTACATCATGGAGAAGATTGTTGCACTCTGACTTGTATCATTCTTTATGCAGGTGGGAAGCCCAGCTGTAGAAGACATCATTGAAATTCCTGATGATGATGATGAAGATGATGATGAGTTGCTGCAGTTGAGACGTCTGGCTTTGGAGTCGGCAACCAAGAACGTTGCAGCTAGGGAAGAGAAGGAGAACCAGGCACAGAAACACAAAGCAGAGAAAACCTCAGGTGCTCCAGAAGGAAATGTTTTGGTTTTGTCGGTCGGATGGACTAGAACCCAAGACATCCTGCTTTCTGGTGCAGACGTCTTACCACTTGACCCCCGACTTGCTGGTATTTGCTGGCTGGTTGGAATCTGAATGAAATTAATGCACCTTAATCGTGGTCTCCTTTCACTAATATATCCACAATAGTGAGAACAATTACAGAGAAATTTGGGACCTTGAGCACCATTCGGCCTTTTGACTAAGCTAAGGTTAACTACAAAAGTTAACTTATAACAATTTACTATTTTCAGTTGTCTTTGCAAGTTCTCACAAACTGAAATAGCCTAGAATTTTACGAAATAGTTGATGCAGAAGAAATTAACTTGTATGCCTGTTTTTTTTCACTTGTTGATTTGTCTTGTAGAATATAAGCAAGCTAAGCAGAGGGAGCGACGCCAGAAGGTTAAACAGCTCTTCCATAAGCAGAGCATTGCTGCCGAGATCTTCAAAGTCCACGGGGAGAAGGAACGCTTTGATAAGTTTATGGAAATCATAGCAAGCAGACGTGGGAGTTTGTCATCATCTCAAGGGGCAAGTATTGCTGCTTACTTCGTTAGATGTTCGTAGTGTTGTAACAGTCACCAAGGCCTAGTCTGTGATTAAAATAACTTTCAAAATGTCTTGTATTTGATATTGAGAATTTCATTTTAACTTTAAAATATTAAATTTACAGAAGAGTGTGAGAAGGTCACCGTCAGTAGGCAAGGAATCTTCCAAGAAGCACTCTGTATCCAGCAGTGAGGATCTTCCTGCAGAGTTCCAGTATGATAACTATGAGCAAGTTGAGATGGATGTCAGTGAGATGGAGGAATCACCAAGTAAGCCGCATCACAGTGACTTGGCTGTGGCTGTCTGTAACATACGCCTCTATGGGAAGTGTATTGAGCCGCTTCCATAGCTGGTTATGTGTAATAGCAAGCCATAGTAGCCAAATAATTCAGATGCTAAGTTTGAACAAATTCCCGACTTAGTTTGTCAATCTGTGATGCACCTTTCAACAGAATTTTAAAATGAGCTTGAAATTCACAGCTGTGTCTTATTATTTGATACATTTTGTTCAGTCCGTGTTTTGCCATATTAAAAGCTTTATTTTGTTATAAAACAAGTCTTACTACTTTGGGTTTTTTTTTTGGAAACTTTATTAACTTTGATATTTATTAAAAGATGCTAACTTTTAGCAACATTCTAAGCCTGACGACAACTACTTGATCAAATAGCCGAGGAAAAGCATTTTCACAAAACCAGGAGGCTTGCCAATCCAGCCACTTGACAGTTGATCATATGTAAGAAATATTCGTTTGGAATTCACAAAATCAGGTTCAGATTAAACCGTTCAATGAGTGTGCTTTGTTTTTGTCTTACAGCATTAACTCCAGTGACTGAGAGCGTTGGTCTAACTCCAGATATGGGTCTAACTCCAGATATTGTAAGTCACTTTGCAAGGATAACTAGAAGCCACAGCTGCAGGGAAAACCCAGTTTTCATAAATTCCCTTCATGTACCATAGTGCAAGAGACAGGTTGGCACCCTGTATTTTGTATTTTCACATCTATGTGACCAAAACCAACAACATGACTCACAAGTTGCTGTAGCTGCTTCTGAATAAATTGGCCTGTTGATAGAATCTTATAGTCTATTGAAATCAATGAACATTGTGAATTGCTTTCACCTACATGATAGTTTGATGAAGATGTCGAACGGAAGAGGAAAATGTTAAAATGTAGATCAAATTATGCAATGCTGGTGAAAATTGAAAGTGAATCTCTGTCCTTTACACAAATTGCATTGGATCTGGCTATTGTCTATAAAGTGTGACATTATATTCCTGTGTTTGCTACTAGATGCAGGTCCTGACTAGCTCCGACACAGACACCTCCACTGCTGTTGAGAGCATCACTCAGGGAAACGAGGATGCTGTTGCCGAGGGTAACAAGGACAATGAAGCTGATTCAGATGATGCCGATGATGATGATGATGATGATGATGTCATGGCATTAAGAGAGCAACTCCTCCGCTCGTTAGCAACCAAGAGGGCAGCCAAGGCACAGGCTCAAGAAAAAACAGAGGTGCACTCTTCAAATCTGACTGATTTGCTGGAAAACAAAATTTCCTGGCGTAAAAGAGAAGCCTTGTTTGGAGAAAAACCAGAGGAATAAAGTTGACATAAAATTGTGCATGTGTTTTGAGCATGCTGACTGAATGCCACCTTATTAGCCAAAGCTCCTCATCTGAAGGCAGTTACTGTGCTTGTATCCTGCCTGCATAGCTGGGGATTTTTCTTTACACATTAATCATCTAATGAGTCAATAACTAAAATTGCTGTTACCTATTTTGTTTTTCATCATCGTGTTACTTCTACGTATTTTTAATCTTGTGCATCTATGTAAAAAGGCCTGTGGAATTTCTCCTTATTGGGATAATTAAGTTTTTGTTGTGTTGTATTGTTGTATCCAGCAGGTCCAAGAAGAGGAATATACCCCAGATGAGCCCAGCGTCCTCGGCCCTACCTATGAACCCTCCCCGATCCTAACCCCTTCATTCAGCAAGTCTTCCCCATCCTCTGATGTCCCACCCCTAGCCACCTCCTCTCCCAAGGTCTACGCCTCCCCTATCTCCACCCCTCGGACCCAATCACCAACTTCCAATCTGAACAAAGGACTCATGAAGGCAAAGACAAAACCCAAAGGGGTACTACCTCCGGTAAGTTGACTCTGATCAGTAGAAGATCACATTCATTATTATTTTAAGGAAAATTTGTTATTTTTATTTGTTAGGGCTGACGACTCCATCATGAGTCCAATCACAAGTTTGTCACGCCAGTCACAACTTGGGTCTTTTGTAACTCTTAGCAACAACTTCGGAATGCTGTCCCAGTTGCTTTGAATAGTTTGTCACTTGACTTCAACTCTGGTTCTGTTACATTGCAGATCACAGATTTGTAGTCAATCCAGCAGGAGTAGATGAAATGCCTTCGTCACAGTTCATTTAAATTTTTTGTCTTGAGACCAGGTGACTTGTAAAAAAAAACTTGTAGAAGCACAAGTCTTACTCAATTTCCATTTTGTCCCACTTACAATTTGATTTTCCAATTTTTTTCCTAGATCCCTACTCACAAGCCAGTGGTCATCCAGTTTGATGGAGACAGTGACTCCAGTGATGATGAACACTCTCCACAGAAACCGGAAATGAAGCAGATCAATTTCCTTGACCAGTTCTTGAAGGAAGCACGGCGAACTGCTGATGTAAGTCATTATTCTGCAGGACTTGACATATTTTAGGATTTGATAAATTCTCAAATGCAACAGCCAACCTTTGGAACTTTTATAGGTTATGAGCATTCCAATGAGACATAGCACACACAAAATAGTCAACGATAAGTGATACATTAAATTAGTTTCAACATTTTATTGAACAAAACAGTGTAGTGTATAGTGGATGTAGTTTTATTTTGAAATCAAGTTTTTTTTCCAAAGTAAGAAGTAAAATTGAATGAGATTTATTGACTGGCCTTTGCAATTGGATTAAACTTTGGCTTTCAAATCTGTTAGGCAAAGAAATCGCAATCTCAGCAACCTCCTCCCCACATGCTGGTTCCCAAGACCCCGGATGCCATGCATAAGCTGCCTGAGATTCACCGGGCAGAGTACCATAAGCTCAAGGAGGAGATAGCTCGTCGAGAACAGCAGAAATTGAGCAAGTCTGCGTCATTCAGTGGGCTAAGCTCCGGGACGCAATCCCCGGTACGAGATGTCACAATCAGCATCACAAAAGTAAGCCACTGTCAAGAATAACCCTTGCTCTACATCATCCCCAATTCACATTTTCCAAAACCGACTGCCATATGTTTTTTGCAGTGATGTACTGTTGTCAAAGAGGCATGTTTTTAAATTTTCATGATTTATTTGTAGGTTGACGGTAAAGTTCAGCGGACAGTTGTCTTGAAAGACCCTAAGGCAAAAGACACAGCAGATCTGAGGCAGGACGGAGAGAAGGTACAAGTGGGGAAGAAAGAAGTGCCACCAGGGACTACGAAGGAAAGCCCAGAAGTTCTGGCGTGTCAAGGCAGTCTCACTAAGCATAGGTCAGCATCTGTTATTAATCCCCCCCCCTTCCCCAACACCCTGCTAATATTGAGCAGATGATGTCAAAAGTGGAGTGCCGTGGCCTAGTGATCTGGAGCATTGAATTCGTGGTCTTCGGGTAATTCTGCAGGTTGTGGGTTCGAGTCCAGCCTGGGATTATGGTGCATGTACCCTTGGGCAAGGCACTTTGTCACTCATTGCTTCTCTCCAACCAGGAGTAAATGGGTACCTATGAGGGCAGAGATGCTTACTGTGAGAGGTTGATTACGGCCAAGAGCACCGAAATGGCTGCCTACTGGCCATGTATGCTCCCCAGGGAGTTGAGAAGGTTTCAGGAGTGTTTGCCCGTTGAGCAGGGGTAACAATAATTATAAAGAGCTTTGATGCTCAGTTTAAAAGTGCTATGTAAATGCCTGTTGTTATGTTCTGTGAATGCCGAATGCTTCGGGACAAAGCTTGAAATGAAGTCAGGATTAAAAAAAAGAATGCCGTGGGAGTGATTTTTGTTGAATTTTTAGATGTTTGAAAAGTTTGCCAGGTGAACCAACAGACAAGATAGTGCGTCTGACTGCAAGGCCACCTTATTAAATGTTTGCCAATTAAAGTATCTTAATTTGTAGAGTCTTTTGTTTTCAATAGATTGACAGCTGAGAAGGACTGTCGCATACTGTCGGCCCTGGAAAAACAGATTCAGAAGCGTCACTTGATCCTACGACAGACGGAAGCCAAGCTACAACAGCTCAGAGAGGAACTTTCTGTCGGGGAAAGAATCGCTGCTTCCAATCGCTCACAGATCAAGAAATACATTCAACAGGTAAAAAAGAATTGTGCATGATCATGTGAAACATTTGAATATTCAAAAATCTGAGTATGGACAACCACAATGAATATTGTATTTGAATCTTGTAAGTTCATGTAACCTTTCGTTTTGTAGCTTAACCAAGTACTTTTTCCTTTTTGTTTTTCATCATTTGTTTTAGAAACATCTCATCCAAAGAAAGGTGCAAGAGCATGTGACACTGGATTCCCAGCTGAGAGAAAATCTTGCCAAGGCAAAGGGCGTGGCCGTCACAAATATCAGCCAATCACAAATGATGTTACAGGCTGCGTCAAGGCTGCCTAAGAAGACCGCTGTGATTGGTGGAAGGCTGAAATCAAAAGGGGAACCAAACGTGAGTCTTCTACGATTTTATTTTGTCCCACCATTGTCCCAACACTCTAAATCTTTAAAGACTAGCTTTGCATTCCAAACAAGAAAACATTTACAAAAAAATATCACACCTGATTCATATTTCAGACCATTTTTTTCTTCAAATTGCCTCTCTGATCTCCATTTGTGAATACAATGATCAATAATCTTGTAGTTCTGCAGAGGCCCTGGAATATTATTCATTACTCTTAAAATTTCCTCCAAATGCACTATGCTAAAAATTGCCTAAATTTGTGTAAATGTAAATGTTGCATTGCTTAAACCGTTTGATGTTTATCAAAACAGAGCCCGATGTCAAAGACGTCTGAGACACAACTCCAGCGTTTACAACGACTTGAACGCGAGTATGCCAACCAGATCACAAAACTACGTGAAGAAAACGCCAAACAGGCAGCCAGACAGACAAATCCCGTTCCAAAGACTGTCGTCCGAATCCTCAAGACCAAGACCAAGCTTTTGAACAAGAAGCCATCCCAACAACTCCTGACGAAGGACAAGATTGTTCTCGGTAAAGACACACCGACAAACACGGACAGCGAAAGTGACGCGGAAAAGTATCTGCGGTCTCGGAAAGACTCTAAACGGAGACGTTCATTCCTAGACAACAATCCATCTCTGAAACCAAACCTCCATGCTACTTCGCAAATCAACCAATCAGAATTATCCAAATCGAACGTCAACCAATCGACATCTTCCACATCAATCATCGACCAATCAGCATCATCCAAACCTGCCATCAACCAAAACAAACCCACTGTCTCAGCTGACCCCCTTAAACCTGCTGACGGTAACAAATCTTCCGCTTCTGGGAAAGCACCTTTCAAAGCCGATAGTCGGAAAACTTCTCCTGTTACAAACAAATCGCCAAACAAGAGTCCGTCGATTGCAGATGGGATGTCAATTCCGAGTGAGGAACAAGTGGAACGATTACGATGCGCCCATGCGGAGAAATCCAAGACTGCACTTGATGCAGCTCTACTTGCCATTCATTTCCCACTGGAGTCAGATGCAACTTCAGGGTCTAACAATTACTTCTCAAGAAAGACCGCAGAAGTGAAGATGAGCATCGTTGAAGATGCTGAGAGAATGGACCAAGACGAAGATGTTGAACAAAGTCTTGTGCCTTACTCAAGTCCTCTTCTCTGTTTTCGCTCTTATAGGTAAGAGTTCTTTCCTTTGTATTTATAAAAACATAATGAATATTAGGTCATCATATTCTGAATTATTCTTTGAATCCACAGCTCTCCACAGATTTTGCTAGACCTGAATCTTGAGCCAGTGTATTGTTCTCCAACTGACTGACTGACTTACTCCCCGACTGATTCACTGTGAATAAATAATGTCTATAACTGAGACTTTTAGGTTCAGCTCAGCTAGGCCAGGCTAGTCTTGTAGCAAAATATACCATTTGTTGTTCTCCTATCTCCTGCTTGCCACAGATTGAGTCCCTTCTTCGTCCAGGAAGCCAAGTTGTCCAGACTCTCCCTGTCCTTCAGCCATAAGCTTAACCCCATGAGGGCAATGTGTCAGTTTGAACTCAATGGAACATGTAATGACGATGAATGCCCATGGTAAGACTGCCAAAGTTGACATTTATAAGTGGCCATATCTGAATCTCCTGTCTAAAGCTAATGTCTCGGTCTTTGATGATTACAACTACTTGTGAGTGCTGTTTGTTTGTTCACGCCCTATTACTGTTGACCTGACGTCTCTTTGACTAAAATTGACCTAAGTATCTCAGCTGTGACCTTTTCTTCATGTCTCAGGCAACACAAAAAGGACTATGAGATGACCGACCATGAAGTCTATGCAGACCTGCTTGCCTACACGTCTCTCATAGCAACCAGCAAAGACTGGCAAGATCCAGAGAAACGTCATCAACGAGTAGAAGATTACATCAATAAGGCTGTCAAGAAGAGCAAGAGACCGGAGAACGCTAAGAGACAGAGAGAAGCTCTGTGTAGAGCCTTCGCTAATGCTGTACTGACCCAGACCAAAAAGGGTAAGAACCATGTCCAAGACAGACAAATCTGGTATCGCTCAGTTTAGGATACGGTAGTCCACTGCAGGAATTATATCTCCTAACTCTTCTACATTTTCTCACCTCTGACTTGATGTATCCAATCTTCCTTGTAGTCTTCCAGTTTGTCCCTCAACCTCTTCTTTCTCTTCTTCTGTTGCTGTTTCTTTGCTGCCGGTCAGTCAACATCCTTGTCCATCTTATGCTATTCAGTCTGGCCACATGACCTATCCCATCTCTACTTGGTCTTTGCTATTTCATTGGGCAGCTTGTTGATATTGATCTGGTTCTATTTTCTGTACATAGTATTCAGTATCAGAGAAATGCCTATCATTCTTTCCATAGTTTGTCTTAGACATTGAATTCGTGGTCTGCGGCTAATTTTGCAGGTTGCGGGTTCAATTCGAGTCCAGCTTGGGGTTATGGTGCATATGCCTTTGGGGAGGCACTTTGTCACTCATTGCCTCTCCCCACCCAGGAGTAGATGGGTACCTGCGGGGGCAGAGGTGGTTATTGTGATCGATTCAAGCTGCTTGCGCGGCAAATTGGCAGCATTGAGCTGTATACTCCCCAGGGAGCTGAGATTGTATTTGGAATGATCACTGGCCCAATGAGGAGGGTAATAATGATGTAGACCCTTGAGCACCAATACTGGTGGATACATGCACTTTAAAATGACCCACTATTATAATACCAGTTATGTTGTCACCAGTATTATGCACTGGTTAAATCCTATTAATCCACAATGAACCAGAAAGTATTTTCTACTTGTAGTTTCCCCAGGTATCATAGCTCAGCCTCGAAGCTGGACCCCCAAACAAGCCCCATCCACCTCCCCCCAGACATCGGGCGACAAAACAGACCCACCCCTCCTCCCCAGGGGTAGTAAGATGACAGAAGGCCTGCAGATCATCCCCCTGGGTGGGGGGAATCAGGAGAGGTATTTCTCAGGGGAAGGAATAGCAGACCTAGAGGCCGCTGTTCTCGAGACGCCAGGCGATGTGAAGATGTGGATTAAGCTGGCTTGCAGAATCATTGGTGATGAAAGGTAAACCAAACATTTGTGCAATTTTTTTTTGTGTGCATTCAGTGTATTTTTTACTTTTGCAAGTTTTCTTTTTCCTTTTTGGGACTTGACACAATCTTGAAACGAGACGTCCTTTTGAGTCAGTTCGCATCACTGACATTTGAGTGCCATCTTATTTGGTATCTCAAACTGAGACTGGGGTAAGTTTCAGCAGTTTTTTATTTAGAGTTCAGGGATAAAAATTTCTATAATAATGAAGAATCATTCCGAGCCCTTGGTATGGAGTACAGTATCATGCGCTTTGCAAGTATAAGCTAGCTTTTATGGAAGATGTAGCTGTAATCCCCGCAATCGTGGTTCCGTGTTTAAGGACTCTAGTGATGAGTCTTTGACTTGAGTTGGGTAGTGTCATTGCCTGTAATTTCGAGTCACTAAAAATTGAGGCTGAAGTAGAGCTCGAGTCAAGTCATGGATGAGAGTCTTTACAACTCTTTATATTTGTCTGTTTCTATCAGTGAGGATCAGGACATCGATCCAGGCTTGAATGCGTTATCCCGAGGCCTGGAAGCTAACCAATCCAGCTCAGAGCTCTGGCTGCAATACCTTCTGCTGTACTCTCAGAGAGAAGACCACAGCGATCTATCTGAACTCTGCCAGCAAGCACTCCAGTTTGCACCTAGTTATGACTTGTACTGGCAGGTACGAGCCATGAAGTGAAATTCACACCAATATGTATCTTAATTAATATTGACTACTGGAGGATTTGAACCAGTGGTAAAAATAAATCAGCATATTGTATGGTGGGATGAGGACAATATTATTTTTAATATTGTCGCTGGTTCCCATTCAATAGAGTAGCAACTCACAGTCGTCAACTAGTGAACAGAGCCATAGTGGTCGCGCATTCGATACTAAGTTTTGTCAACAAAAATGGCTATTTCTACTGGCGCGAGATTTGCTTCAGTTTCTGAAGAAGAATTCGAAGAAATTTAAAAGAATAGAGACACCAAAAAAATACAAGGAAAGCATCCAAGATGACACTAGTAAATATTTGACTCTTTGCAATGTTGTTATAGCTCCTGTGATATATTCTTGTATCCCCCTTAAAGCCATCCAATATTATATAATTATTCATCATCATTTTCAACGCATTAGCAACTGCACTACATTGTATTACATTGTGTTTATATTCACCGAAATATCAAGGAAACCATAGAGTGCTTGGGTAATTTAGGGAGCTACAGTGACTAATGGATTAATTCTACACTCCTGAGCTAATTGCAAGGTCCTGACCCTTGACCGATTTCTTGTTTTATTTACCCCTAGTGCCTGAGTTTTGAAGAAAGCTTCCCAGCCAAAGATGCAATCTGTGATCGGATGATTACGTTCCTTCAGAGTCAACAGATGAAGGCAATGACTAGCCAGGGATCTCATCAACTACTGGAAGCATTGCTGTATAGAGTGCAGCTTCATATCATGACTAGAAGAGTCAAGCAGGCCTTGTCTATGCTGCAGGTAAACACAGGAATAAACCTAAAAGGGGGGGGGGAGATGTCCTGCCCCGCCCATTCGGTACATTGTCTTCTGATATAGTCACGCTAATTTTATTTTGGAGTCAACATTATGAGTTTGCTAACTGATGTCTTGCAAATGTTTTGACGTTTTTATAAAATGGATGTAGCGCTTGCACAAAATGTTCTACGTTGGACTATCCAAAAATGTGTTTTCCATTGAACGTGTATGGGAAAATGTACTCATTCACAGTTTACGTGTGGTATTTGTTTAGGGAGCATTGAAAGGCAGTCAGACGTCCTCACAGTACCTCACCCCAGCAGATCACTGCTTAATGTGGCTGGTTCACATCCACATGATTGAATACCAGCGTCTACCACCACATCTCTTTGATCCGACCAGCAGTGGACTGGGACACATTGTATCTAAGGTAAGCGCAGTTTGGCAATTTGGATATTCTTGGGATGTAAAATCTAGGAGTTTCCCTATCCCCTAACAGTGAAGATTTCTTTATATAGTCGTGGGGATATCCCACTACGTCTTAAAAAGGAGGATTTCTTCCTTGTCATCTCTAAGGTTTCCTCAGGCTTTTGTGTGCATGTGCAATTTTGTAACACTCCTGATTTCATTGCTTGAATGATTTATACCGTATGCCCACCTATCTCAACCTCATTCATGCATGGTAGGAGCCGTTGGTTTTCCAGTGGGGGTCTTCATCTGCCATTCAGTCTGCAGAGGGTGTACGTGCAGCATTTCAAGAGGCTCTATCAGCATGCAGTCCAGACAAGTCTGGTCTCGGCCTCAGTGTCTGCATGCCTCTCTATCAAAATTGGGTCGTGTTGGAGCAACTAACTGGAAGGTGGGTTTTGTCACACGACACCTTTTGTTTGGTTTGATTACCGTAACCATTATCATGCTAACTTCTATATCATGCTTTTCTAAAACTTGACTATGGACAATTTGTGAACAGACACGAGAAAGCTGAAGAGATCTGCCAGCGTCTAATCACAGAGTTTCCTGCCAATCCTGAGCCTTGGTTGCTACTCATTGATGTCCACAAACACCAGGGATCTAACAGGACCAAGATAGAACAGGTCAAATTAAACTCAAGTTTAATATGTTTCGCTGGTCTTAGAAGGCCAGCCTACGGTCATCTTTGTACCTATCTCATCGACCCACAGTAGATGTAGCAGCCAACGCCTGATATATAGCCAAGCGCAACAAATACTGATTTGCAAGAGTCATTTCAACAGTATGTGTATGATATTTATCACAGCAACCTCATATTTTTTAACACTTCGGGGTGTGTCCACGAGCGTAAATTGTACCACAATATGCTGTGCACAGCGGCCTTGTTCAATTTCAACACACGGTTCACCTCCACAGACTTCTCATACTTTATGTGTGTAAAACAAATGAGGGATTAGCGTGTTTAGACGTCATCCGGAGGCGAGTCGAGGCGTGCTTGACGTTTCAACCGGTCAGCTGTGCCTGTGTATAAAAAGAGCCAGATCATGTTAAAGCAGGAGTCCATCATTTGCAGCTATCCAAAAAGTGACTGGCATAATTATTGTTGAAAATATATAATAAATTGTATCTTGGTTGAAAGATAGTAAGGGGGCTAAACTCCCTGTGAAATTATTCTTTCTGGCAAGCTGTAATTTTGAAGAAATCAACGAAAGAAGGCCTTTCCAACGGTGCCCCTTAAGAATCACCGTTGGAAATTTCCATTAGTAGTTCGTCTTTTTATTCTGCGAAGTGCGCGAAAGCATTGGCACGACGCACGCACGGGCGTGGTTGCTATAATTCGTCGGATCGGTGCACGACATTGCGTAGCTGCAATCGGCTAGTGAGAACGTGTCTCGGATGCTGAATTCAGGCCCAATTCAAAACATGATTCAGCAACTTTTGATTTGAAATCGAGATCCTAGAATGTTGTTTTTCTCAAAATATACAGCTGAAGCTGAGCTGAAATTTCATCAGGTTAGTTGTTCCGAACCCTTCTTTAGATTTTGAGCACTTTTGTTGCTTCAAACGAAAAAATGCACAAATTACAAATGATGGACCCTTAACACTTCATCCGATGCGAGCTGGTTAAAGACCGAAATAGCAGACCATGTTACACCTGTGTAAGTAATGGGATGTGGTCACCTGAAGCCAACTGTAATTTTCTGCCTTGTAAATCAAAGTTTGGGCCAGGGTGAGGCTTAAGCAGATCTAATTTACAAGTTGGCTGCTACATCTTGCCTTATTGGAAGATTGAAATTTTCGGCAAGAATAATCCCAGCGCGAACTGTTTAAGTAGAACTTTTGGACGTGTATAAACGCATTATAAATCTTTGCTAATTTCAACACCTACTTTTGGCGAAGACCTAAACATATCCAGGAGTTTGACTACATGAATCATATTTTTGTTTCGTTTTGTCTGCAGGTTCTCAAGATGGCAGTGAAGAGAAGATGTGCCGCAATTCACAACGCAGTGGCCAAGTTTGCAATGCAAAACAACCCCAAGGCTTCCATATCTGTCATCAAATTCTGTGTCAATACCTTCTTCACCATACCGGATAAGTCGGCGTACGAGAGCGTGGAACAAATACGCAGACTTTATTGGTAAGCTTACTAACGATGGATTGAGCCATGTGTACTCAGCCACTGCGCATGTGTGCAACCACGCGTGCAGCTATCCAATGCTACATTGAATGTTCCGACTGCACACGTCATATACATGTACATGCCTGTCGGAGTTTTCCCCAGAATATTCTTCTAGGGTTTTCCTCCAACCTCTAGAACTGTAATTTCTTCTCATTGTCTCCTCTCTACAGGTTTTTTTTCAGGCTTGCGAGCTAAAGTGCCTCAAGCGCTTTTGAAGAATCCTTGGTTTCATTACCAGAAATAAATCCTAATAATAATGCTTAATTTTCTTGTCCTGTCAGCTCTCTGCTAGGACTGAGTCTGCCTTTTGATTATTCGCCGCCTGATCTTCGTCCGGGGGTCAGCTCAGAAGTTGTGGAGGAGCAGTCTCAGCATTTGTGGTTGAACTATTGCCTGCTGCAGGAGTTGACAGCAGAGGACAGCGTGGCTTGTGACGCTTATGAGCAATCCCTGTGCCATCTCAAGCGGACTGAAGATGTACAGAGACTGTGGATAGAGTGAGTCTTAAAGAAACAAACTTTGTAACCTAAAGTTATAAAATAGATATCACAAGTCAATCACATGTCAAGCGTAGTCGATCACAAGTCAATCATAAGTCTGTCACAAGTCAATCACAAGTCAATCATAAGTCAATCACAAGTCAATTACAAGTCAATCATATAATTCAATCATAAGTCAGTCACAAGTCAGTCACAAGTCAATCACAAGTTGATCATAGGTTAATCATAAGTCGTCACAGTTCAATCTCAATTCTTTCACAAATCAACCGCAAGTCAACAATATAATCCTAAGACACTCACAAGTCAAAACAAAAGACAATCACTTGTCAGTCACAATTCAATCACAAGATTTGATAGTGTTAATCCATAGGTACAGAATGAATTGTCCCCGTGCGTGCTTTGACTTCTGTTTGCGTAGATTTTTTTCCATGTATCATGGATATTTAACAGGCTAGGTATAAAGGGCACCAAGTCACTAGTACTCTAAGCCTCACAGCTTTTCAATGCTAAGACCGTTCCTTTGACTATATTCTGTTGTTCCACATTTGTCATCCCTTACCACAGGTATCTACTCTTCAGGAAATCCAAACTAGCCGCCAGTCAGGACAAAAGTGAAGCATTCCGAGCCTTCACAGGGCTTGTCAATCGATGCTTGGTTTCCATGGCAACAGAGTTTCCCCTGCCTCATTCGGACAAGAAGACGTGGCTGGACTTCTCCTTCCACAACCGTGTGGTTGAGCTGTACATTGAATGTTTGAAGGATGATGATCGATTGGACATGTACGAGAGATTTATTGATCGGATGCCAAACAACATCAACTTGGCTTTCAGGTAAGTTGGTCATTTTAAATGAGACTGGTTCTAAAGTGGCCAGGGGCTGATTTTACGAAATGTTAACATGCGTCTCAGGAAGGGTAACTCGTCTCATCTCGTGACTTGTCCTAGGATCGATTTCACCAAACTAAGATGAGCCGTTAAGATTTATGACTACAATTGAAATAAGTTGAGCATTATTTTGTGCCATGGATGTTCATGTTTAATGCATGTTGTGTCCTTGTTGGTTTCCAAACAGAGCTTGCCATTATGCCAGCAAGTCCTTGCAGAGTACCAACTATCTCCATCGAGTCAAAGCAATAGCCACTGATGTCCTCAACAAGTTCCCAGAGTGTCTCCCCTTCTGGAAAATGTAATGTTCCTTTTTTTTTGTTAGGTGTATTTATAGCATAACAGGGTGACTGTGATATGTATTTATTCAGTGTACAGTAAATAGTCGTCTGATATTCAACAAAGAGTCGTCCGATCTCCACTCGAGAAGTTTTTGGAACAAAAAACAAAATGGCGGACGTGCGATGCAGCTTTAAGGGAAAACAAGCTTGCAGTGGCCTGTATAGCTACTTTGAATTTACAACTGCAATATTCCAGACTAATTCATAATTATTCAATGCAGTCGGTCAAGTACATGTGATGTTGAGGCCCACGCCATGCGTTGGGTTGAAATGTTTGAGATTACTTAGTTTGCCCAAATCCTTTCCTAATTCTTTCTCCCAAACTCAGAATGATTGCGCTAAGTCTTCATCGAGGAAGATTAAAAGAGGTAAGTTATCAAACTTACTTTTTATTCTTGTTTCAAAATATTTTCTTGAAATTTGTAACTGACCTAGTAAACCTGCAATATGTCAACAGATGTGATTTGTCAATTTAAAACTGTGAAACATTTAGACAATTTACATCTCTTCTGCTGCTTGTTTCAATTATACTGTTGTTATATTTTTTATTTTGAACAAGTACAAAAACATAGGTTGTTTTTGTGAAATTTTGTTTCCTGTAGGATATGATTTTTTTCTTTTTGAGTGTAGAGTTCAGTCCCCCCTTTTCTATGAGCTATGCCCCTCCCCCTTTCTCTTTGTTTCTTTCTCAGGCCAAGATGCTGTACCAGCTAGCTTTAGAGGCAGTGCCGCTTGCAGCAAATCTCTGGAAAGATGTAATATTTTTCTGATTTCCTTAATTTTTAAGATAGAGATACAGAAATTGTATAAAATAACACTCTGCATGAATTTGGAAAATGCAAAACAATTACTTCTGTATATAGGTTTTCCCAGCTATTTTAAAATGTTTTTCATTCGAATTCACCATTTCTAGTATTCAGATTCGTCCATCAACATCGATTTAGTGCACTTCCAGTGTTTAATTTTGTCTTTCGTCATACAATTTCAAATTCAGTTCACGCAAACGCAAACAATGGGCTCACGTTTTGCGTCCTGGAGTTCCATTTCGTCTTGTCTATGCCAAATCTTGTTATTCAGAAATCAAATTTGTCTTATTGATTTATATAAGACGCCATTCGGCAACAGCCTGGATGAATTTGATCTGTAATGACGAATATTCTCGACCAGGTGACTAAAAGAGGTTTACCAATCTTTGAAATTGAATGGTAAATGACTAAATTGGTTTTCGTAAAAGCATGTGAAATTTTGTGTGGATGAAATTGAACGTTAGAGTTGGTGAATTTGAATAAAAAATCTTGAAAAATAGCCGGAAAAACCTTTGTTAAAGTTGATATCAGAAATATTCCTTAATTTCTTCTCCATCTTGAACATTTAAACTTGTTGAAAAGATGCAAAATGGAGTTAACAAATTTCTAGATTGGAGAGTGACTCAAATTCATCCATTTGTGGCAAGCATGACCGATTCCAAAATATTGTTTTAAACATTTTCAGATTTTTTTCTTTCACAGTTTTACACAAGGCAGAAGTGCCAAGTTTCTAATTAAAAAATTGTTCTGCTTCGATATATTTTTCTATTTTTTTTTACCGCAGCATCCATTGTTTCTCTTTGTTCAATTCTTGACAGTTCTTCCTACTGGAGGTTGTCCACGACCAAAATCCTGAAGACATCCGGAAACTTGTCCTGAAATGCCGTGAGCTCAAAGTTAACATTGAAGACTACCTCAAAACTATACTCAAATGATCCCCAAAAAAGGGATGTCGTTCCAAAATGTCTTCAACCTACATTTTTAGTTTTATTTTACACCATCGCGCCAGAGAGAAGTCATACCTACAAAAATTGATTTCGAAAGAAACTTTGGAATGATTTGGAAATGATTGGATACTCATCGGATTTGGCGAACCCTACTAAATTCTAAGATCTTTCAAAATCTACCACTGCTTGAGAGAATTGTGCAGGATTGAGGAATGTGCATCCCAGTTACTGTTGCATGTGTGAGTCTTGATTCTCCATGGAGGTTGAGACAAAGTCCAGTTGGATTTCTTCACAGGAGAGAATTTTTGAGGATTGAGGAAGGTTTCTTAGAAAATGCGCAGGGAGTCGGTACAAATGACACTTCTTGAATTGTGTTTCGTCTTTTAGTACAGCAATGATTCCAGGTCAGTTTCATCGGAGATTTTGGCAACATTGGTTTTCAGTCAGCGCCTACATGTACTGCAGTTTTTCATTCAGATGTTATCGTGTGAAAATTGCACGTTTGTTTGAATGTCTTACTGAGCCTGAACCAACATATGCCTGACAGACGTGGTGTTTATATGGTTGGGACATTCCAAGGACATTGGTTTTAATTGGTCCTGTTTTGTAGTGTTAGGTCTGTTGATGGATTAGGATCAGACTGAAGATACTGTCTTAGATTTGGTTGCATTCTTCCTCGAGCCAAATGTCTGTTTCTCAGTGTCAACAGAATGGATTGTTGCCGACAGCAATCAGAAATGCTGTTCTGTTGGTTGGTTTTTGATAGACGTGTCCTCAAGTCTATCATAAGTCAATCACTAGACATTTCCATAGACTAGAACCTGTTTGGAATATTGGTGCTGAGTGACTCGACTCCCCAGGGTTTTAAGTTTGCTTTTTTTTTTAGCTTGGTGGGGTTTTTGTTGGTCAGTGATCAACACATTTATAAGTCTCCTTTTTTTCCGATCTCTTTCGGTGCCTTTCCTTCAAAATATCTTGTATTGTGTTTGGCTTTCTAACATCATTCTTTCAAAAATTATTGTCTTCAAGAAACTTGGTCTTCCCGTTTCCTTCAAATCATCAGTTTGCATTGTGATGCCGTCATGGATAAAATTGTTGCTTCAGAAGGAGATGATTTCTGTTCAAATTTCAAGATGTTGGGTGTCATATTCCACAAGTTTCTGCCTGAGCTGTGACTTAAATGTTAGTAGTGAAGGAACAGTTTGAAGTTAGAAAATGTCTGTCCATGGACTTGAGAAAAAGTCGCATTTGAATATATGGAACGTTGGATGTAACGGCGCAGTTGGACAAAACTATCCACAATTCTTAGCAAATCGGAGATATGGCAGTGTCAGTATGTTGAGGCAAGATGGTTTTGGAGAGTGGTTCAACAAGAAGCATTGGCCAATCACAGCCCATGGAATCTGTGATGTCATCACTAGTAGCACATGTGCCACACCGGTCAGTGGTCAACCAGGAAACTGATGTAATCATCATTAGCCAATGAGAAGATTCCTTACATATGGAGTCGGCAGCTGTATCCAATCAGAGAGTCTGTTTGAACAATCACATGCATATTCAGTGCCTCACAACCAATTATGTGACACCAGTGACTAAACATTGAGAGTATGTTCTTCAGAAATTCATAAAAGTTCATGTTAAAACTTGTTACCAATCTAAGTGCATCTGCTGAAGCAAGCACATGTGTTATGAACTTAAGCCGAGAGACTTTGAAATGTGCCCAGCTATTTTCATGGATCTACCGACCAGCTAGCATGAAAGATCACCGTGGCAACTCCAGATACATGAACCAAGTGAGTATTCAAAGATTTCCAGAAGCAGAATTTTGTTCCAGCATCACTTAAACCTTTAAGATCTTTTGGTGGGTCTTAACATTTTTTGAAGTTGTCCTGGTTTGAATGGCTTTTTTTTATTTCTGGGGGGGGGAAGCTTTTTTGTCAAATTTAATTGAAGCTTAACGATCTTGTGTTTCTCCAGGCCCCCCCCCCCCCACACAAAAAAATACCAAGAAGGAACATGCATGTTTGATTTCAGGTGAAAAAGGGTTTTTTTCTCGGTCACCGTTCAAGACATAATTAATTGACTGGAACAATATTTTGCCAGACTTAATTTGATTTTGTTGTGTGTTGTGTGTATGCAATTGCATTTTGTGAAGGGTTTTGAAACGCAGATATTTTAGCAGCTAAAGAAAGTTTTTTTTGGGAGGGGGGGGGGGGCCTGCATCGCAATTTTAAAATTTATTTCCTTTCTTTTCTGAAAAAAAAAGGGTTAAAAAAAAATTGGGAAAGTGAAAAGAATAAAATTTGCAGAGATTGAAAATATCTCCTGGAACTTAAAAAAAGGTTGCAGTTTGGAAATGAATTGTCCTGTGGTGAATATTATTCTGTAAGAATTGTTCTCTGTTGGCTAAAGGTTTTCTCATTGTAAAAAAGAAATCATAAGTTGGTATTTGTGTAAACTGTCAGAATTGCATCTAAAATGAGGCGGTACGCATTGTTCTTGTTTTCCAAAAAAGACGGCTTGATTCTGGATGCAATTTTGAGCTGTAATGTCTTCGCTACAAATGTCTTAACTAGAGATCTAAACAATTGTGTAAATGTTGCACCCATCACACCTAAATCACACCCAGTTCAGTTTCATCCGTACTGTGTCCAGTATGTTTATGAATTCCCTAAGTTGAAATATGCAGCAAAACTAAACAAAATGCAATACATAAGTTGTTTGATGACAACTGCAATTCCTTTAGTCGTTGCTTTACAGCATTATTACAGAAATAGCAGAAAGAAACAAAACAATAACAATCCACTTTTATGACATTCATGTGTGATTGTGGTGCGATGGGTCACATGCTGAAATGTTTTCAAATGTTGTACAACCGTAACATTAACTCCCAAGGATGTTTTAATGCCTGCAATGAAGGAGTTGCCTGCAGAGCAACGCTTCACAAGTCGGTGCTGTGAGAAGAGCGGCAGTCCATTTCAAGAAAGAAGTCTCGGATTTCTTCATTTTCCTGGTTTCAACTGAAGAATGACTGATGCTACGTCCAACAAATCGGTATAACTTGAGATGTTACTGAAGCATTGTCACAGAGTGATTTACTCAAACGATACATTCCTTGTAGTCTAATCCCCAATCTGTGTGGAATCGACACATCATCTGATTGCTCGCGAACATATACCTTGGAAACTCCTGATGCTGTTGAGATTTGCATGTATGTGTAGTAGCATCCACACAGCATAGCTGTCTTACGTCACTCGAAGTTGTATCATCCGGTCATGAGATCTGCCACAATTCCTGTTACAACCAAGTTCTCCATCCTGATGCTTAAAGACTTGCCCCAAGTCTTGCCCTGGAACCATTCTGGCACTGAAAAGGTCTTCACTTTCACTGACATCATGGAAATATCAAAACCCCGTTACCCCTTGAAACCCTCCCAAAAAGTTCCTTTCTGAACTCTACCAAAAATCGTAAGCTGTAGAAGTTGAGTTGAAAAATATTCAGAAGACCCGCACTACTTGACTGTAGCAACTGCAAAATGCCCATGCCCACGACTAAGTAAGGAACTGCACGAACGGAATGAACACCATCATCCGACCAGAAAGCTAATGAATGATAAATATTAATCTCATCGATCACAAAATACTCTATAGTTGTTCAAGTTTGTTTAAATCAAAATTAAAAACACATCCGCTTCCATCAACAAGTGCTTGGAGGCTGTTATTGTAAAAAAAAAAAAAAAAAAAAATCTGCTAAAGAGGGGTTTATATTTGCATCATGGCCTTTACCACAGTATATTATGCTTCATTTATGTGATAGTAAATGCTTCAACTGAATCATTTTATTCAAGAGGTGGTTTGCTGATGGCAACATGTTCAAGTTGCAATATCTGGACATATTAAACATTTCATGTCTTGAACCACAATATTCTTCCTTCAGCAGTAAGTTAAACACACTAAAATTCCAAATTTGCATTTAGCCTCTGAAGAACTTGTTAAGTTCGCAACGTCAGGCCGCATAATTTTTTTATATTAAAAATTCCAGTTAGGAAATGTACCAAGAAATGTGTAACTTTTTGTTAAAGTTGAAAAATCTTAAGGCCAACAGACTTGTACAGTGTTTAATAATAAGAAAGAGAGTATTCATGCTTAAATTTCATAAGTAGGCGAAATTGTCAAAACATTGTAAAACTTTTAGGAAATAAAACAAGCCCAAATTTGAATCTGGTTTCAATTTTGTTAGAAAAAATTTAATGTAAAAACAGTTTATATACTGCTGTTTGATTGACACTTGAGTTTTCTTCTTTATTTTACGATATCCTGAAATGGTGCTTTGTCAGATTTTTCCATTGTGATTGTTTTTGGTTTAATTTAGATGCATAGTACTTGTATAAATGTACATGTATATATGCCTTATATAAATATCTTCCTTTAAAACTCAAGCCACAATTTCTGGCTTAGTTCTTTAAATATTTATTAGTGTTCATGCATGCATTGTGAAAAGAAAATATGTAAATCATATAAATATTGTCTAGTACTTATTAATTAAATAGTTTCTAACGAAAGTTTAGGTACCAGTATTCCAAATATAATATTATGACCCTGTGTTACTTTTATAATTTTTATTTTAACCATCTGTATGTAGGCATCTGTTGTAGATCAAATATACTGAGAATTTTCCTAAGTATCTTTCAGCATTTTTGTGGGTTTTTTTTTCAACAAACGTTGCCACTATCAATGGTTACATGTTGAAAACCACTCAAAAGAAGAGGATTCAATAAGAAACAACACTGAAAAGAAATGTGTTAGTTAAAAATTGGCAATGCTGGTCAGAATGGAAGTTATATCTCAGCAAACAAAAAAGTCAGAAAACAAGGTAAAACCGTACCAGCTTTAATAAACAGAAAACTACTTCCAAAATCACTTTTTTTAAATTTTTTTTTTAAATATTTTCCTGTTTTAGCAAACTGAGGTCTCAAATTCTACTGTAAAAAAAGTTTATAAATTTAATTTACACTAAAGGTAAAGAAGAAGTTATAATGCTTAATTTTGTCAGTATTGAAGCGTACATAATTATTGCACTTGTTTTTGAATTACCCAGCATTAATGGTCTTCTTGCAAATATTCTTCTGAGCGCATTATCCCATCAGCAGATACTAAACCCTTCCGTTTGTTGTCTGTCAGCATGTTTATGTGCGATGCTGTGGACACACGTTCCAATGAAAAACTTCAATAATTCTTCCCTTTTCCATTAAATTTTTTTCCAGTACGTTAAAGATACACATGTACCAAATATTTTCCTTAATGTAAATTTCTTTAATGGCAGTTGGTTTTGTTTATTGGCGTTTTGTACTCTTTAATATTTACAAAATAAAAAGAATTGAGAAAGATATATGAATTTGTCATAGTGACTTTACGTTTTGTTCTTGTCCGTAATGTAACAAGTACAGGTGTGGAAAACATTGAGATCTCATAAAAAAAACATTTAGGAGACGACAATAATTGAAAATGGGAAAGGAAACCTCTTCATCAAAATCCACAAATAATTTGACTGTTTCACACCAATTTAGTTGGGACAGCTTAGAAAAACAATTTAAGCATTTTTGTTCAGTTTTTTATTTAGCAAGCTGGAACTTCTTAAGTTTTCATAGTCGAGCAAAACTGCAAGAGGCTACCTTTAATTTGCCCTCGAAGATGTTTATATCCTAATATTTTGATGTATTATGTCAACGAAAAACCTTTTTTTTTTAAATTGATGGGCATCGCAACTCAGGGGGAATTTGGGGGGGGGGGTACCTTTGCGCCCAACCGTTATCTGCCCTTCGAGCAAACTAGTTTATAGGATATGGCCGATTTTTGCTTAATTCCAATTTTTATAATCGAAAACGGCTAGCAAAGATGGTGTAAAAAGTGCGGTTCCTGCTAGTGTGGGTCCCTCCCTATATAGTAGCGAGCATGTGCATGGAAAAATATATCGCACCCCCCCCCCCCCATCGTTTTTGTAGAATCGCGCGTCCAGTACCGTCTGCTTTGAACAGCGCCCCATTGGTCAGATGAGTCCGTGGTCGGAGCGCAATTTTCGAAATTGCGACCTTCGCAAAATTGCGCTCAACATAATTTGTATGTAACCTAGACGGCGCGGGGGTTAAATCGCTGATCTGATCATTTGGGTATCTGACTATTCAGCGTTAACGCGATAAATTATGTACACAGTGTGGCGCACGTGTTGACGACTGACGAGGCTCTGCTTTCGTTCCTTACTGTTCTAAAGAAGATTGTGTATTATTTGCTTAAGATAGATTCACCCAAGGGTCCAAGAGAAGCCAGAGATTTCTTCACATTGTCTTATTTCAATAGTAGACTGTCATGGGCAGACGAAGGTAATAACTTGACCAACTTGACATGATTGACCCTGTTGACCATGTTGACAACATGGCAAATCTTCCATGCACCACCATGACCACTGTAATCTGTATGATGTGTCGACTGCAGTGTCGACTGCAGTGCAGTGGTAGTGTAGTGGTACATGGGCATATGGGTGGGCCCAGCCCCAAGTATGGTATCGGTCCCAACTATAGTTGGGATCGTCCCAACAACTAGTATAGTTAGGACGGTCCTAGACCCGTCATGCCCGTGAACGTGGCGTTGTATACGACACCACGCTGTTGTGTATTTTCGAACCTAGCGAAATCGATCCGCCATACATAATTTCGTATGGATGTTGAGTACTCACCTAGAAATCTAAATTTGCCTGTCCGCGTCTTCAGGATGTGTCATTTCGACGAAATTTGCCATCAATGAAGACCCATACGAACGTGTAGAAATGAGATTTTAAACTGACAAGTGACCCTGACAAATGACCCTGGACGAGTACCCAGGGTCATTTGCGTGCAAAATTATCGGAGCCCTCCGAGTTACCCGTCTGCTTCATGTGGCGCATATGATAGGCGGCGTCTGATTGGCCAATAACGAGACCACGTGATAAACGCAGCTAATAATTTGGAATCGCACTTATGATCCGGACATCAGGAGTGCCCGGAGCGTCAGTGCGATACCAAATTATCTGCAGCATTTATCACGTGGTAAATCACATGTATGATCGGAGGAGGTTGCAGGACATCGAGATCTTGCCAGATTTTACCTCGAATATCGTTTAAATGCCAGATTTGGGGTAAAAGCAGATTTCAACATGGTCAAGAAAGCTTGATATGTGAATACTTATCGCACTGTAAGGCAATGTTCAGTCTTTGTCACGGAAGGACGATTTCGCTTGGTTCGAACATGTACAAGAGCGTGGCGTAGTTTACAAGCCACGTTCACGGGTCTAGGACGGTCCCAACTGTGGTTGCAACGGCAGTATGTAGTTTATACGGGCCGGGCCCCTCTTTGGTTTCAGTTCTTAATTAAAATGTTTATTTTTATCATTCAAAATGACTTCTGGCTCAGCAACCAAGGCACTCTTCTTTTAATTCTAATTAACCTCTGGGCTCTGGCACGTCTGGCAGTGCAATGTCCCGCTCTGTTTCTAAAATGGATCAAACTGCTGCAAGTAAACTTACTAGGACCTATGTTTTGTAATTTTGCACAGTCTATCAGTAGGCCTATCTTTTCGTAGAAACTGTGTTTTTTGGGTGCATTTTTCACTTCAGTTGATGTCATGCAAATCATTTTTTTTTTACCCCAAAATTTCCCTAGTTTTTTTTTCCAAACCCTGCCCACTGGCCACTGCCTGTGTTTGTTGGTTTGACACATCACAATTTAGTTTGGTTGAGTCTACTAAACAAAGTACTAACCTATAGTGATTTTAACGTGGCCTATACCTACACAATCGCTGTTAATATTCTTTGCCAGGCAAAATAATCACTGCCTAACCTGACATTTGATTTTAAATGCCTTGGCTGCCTGTATAGATAGTATAGTTTACTACCCCATTCCTATAATTATAAGATGACGAAAATCCAGTCAGACAGGCAGAACTTTACAAAAAAAATATGTCTTTGAAAAAAATGAACAGGAAGAAGGCCCGCAGCAGCAAGGCAGAGGAGTCAGACTATGAGAGCGATGATGAGAGAGCCTACAAGAAGATGCCGGTGCCAGACCCCACGGCACCAAACTACTACATGGACGAGGTGGATGAGTTTAATGAGAATAGAGACAAGATACTCCTGGAGAGAGACCAGAGGTTTGATGGAGACAGCGACTCAGAGAATCAGGTTTGTCTTGGCTACTGATCTGTGTATACATGTATACCACTTGGATAGAGCATCCAAAACTAAGACCGAAGCATCTCTGGCGAAGCTGGCCCAAGCGTACACAGGTTTTGAAACTTTAAAGGTAGAGTACATCATTTGTCATTTGTGCATTTTACTTTCGTTTGATGCAACAAAGTGCTCAAAATCTAAAGACGGGTGCTTAGCAACTAACCTGATGAAATTTTAGTTTGGTGAATGTTGTATATTCTGAGAAAACAATATTCTAGGATCTCTCGATTTTAATTCAAAAGCTGCTGTGTCATGTTTTGAATTGCGCCCGAAATCAGCGTCCAGGACACGTTCTCATTCAGCCGATTGCAGCTACATGATGTCACGAACTGAACCGACAAATTGTAGCAACCACGCATGAATGTGCATCTTGTCAACGCTGGTGCGCCTCAGTCGCCGAATTAAAAATGAATTACTAACGGAAATTTCCAAAAATGCGTGTTTAGATGCATCTTTGGAAATGACCTTCTTTCATTGATTTCTTCAAAATGACAGCTTGCCAGTAAGAATAATTTCACAGGGAGTATAGCACCATTACTATCTTTTAACCAAGTATGCTTTTCAACAATAATTTTGTCAGTTACTGTTTGGATAGCTGCAAATGATGTACTCTACCTGTAACACAAAAGGCTGTATTCAGTGACCATGGAAATTTGTGGTGGACAAAAGTGAGTTATTGACAAAGGATGCTGAAATTGATTCATTTCAGAAGCACTAGACTTGTAAGGTTAATCCGTGTCAGATATTTTTTGATTATTTGACAGGAAGAGATACTTCCTCTAGATTACTCAGACTCGGACGATGACATCGAAGAGAAGCTTCGCCGCATCCGAACCCAGCAGCATCTTGATGAGATTGCCAGTGACTTGGAGGAGGACGATGAGGAGGGAGGGGCGGAGTCAGGGGAGGAGGCGGGACTCCCTGATGCCAAATCTTGGGGGAAGAGAAAGAAAGAATTCTACAGCACGGACTACGTGGATGATGATATGCCTGGTAAGATGTTGCTTGCAATGATGCTAGGTTTGGTCATTATAAGCAAAGATTTATCCAGAGGTCTGCCAAGGAGTAATTTGATCACCCTTTAGGCTATTTTGGACAACCGCTTTTCCAACTTTGCCCTTGTGTTTTTGTCTCAGGTGCGAGTGCATCGGAGGATGAAGGAGCACTGGAGGAAGAAAGAGAAGCCTTGGCCATCCAGAAGAGGATGTCAGAGATGATGCAAGAGACTGACTTTGACATGCAACTCTTCCAGGTATGCATAACAGCGCCCTCTAGTGGCTAAACAAATCAGATCTTTTACTCATACTGCCCAACTTAAGGGCACTGGTGACCTGTCGTTTCTTTGATTCTTGCCGGATGGATTTTATTTACTGTGTGACCTAGGGTCAACATTGAGATTGGTAGAGCTATGGTACTGAATTGAAGTGGTCGCAGGTTCAGATCCCACACAAGTGAAATCTTTTTGAACATAAAGTGAATTGCAGTAGAATCTTGTCAATTTCCAGTGTGAGTTACTTGATGACATATTTATTTTTATTTCTACAGGTTTCAGCCAAGGCCAAAGAAAAAAAAGAGGATGATTTTGAGGATGATGCAGAGGAGAAAGTGGTGAAAGATTTGAGTAAACTCTCCAAACGAGAGAAGATGGAGGTTGGTTAGTCAGGGGGACTTGTCTTTCTGAAGCTGATACTTTTCATATTGTCTGTCAGTCTTTCCATCTACATGTTTGTTTGTTTGTTTGTTTGTTTGTTTGATGTCAGAGCTCATTTGTATCAATTGGTTAGGTAGTTATCTTAAAATGCGGTTTGATCAGGTCATCATTCATCTGGGTTTTTTTTCTTTGTAGATTCTGAGGAAAGAATCACCAGAATTTCTCGAACTTGTGGGAGACTTCAAGACAAAGGTAATAGTTACTGCATCTTAGCATTATTCATTGAGGAAATAGAAAACCTAAAATATTAAGTAGTAGTTGATACTACATTTCAAACCTACTCAAAGCCTTAATTTAGCGTAAACAAATCAATGCTCGATATAAAGTAGTAGTTTATACTACTTTTCAAACCTACTCAAAGCCTTAATTTAGCGTAAACAAATCAATGCACAATATAAAGTAGTAGTTTATACTGCATTTCAAACCTACTCGATGCCTCACTTTGGTTTAAAAAAATCTAAACCATATATAAGGTCCTTACTAAAACTGCACACTGGTTGTCCACTGGTTTTTACAAACAAGTAGTTTGTTTGTTACTACTCTATGAATATCTTCTTTGAAAAGGAAAGTAGAAAAGAACAGAAAAGAAAACTTTAACAATCTGTTGTTATTCACCATGTTTGCCTCTCTATGTGGTGTCGTTGACTCTTAGATCCTTGTTTTAGAATAATGGTGCTGGGTGGCGTATTAAGATAAATATTTGTTTTATTTGTGACACATGTAGTTGAAGGAAGTGATAGACACGTTACACCCTTTGCTCAGCATGGTGCAAGATGGTAGAATACCAGAGGGACCAGGTGCTGACTACATCAAGACAAAATTCAGACTCTACTTGAAGTAAGTCTTTAAAACTGACCCTGATTGAAACTGCTCACCCTACCATCATCGACATGTGCTTGATGTCCCAAAGTATCATTTACTGGATTTGTTTTCTTCATCACATTTTCTCTTTCTTGACATCAGATAGGCAGATAACAGGGTGAGTCAAAAACAAAGTGACCCGGATTAAATATTTGTATTCTTAAAAAGCAATCAAATTTGATACATCAATGAAGTATGTCTTAAAAGAGCATGTTCTTCCACTCATCTGAAAACATATATATTAAAATCGATCGATGTCATCAGAAGTTACAATGTTTAACTAAAAGAACCCATAGCTGTCCATGGAATGCCATTGGATGCTATTGAGCTAAGTGAGAATTACAGAATACACATAAGCATTCAAATACAAAGGAGATTTTAATAGTTGAAATCAAGACTAAAACATTATTATTACTGTCAGATTTTGTGTTTTGAATATGAGGAACAAGTCGGTCAACTCTTTTTATGTTAATATTGTAACATTTGAGCAATTGACATAATTTGTTTTGACATGGCGCGCCATATAAAGCGATAGACGCGCAATTAGTTTGTCGCCGCCAGCGGGCTAGTCAGTTGGTGAACGCTACTCGTGCGGGAAGGACCAACCAAGCTACCGGAGCGTCAATCCAAGGAGGCGAAAGGGCGTACTGCAGTAAGTATATGTGCCTACCTACCTTTAGCGTGGGGCATATAGCGGAGCCATAGGCGCGACTGTTGGCCGGACGCCTCGAGGGACGACGTACGCTAGCGAACGTACATCTACTGAGGCGTCGGTCCGAGCACTGAGGCGCAGGGCTGCTGTAGGTACCAGTGGAGGCGTAAGGACCCATCGAGGAGTTACACGCTCCATATAAGCCAGGCTCACGAGGAGCCTACCCCTTTGAGGCCCGAGGAGACGAGAGGCGTTGCCGAGGGAACAACTGTGCGCGACATTTAGAAGCTCATAAATGCGGCACTTGCGTGGTGGATAAGTGCAAACTAGTGGCGGGAGGCGCTATACACTCACTAGAGGCGCTATAACACCCACTAGAGGCGCCATAACACTCCATTGAGGCGCTATTTAGGGCGTATACAAGTAAATCACTCTAATCATAATAATTGATCTAATTAAATAAATCAGTGAAACCTTCTTTCTTTTGTCATTGCGTCACAGTCATTTGTACATGTTTGTCAGTCTGTATTGTCTGTCTGGAAGTCAGCGATCAGTGAGTAGACTGAGTATACGTGGTGGTATATTTCCAACCAAACGGACCTGCACCTCGACGCTGTTAGGGTTACTCGCCTTACCCGCGAGTGTTCGCCGAGGACAACCGACCTGGCAATAGTAAAATCCGCCACAAATGGTGGCAGCGGTGGGATTTGTATGCTCAGCTTATTACTGGACGCTTGGAACATTTTTTTTGTGTGCACTGACCTCTTTACGAGCGTACGTGTAAACAGACTGATAACTAATCTTGATTGCATAATCAAATTTGGAGTTGATCAAGTGTTGCGGGTGATTAGACAAAGTTGGACACTCCGATTTTTGCAGAGGACTTGGAGGGATAATTCTCTAGACACTGAATGGCCAAGGCCAAGTGCTCGGACGAGATGAGCAGGAAACAGAGAGAAAGCACAGGTACCCTCACAGGCGAGCGTCCTGTGCCGATATTGCAGGAGGAAATTGACCTACTGCGTATGGAAGTCCAACTGAAAGAGGATCAGTTGGCAAACTCGATGAGAGAAAAGGAACGTGCCGAGACCCGGTTGGGGCAATTTCTGTCTCAATCCCCGGGGTCTCCGGAAGAGGAACACCACCAACGTGGGTGGATACACAAAAGGCCCGAGAGGGATGACAAGGAAATCGAATTTAAGTATGACTTAACGCGTGACATGGAGACCTCTGGTTATGGTTCCATGTTTGGTCGCGCAAAACAGATGCAGCGAACCGGTACGGAGACAGGCCGGAACACATCTACACCGATGAGAACGATGATGAAGAATACAACATACTTGCCACAATCACAGTCGACGGCACAGACACATCCGACTACTGATCGTGGAGGAGCAATGACGCCTCCGGTGGAGGGCTCTCCAGAGAGTGGAGGCGTTACCCCCACAAACGACAAACACGGTGATGCGAAGGAGGGCAGGCCAACCTCTCCTAGCACCCCGTGGCCATTGAAGAGAGAGGAGCGGATTCAATCGTCACAGGAGTGGCAGGACCGATTTGGAGGAAAAGCCAAACGACCTAATATTGTTCCGGATCGATTCAGCGGAAAACAGCCCTGGATAGATTACAGGGAACACTTCGAGTCTTGTAAGCGAGTAAATGGCTGGAATGATGAGGAAGCTGCAGCGTTCCTGGCCGCAAGTTTGCAAGGATCCGCTGTGAAAATTTTGACTAATCGCCAAGGGGAAGGACAAGCCCGGCGATACAAGTATACTGAACTAATTGGACTACTCGATACACGTTTTGGGCCGGGGCAGATGGCTGAGAACTTCCTTATGGAACTGAGAAACCGTCGCCAAGGCCCAAAGGAGACTTTACAGGAACTTGGAGAAGCAGTCCGCGAGTTGGCTACCCTATCATATCCGGAGTTGACGGAAGACAGTAGGGATAGATTGGCTCGTGGGCATTTTTCAGACGCAATCGCCAGCCAGAGCATTCGGGAGGGAGTTTTCCGGTCAAGGCCGTCTTCTCTGAATGACGCAGTTCGTGCGGCGCTGGCGACGGAGAATTTTGAACGGATTGAGGAACAACGATGTGGAAAAAAGGACAAGAAATGCCGCATGGGGCGAGATGAGGAGGAGTACCGGGACACCATCATAGCTGATGTGGTCGACCATCTGAAGCAATACTACAAGAATATGAGAGACGAGCAGGCAACTAAGGAAAAGTCACCTCAGCCTGAAAAGAGAAGAGACACGCGCGTATACCACCCGAGACCACGTAGGATAGCCAACCCGGATGACAGGTGTTACGGGTGCCAAGGAGAGGGACATTTTGCAAAGGATTGCACAAACCCAACTACCCCTGCACGGAGGCGCTCGGGAAACGGCCGCCAGCCGACTCTGCGACCCAAGAGGAGGCTGGGCGAACAGAAGGGTCAACCGACAATGGGCTCAGAAGTTCAACAGGACAAAACTCATCTCAACCCTGACGACAAAAGAGAAATATTTGCACCATTGGTTGTTCCAAAGCAGGGACTTTACGTACAAGGAGAGTGTCGGTCAGTCACTATCTCGTTCCTGGTGGATACCGGGACGACGGACACAATAATCTCGGAGGAGGTTTACTATCAGATACCGACAGAGAGACGCCCACCGTTGGAGCAGGATGGCATCCGAGTCGTGCAGGCAGATGGTAGTGTTATGGAAACAGTAGGTGTGGCAAACATGGACTTGCGTATTGGAAGGACAGCGTGCCCAGTACGGGCAGTCATTGCCAAAGTCAAAACCAAAGGCATACTCGGGATGGACTTTCTGCTCCCAACTGGAGGGACACTGGATTTCAACAAGTGTGAACTTTTGCTTCACGGAGAACACATACGGTGCACAACTAGATGGGGAACTACCTTACATGCCAGGGTGGTTGTGGCAGAAACGACTGTCATTCCGCCCGGACATGAAGCTCTTGTTCAAGGAAGAGTAACCCGTGATTTCGAATCAGGTGACCTGGGGATTATAGAACCGATTGAAGGAGGTGGTGAGTTGGCGCAAAAAGGCTTGATTCTTGCAAGAACGTTGGTAGATCCTAAGGAGGGAGTACTTGCCTTGCGGTTGCTTAATCCGGGCAGCCGAGAGTGCATGGTTCGGTCGGGCACGACAGCCGGACGCCTCACACCGGTGGTAGAGAGAGATGTGCTGCAGGCACATGAAGTTGAACCAGGAGATGAAAACAAGGAGGTACATGTCCCCGGCCACCTTGAGGATCTCTGGAAACGCAGTGTGGAGAATCTGGATCCCTGTTATCACTACGCAGTGGCTCGACTGCTCACTGATTTTGCAGATGTATTTTCGGAGGGCGATCATGACATTGGGAGAAATGATTGGGTGAAGCACCATATCGACACGGGAGAAACACGACCTGTCAGGCAGAGGCCCCGCCGGCAGCCATTGTGCAAGCAACAGGAGATTGACCGACAGGTGCAGGACTTGTTGAAGAGGGGACTGATTACGCCATCAGACAGCCCCTGGGCCTCAAATGTGGTGCTAGTAAGGAAGAAAGATGGAAGCCAACGCTTCTGTGTAGACTATCGCGGACTTAACGAGACAACTATCAAGGATGCGTACCCAGTTCCTCGCATCGACGACACCCTGGATGCACTGTCAGGTGCGAGGTGGTTTTCCACCTTAGACCTCGCATCTGGCTACTGGCAAATCGAGCTCGATGAGGATGCGAAGCAAAAGTCAGCCTTCGTGGTGCGCGGGGGCTTGTACAGCTGGAGGGTCATGCCCTTCGGCTTGTGCAATGCCCCTGCCACCTTCGAACGGCTGATGGAAAGGGTCGTATCCGGACTACAATGGGAGACTTTACTCGTATACCTCGATGACGTTATCGTGTACGGGAGAAGCGTCATGGAGGAGATACAGCGCCTACGCGAGGTGCTGCAGAGATTTAGATTGGCTGGATTGAAGTTGAAGCCGAAAAAGTGCTTTCTCTTCAAGGAGACCGTGAAATATCTGGGACATGTGGTTTCACCAGCCGGAGTTTCCACTGACCCGGACAAAATCGAGGCTATTAAATCATGGCCTACCCCGACAGATGTGAAAGGAGTGCGAAGTTTCTTAGGACTGGCCTCCTACTATCGCAGATTTATTAAGGGATTTGCAGACGTGGCTCGCCCACTCCACCGGCTCACAGAGAAGTCAAGGGAATTCCTTTGGGATGATAGCTGTGAGGTGGCATTCGTGACTCTGAAGAATCACTTACAGGAGGCGCCCATCTTGGCATACCCGGACCCAACAGGTGACTTTGTACTGGACACGGACGCCAGCGGGGAAAGCATCGGAGCAGTCCTGTCACAGATACAAGAAGGAGAAGAACGGGTAATCGCTTATGCGAGTAGGACTCTTTCCCGTCCTGAAAGAAACTACTGTGTGACTCGCCGAGAGCTTTTGGCAGTCGTCTTCTACCTCAAGCACTTTAAACAGTACTTGTATGGGAGAAAGACTACCATCCGTACTGATCATGCCGCATTACGATGGCTGGTCAACTTCAAAGACCCGGAAGGACAGGTAGCCCGCTGGCTACAAGTGATTGGAGAGTACAACTATGAGATCATTCACCGCCCAGGCAAGAAACATGGCAATGCGGACGGTTTGTCGCGCAAGCCTTGTAGTCAGTGTGGCCTGGCGGATGATGTTAATACAGAGGTTGGAGCCAAAGCTGAAGTAACTGACGTTCTGTCAGGTGAAGACAGTGTAGTACGAGAGGAGAAAATGGTGACCAGGTTGTTGCAAATGGAACCAACCATAACATTGAAGGATATCGCCGAGGCCCAGCTCCGGGACCCCACACTTTGCGGGATTGTTAACTGCAAGACAGGATCAGAAGAACGTCCGGACTGGAGCTATGCTCAAGCACGAGGCATAGTGGGTAAGATATACTGGGGGCAATGGGAACGGTTGGAAATAAGGGACTCAGTGCTGTGCCGACGTTGGGAGTCACATGATGGGAGAGATATTGAGTGGAAGGTAATCTTGCCACGAGAATACAGGGAGGTTGTCCTGGAGGAGCTACACGCAGGTGTGACCAGTGGACACTTTGGGGTGGAGCGTACACTGGCGAAAGTGAGGACCAGATATTATTGGGCTGGGATGGCGGCGGACGTAAGGTCATTTTGCCGAAGATGCTTGAGGTGCGCCCAGCGGAAATCCCCGCCCAGGAAAAGGCGGGCACCTCTTCAACAACACCAGGTGGACATGCCCATGGACAGGGTTGCTTTGGACCTCGTTGGACCATTACCGGAAAGTGAAAGCGGAAACAAGTGGATCCTCGTAATAGGGGAATACTTCACGAAATGGATGGAGTCATATGCCCTTCCGGACAGCACTGCAGAGACAGTGGCAAAGGCCTTCGTGGAGAATTTTGTGTGCAGATTCGGAGTTCCGCGCGAACTACACTCAGACCAAGGAAGGAATTTTGAATCAGAAGTATTTGCAGAGATGTGCAAGATCCTTGGAATCGAGAAAACCCGAACAGTGGCCTACAACCCGAAATCCGACGGGCTTGTGGAGCGATTTAATCGGACCTTACTAAACACTGTTTCAATGATGATAGACCCTACCAAGCACCAAAAGGATTGGGATAAACAGTTGGCGTTTGCTACATGTGCGTACCGGTCTGTTCCCCAGGAGTCAACAGGAGAGACTCCTAATATGCTCATGCTTGGGAGAGAAGTCAGGCTGCCAGTTGACCTTACCACGCAAACGATTGCAGTGGAGGGCAGGGGTCCCAATACGGACTATGCGGAAAACCTACGCCATCAAATGCAAACTGCCCACGACCGGGCGAGGCAGAAGCTTGGGACCAGTGCGAGACATCAGAAGAAGACATACGATAAAAGAACGGCAGGAACTGGTCTCGAGGAAGGCCAATTTGCATGGTTGTACGTCCATGCTAAGAAGAAGGGAGTTTCCCCCAAGCTAACATCTCATTGGGAAGGCCCATATCTGATACTCACGAAATTGTCGGACGTTACTTACAGGATCCAGAAGAAGCCTAGGGGAAAGATGCAAGTAGTGCACTTTGATCGACTGACACCCTACCAAGGTCCACAACTACAACCTTGGGAGCACCGCCCAAGGAAGGAGGTAGCAAATGAAGGCGTGACCCATGATGACCAGGCAGTACCGTTGCATGAGGCTAATAATCGAGATAAACCAGAGGCGACTCCAGTTCAGGATTCCATTGGGGGTGGAAACTTAGAAGGAAGCTCCGAAGCTTCCAACAACTTGGCTCCTGAACCACCAATGATGGAGGATAGTGACCAGAACAACGGCACAGCGCTTCCGAGACGTAACCCGGCTAGGATACGGAAGTTACCTTGCCGTTTCCGATAGGATTGCCAAGAGAGAGAGAGGGAGGAAAAGAATAAGGACTGTAAATAGCTGCATGGAGAAAGCAGAACTATAGTGTTTATATTTGATTGCAACTTATTTTGTGTTTTTGTGTGTTTTCCCCATTGCAGTCGAACAATGGAGAAGCCCAGACGGCAGGAGAAGAGAACCTTTGCCTGTGAGGAGTGTGAGGAGAAGTTCAACCAGAGGAGGAGCCTCTACCGACACATGCAGATAGCGCATGGTCCAAAGTTGTATTGCTGGTGTTTGCAATGCGACTTCTATTGCAACAGGAAAGATAATATGAGGAGGCACTACCGTCAGGAACATCCAAATCAACTTACTGAAGTGGAATCAATCTTGCTGGAGACGGAAACAGAAAGGAAGGACCGCAAACGCAAAGAGACAACATCAGGAGGGACAACACATCACCGTAACCCACCAAAGAGGGTTAGCAGCGCACAGACTGAACGCGATCTTGGAGATGCCACCAGTTGGGAAGAGGTGGGAGAGATGCTGCGAAAGGAGAAACGGACGAGAGCACCGGCGGCTTGCAGCAAGTGCCCAGAGGAGCAACCGCACACGGAGGTGAAGCGAAGGAGAGTGGCTGACACGCCAGTGGAATCTCCTTGCACCGTCGAGGACTTTAGGCACGTCCAGGAGGAACCCTTGAATCTGACATGCCCCCAATCGTCCAGTGCCCCTGCAGAAATCTCATTGTCACCTGCTTCTTTGTCGCTGGTGATAGAGGAAACAGCGACTCCTCGTGGGCCACCTAGGACAAGTGGCAAACCCCTGGCATTGTTAGAGAGGATGCGCCAGGAAAAAGCAGAGGATGAAGCCAGCAGCCATCCCGAGGACTCGTCGGAAACCGAGTCACGCCCCAACGCGGAACCAAGAGAACCGCAGTTCCGGCCGGTAGAACCAATGGCCCTACAAGATGTCCTCCGAGGTCACGTCACCAGAGTTACAGAAATTAGCACTCAGACAACCTTCCAGGATGGGACCAAAGTCAGCGAAACCCGGGTAGAGCGAATCTACGAAGTCAACTTTGACTAGCTATTCGAGAAGAAATAGTCTTCAAGGCCAACCCTACCAGATATTGCAGATCTTCGATTTCCACTTGTTTTGTTTTGTTACTAGTTAAAAAGAAAAGAAATGTTTTTGTAGAATAGATTGTTCCCTAAAACTTGTTGGTCAGAGACTTGCCTCGTTTATATCACGTTTTGATAAACTAAATTTATGAGGAAACAGTGTCCTAAGTTATGAGACACTATGAGGCGACATGGGGCACTTGATGTTAGTCCACTTAAATTATTGATGGCGAAAAAGTGAGATAATTTAGAGACGTCGCCATGTTGTGTTTAGAAGCCGATCATTTTGAATAAATAAGTTTTTAGTGTTACTCATTTTGCCTGCTAATTTTCTTTGTGCATAATTAAGTAGCAATTGCTAATGTTTGTAGTGATTTGTGTCAGCTGATTCTGAACGGGACATTCAGGCTTAGAAGGAAGCTGTGTAACATTTGAGCAATTGACATAATTTGTTTTGACATGGCGCGCCATATAAAGCGATAGACGCGCAATTAGTTTGTCGCCGCCAGCGGGCTAGTCAGTTGGTGAACGCTACTCGTGCGGGAAGGACCAACCAAGCTACCGGAGCGTCAATCCAAGGAGGCGAAAGGGCGTACTGCAGTAAGTATATGTGCCTACCTACCTTTAGCGTGGGGCATATAGCGGAGCCATAGGCGCGACTGTTGGCCGGACGCCTCGAGGGACGACGTACGCTAGCGAACGTACATCTACTGAGGCGTCGGTCCGAGCACTGAGGCGCAGGGCTGCTGTAGGTACCAGTGGAGGCGTAAGGACCCATCGAGGAGTTACACGCTCCATATAAGCCAGGCTCACGAGGAGCCTACCCCTTTGAGGCCCGAGGAGACGAGAGGCGTTGCCGAGGGAACAACTGTGCGCGACATTTAGAAGCTCATAAATGCGGCACTTGCGTGGTGGATAAGTGCAAACTAGTGGCGGGAGGCGCTATACACTCACTAGAGGCGCTATAACACCCACTAGAGGCGCCATAACACTCCATTGAGGCGCTATTTAGGGCGTATACAAGTAAATCACTCTAATCATAATAATTGATCTAATTAAATAAATCAGTGAAACCTTCTTTCTTTTGTCATTGCGTCACAGTCATTTGTACATGTTTGTCAGTCTGTATTGTCTGTCTGGAAGTCAGCGATCAGTGAGTAGACTGAGTATACGTGGTGGTATATTTCCAACCAAACGGACCTGCACCTCGACGCTGTTAGGGTTACTCGCCTTACCCGCGAGTGTTCGCCGAGGACAACCGACCTGGCAATAGTAAAATCCGCCACAATATTAATAGTGATTTTTGAATGTTTTTCTTTGCAAGTTCTCGTTCATTCATCGAGATGGAAAAATGTCCATGTTTCTTTGTACTCAGTCTGTATTCATCAGTTCGTAGTACGGTAAATGATCAGTGGTGAACAGCGAAGTTTTGTGGTCTTTTTATTAAAATAGACATAACTTGGGAATCAAGTATGCATATTATCTGAAATGTGCACATTTAAAGGTCAATAAGATGTACTATATCCCTATTTTTCTTTCATGAAATGGAGCTAGCCGAATATTTTAAATAATTTTTCAAAGTCGGTCACTTTCTTTTTGACTCACCCTGTAGTGGTAAAACATTGTTGGTTCATCTTATAACTTAATTGTTGAGAAAAACAGCGTTTAAAGTTTATATTTTTCTTATTTCAAACAGTTACTGTGTGAACATTAGTTTCTACATGACACTGAAAGCCAAGCACGTTCCAGTCAACAATCATCCGGTGATTGCTCGGATCCTGGCCCATAAAAAGGTAACTTAAATCCTATCGGGCTTTCTCTCTGATCTACACACCATTTAAAAAAAAAACAATCTCATTGCAAGATTGAGGTGTTTCAAACCATATTGGTATTTGGGGTTAAAACATGAGCAACAAGGTGACATTCAGCAAATCCAGTTCATCTTCTAGTCTACCAGTTAGCGACGTTCTCGAGTCTGACCACATTTTTGGTTTTCTGTTATGCCAGTTGATCAAAGAGCTTGAACCGTTGGACCTCAAACTTGAAGCAGAAATAGATGAACTGCTAAGTTCTCCACTGGCTGATGAAATCAAAGGTGAGTTCCGTATCTGTCTAGCACCTGCACCCCCCCCTAATAAAAACAAAGACATCGGTTGTAACATTAGAATGCTATCAATGCAGTGTTTCATGTTTAAGCAAGATTAACTACAAGGTTTAACCCAAAAAAATGACTTGAGTGTAATTTCAATCTGCAATTCTTGAACAATGAACTGGTGCTGTATCAACTAAATTGTCCAGGAATTATGGTAACTTCTTTGGTCTTATTTTTTTCAGGGAGTTCAAAACCTGATGTCACGTTGCCATCACCAGATGACAGTGAGATGGATTCTAGTGATGATGATGACAGTATGTACAGTGACGATGATGCAGCATTAACACAAAGCTCCAAACAGAAACCCAGCATCAAGAAGATCACCAAGACGAAATCACAAGCACCCTCATCGAATGGCCACGGGGGTAAGCCAGCTAAAAGGAAGCACCAGAAACCAAACATAGACACCAATGAAGGCTGTGGAATGTCTCCAGATGAGGAACGAAGAGCGTTGGAGTATTATGAGAAGATTGCCAAGGAGGTACAGGACAAGAAGTTGGAAAGGAAGAAGCAAGCCAAGTAAGATTTCTTTTTGTCTTCCAATTATTTGTTTGAGTTTTTTACTCTATCTCAGTGCTTCTCATTGGTGCAATTTTTGTTGGATCATCTATGGTCCCTTGGATCATTATAGTCCCCCATTCATCCTCTATGGTCACCCCTTGGATATCCTGTGGTCACCCCTTGGATCCTCTTTGGTCTACCCTTGGATCCTGTACGGTTCCCTTGGATCCTATGGTCCCCCTTGGATCCTCTAAGGTCACCCCTTGGATTCTCTATGGTTCCCCTTGGATCCTCTATGGTCACCCCTTGGATCCTCTATGGTCACCTCTTGAATTCTCTATGGTCCCCCTTGGATCCTCCATGGCCACCCCTTGAATCCTCCATGGTCCCCCTTGGAACCTCCGTGTTCCCCCTTGGATCCTCCATGATCACCCTCTGGTCACCCCTTCGATACCCTTTTCAACCCGAGTTCCCCTGTGGTTTCCCTGTTGTGTCTCTTTTGTCCTTAGATCTCCTTTGATCCCCGACAGTGCCCTCTGTACCCCTACGATCGTCCATGTTCCACTTTGAATACCTCATATGGCACCCTGAATATGCAATTCATGTTTATTCATCCTTGTCTTTACATTAATAAACAATTGTTTTACAAACAGAGAATTTGAGAGTCAAGACCAGAACAACGAGGCAGAACTGGAAGAAACTGAAGATGGAAAGCGAGCCATCACATATCAGGTTAGATAAGGCTTGAAATCGCATTTTTTGGACGACACAGATTTTAGGGTCATTTTGTTTAAATGGTGATACATTGTATAATTTGAACGGATCGAGCAATTGAAGTAATTTTTTAATCTTAAAGAAGTTTATTAAGTTGGCTTACCAGTCATTATTTTTTGTGTTACATATTTTTTAAAAAAATATGTAGGGTTTGGGCTCCGCTTTTCTTGACTCACCCTGTAGGACATGGTCGACACTGCTATATAGGAAAGTTATTAGAAATGTGATATTTGAACACCCAGATTGTATCTTACATTCCTCCCTTTTGAATCTCTTAGATTTCCAAGAATAAAGGTCTTACTCCGCATCGCAAGAAAGAGCAACGTAACCCTCGAGTCAAGCACAGGATGAAGTTCAAGAAAGCCAAAGTCAGACGGAAGGGTCAGGTAAGCTGAAACAAGGAGCCAGAAAATCTCTCAAGGTTTATGATTATCCCTTAACACTTAAGACTGTGAAGCTGCTCCACATTGAAGCCTGCCACCAATAAATGTCACATTTTATTTGTGTTGTTTAGGTCCGGGAAGTTAGGACGGAGATGCAGCGTTATGGTGGTGAGGTGTCGGGCATCAGGGCCGGTGTCATCAAAAGTGTCAAGATTAAATGATTACTTTTCCAGAGTCACATTTTTCAGTCTGAAGGAGTTTAATATGAATTCCATTTTGCTGTTTGCATGAAGTTAAACCGTTGGACTAGCAAATCATGATGAAAAGGTTCCATTTGTGATTTAATTGGGAGGACAATAAAATGCAAATCCCAGGAAATTTTAATTTGATGAAAAAATTACAAAATAGTGCTTTGATTAAGTATATGTCAAAAGCATCATGCCTAATTTGCTTAAACAGTCACCTGGATGGAAGTTCTTGTTATTGGTCAGATTCTCATAATAACCTAATACTTGCATTTTTATTTAAATTTTGCCTCAAAATTATGAAATACAGACTTTAAAGTTGTATAAAGAATGGTTCTGGTTATTTTTTTGGTAATAAAGCATTGGTATCCAAATTAATTACCATCATAAAAAGTGTGCTGATGTTTCTGATTTATTGGGAGCTGATATGGCCAAGTTGCTTAATTTTCATAATGGGAAACCATTTTTATTGTTTACGGGTTTAATAAGTGACTTGGAGACAGAAAAGTGTTAGCTCATTTGCATTTCGAGGAACAATTCACCAATCGGAGGAATGCTTCGCATTGAGTTAACAACAGCGCCCTCTTGCGAATATTCTAATGTCGCGCCGCAATTACGCACTTCTGGAAAATAAGCGCGATTTCCAAATTGCGCGACAATACAAAATACGCGCGACTCCGCTATATACATGGGGCGCCCTCTGTAGTCGTTGATCCGTCAGTTGTTTATATGGCAACCTGATCCGAGTGGGATGTGATTTCTTGGGTTGACACTATTTATCGATACGTCTTTTTTAACCAAGCGCCAGCGAAATTTAGGTAAGTTGTAAGACAAATTATGTTTGTTAAGCAAGTTTTAACTTTGTTTCCTTTCCATAAAGAGTCGAGAACAGGAATATATGACCTTGTAAAAGTTGCTTTAAACGTGGTTTCTTGTCGCATGTCCTCACCTTCGATTTTCTTCACTGCACAGTTTACTCAGTTTTTGCATGTTCTTGTGCGTCCTGCACATTGCGAAGTGTACAAAACTAATGTATGTAGGCCTAGGCCTATCATGTGTGTGTTTGATTCTCGCATTTCAATCAGTCATTGTATGTGTATTGCAGCCTTGAGGATTCAAGATTTTGTTGTAATTTTGATGTTATTCACTTAATTTTTTTTGCAACAGTTTTTCAGCTGTATTTATATACTGCTGTCCTGCTTGAGCATTGTTGAGGATTGACCCTCAAAATGTCCGATCCGGCTGGTGTACTGAAGCGATATGAAGACGTATGTGAGGAGATGGGCGTCAAACCAGCGCCATTCATCATGAAAGTACTAGAGAAGGAAAAAGATGACCAAATTACGTGAGTTCCTTTGTTTCACAAGTTATACTGTTTGCTTGTCTGCTTATTGGCTACCTTCCTGAGCATCATGATTTTTGTTCATATTTCTTCTTCTCCAGGCTTTGTGTTTGAGCTTACATTCAAAAAGATGTCAATTTTTCCTAGCATTTTTCCTGTTTCTCTATCTGTGAACTTTGTGATCTTGTGTGTTTTCAATAGAAAGGATTCTTAAATTTGAAAGCACAACAAACTAGTTTCCATTAAACATAAGGGGGAAAAGAAGTCTTGTTTCTTAAAACCTGTTGTTTTCTCATCAATCTGTACTTCTAACATGAATTTCTGACTTTCAAAACTTTGTCCTAAGAAGATTGTTCTAACTTTTATTACTAACTTTCTTTGGAAATCTTATAATCGTTCCTCATGACCATGCAGAAGAGAGAAACAGAAACTGTGAGTATTGCTATTTTTTTTGCAGCATGCCACCATTATGCTTCTTGATGTGCTGTTGACTTTGGCCTGATAGAGATCACAGCAAGGCAGAGTTTTAATCAAGTGAATCTTTAGTCATGTTACTGTTAGTCATCAGAAACCATCATAAGTCAATCACAAGACATCACAAGCCGTAGGTCATTTTGTCTTAAGTCAATCACAGCATTTAGCAAAGAACTACGACTTAGGCCTTCCTTTGTCATTAGTCATCCTTTACTACATGACCATGTGACCTGATTTGTGATTGACTTGTGATTAACTTCTGATTTGACTTGTGAAATACTTTGGATTGACTTGCTTACAGCTCTGCAGCCAAGCATCACATTTTCGCCATTGCTAAGTTAATTGTGTGATGCATACCATGTTGAACACTTGCTAAATAAATGTTTCATGTCGATTTGTGGTAGCGGACATAATTCACATCTTGAGTAAATGTATTCCACATTTTCATTTGCACAATAGCAAACATTTGTCCACCTTTACAATACAATGTAGGCCTACACTAGAAGCATATCACTGTCTTTACATACACATTTATTTTGACTACAAGACACATCTCATGATTTCACAAGTTTTGGCTGTCAGTTTTACAAAAGGAACATAAAGCCCTTTCTCCACACTGGATGTAGATCTTGGCACTCGGTTTTTTATTTGTACACACTAGTGCAGGGCCAGTTGAAAATGTGCCTGTTCGGGAGGGGCAAATTGCTTGACCGCTGGTTGCTTGCAGCGTTTTTTGAGAACTTTTCGTGCAAACAACGCGCACGATTATGGGGAAAAAAAGTGTACCATTGTTTATTTACCCTCTATTCTATGCGCGGACGCAGCATATTGACGCCATAGATGTAGAACTATATCTATGAGTGACGCGGCATATTATTCTACACACGGCTTATTATTCAATGCGAGGACACGCGCTTTAGCTTAAACATGACGTAAACAATAATGAAAAGGACTTCGCGTGTTCTATGCTATATACTGCCACGTTGAGGCTCAGAAAATGCTGCTTTTTTGCAGCTTTTTCGAGAACCGCTCGTCCAAACCACTTTAAAATTGGCACTGCACATTCTGTTGTCCCGAACAATGTACCCGCCGATTTTCAACTTCATACGGTGCCCGGTTCTGGAAATAATCGACGGACAGCCAGACAGACAGACAGAGATTTCTGGAATTATAGTAGAGATAAGTTTTTTTCCGTGAACACTTAGATTTCTTTGTACACGTACAGACGTACAACTAAAGATTTAAATTTGGCAATACTCTCTTCATTTCATCCTGGTCATGCAAAATAATGTACATTAGGGATAATTCATTTATTATCACAATTCAAAGGATTTTCATTGACATAAATAGGAAGTTTATGAATTTGAATGGTGCCATTTGCTGTACTTATCAGTGTTGGAGCAAAGGCTTTGACCCTCAAGGCCAAGGCTTTGACCCTCAAGGCCAAGGCCAAGGCTTTGACCCTCAAGCCTCGAGGCCAAGGCTTAACCCTCAAGGCTAAGGCCAAGGCCAAGGCCCTGTTTTATAAAATGACCACTAAATGTAGAACTAATTATAGTCACATGACACATCATCACGAATCGCTCATTAAGAAGAACAACATGCTCGCATACACTGTTATATGACTGCATTGTATCTATTAAAGTATAAGTTCAGGTCTTCATGAATATGGTTTAACTAAAACAAAATAACGATATATTGACGCACAATTCTCCCGAGTGTAACAAAAGGGGGATCCAAGAAACTGATTTGGGAAATTTGTATTTGCTGGGCCAACATGGTCAGAAATATTAGCATTATCTAAAACAGATACATGCAAATTATCTTTAGCACTGAGGGAGACATATACAACCAATCAGATCTATTCCATAATTGTATATAATTTAAGTGATCATCTCATTAGCCCCACAAGTGTACAGAATATTGTTGCAGCAAATCTACTACAATGGTAACAAAATATGATGCTATAAAAGTGGAAGTGTGCCCAACACACAAATCTATAGGGTGTTTCCCTCCTCCATGGTAACACGATTAAAATGGTAACAGCAAAATTTCAAACAGATTTATCTGGAAAATGCAAAAATCTATGGGCCTTGAAGAGCCTTGACTCAAAATTGTAAGGCACTGATCCCTCAAGCCTCGAGGCCAAGGCCCTAAAGTCCAGCCTTAAGGCAGCCTTAAGGCCAAGGCCCAGCATCAAGGCACTACATCACTGGTACATGTATTATTGGCATTTTGAGTAACATTCATTGTATTAATAGCATAAGCAACACGTTCTTTGGGTGATTTGCCATGTTTTTATTTTAAGTTATGGGGTGATCATGCAGTTTGGATGTGAATGGCATGTTCCATGTTCATCTTTTATGTGCAATTAATTGAACAACCGTCATTGCTTCATATACATTCGTTTACTTTTAAAAACCTCATACTTCTTTTAATAGCTTTTTGCTATGCAAATTGTCTTAGATGGTTGCTTATTATTGATATGCATTGATAACTGAAAAGTGCATTAACCAGTTCGCGTCCAAGGACGTGATAACACGCACTGGCTGTTTTTATACACAGGCACGGCTGACGTCAAGATTGCCTGACTCGCCTTCGGGTGACGTGTAAACACGTTAATCCCTCACACAAAGTTCGTGAAGTCTGTAGTCTGTAGAGGCGGACCATGTGTTCATCTTGAATTGGCTGTTGTGCATGGCCTATTGTTGTACAATATACGCTCCAGTGCACACTCCGGAGTATTGAAACCTAGGAGGTTTTGGCAAAAATATCGTACAAATACTGTTGAAATGACTCTTGCGAATCAGTAGTTGTGGCGTTTGGCTGGGCATCAGAAGTTGGCTGGAAAATTTTGACTTTTGCAAAAACCAAATTTTCGGCAAAAATAATTCCAGCGCAAAGTGGTTAAGGAAGATATATCATCCAATTCATCTCATACTAAATGCATTAAGTTATCAGACATTAAATGACAAGTAATGACATGGCCTACTTACATGTATTTAGAGAGAAAAAAGCATTTTGCTAGAAAAAAGAAGTAAGTAATTTTGCTGAAAAATGTGTCCTACAAAATCAGTCACTTTTTTTCATCACATTCAAGTCTTTGTGCAGCATCTGTCATCAAATTGATATTGAAATTGGGGAGTCATGTTGGTGTAGCCTTCTACTGCTGTGGCCAGGGTTCGATTCCTGCCTGGCCCAATATGAAGATTGGTTTCAGTCGCTACTTGCATCCGTGGGTTTTCCTCAGAATATTCTTTTTGGATTTTCCTCCCACATCTAAAACTGTAATTTCTTTACATTGTCTTCTCTTTGTGGATATCACTGAATGTTAAAATATCCAGTTTTAACTACTCAGTTAAAATACGAAAAAAGAAAAAGAAATGTTAACAATTTGTACTTCGTAAGAACTTTAATTTGTGTACTAATTTCCTTGTCTTTGTTTAAATCCTTATGCCAGTGATCCTAAGGACAACATGGATATAGTCTTGCGTGGCAACAACTATCTTCTGACTAATACCAGATTGACTGACTCGGACGCACTGTCATTGTATAAGACCTTGGCCAATAATGTCTATGTGACCGGCCTGGATCTGAGATACAACAATCTTACTGATGAAGGAGCTGTACACATCGGCAAGCTGCTGGAGGTTAGCACACATAGTTTAGAGACAATTTATAACCAGATTAACCACAGTTAACCATAGTTGACTAGCCCTGATAAACTGCTGGTTAGTCAGTGACTAGTGAAGGGATTGACTGGTCTACCGAGGTCAATCTCATCGCTGGTTACAATGATTGCATACATCACAATGCATAACAGAGTGTTGGGACTAAGAAGTTTAGTTGATGTTGTCTTGATGGTTGATGTACCGACAGTTGCACATGCTTGGAGATTTGTGTTGTTACTCTTTTAGCAACTTTTTCTTCTGAGGTTAATGTACCCTTAATGTGCTTACTGCTTATGGTCTTTATGAAATAGATGGAGGCTCTCTACGCAGAAAATAATTTGCTAAGCATTGGGTCTTGGGCTTGGAATACCCACGGAAGTCCCGGTACTTTCTATGACCAAACTAGAGCAATGATCTGATAATTTTACACACTGACTCTACTTATCACTTGAGCAGGTCAGTAGTTCTTAAACTAATGTCCATCGCTATTGCCATGCCGGTTTCTCATTCTACAATTTATAATGAACAAGAATATTTCTGTACATTTCTTCAATATAAGCTTCTCAAGTGTATTGTTGATATGTTTTACCAGGAAACCTGTGCACTGCGAGGCCTGAACTTGCAGAGTAATGACATCGGACCAGCTGGAGCAGAGAACATAGCCAAAGCATTGCAGGTAAGATTGAATCTTTGTACATAGCAAACCTCTCAACTCTTGGGTGTATGCATCCAACCTGTGGACTCTGTGTATGGGTGAAAACCAGTGAAATATGAATGAGAAGTTTGCTATGTGTCAGTCAGACAATCAGATAGTCAATCAGATGGTGTTTATTTTTTGGTTTCTGAACATTTTCAGTGATTTGTTTACCCTAACTGATCAATAAGAATGAAGAAATCGTTTACCATTCCTGCAGGTAAATGAAACGTTGGTTTCATTGAAGCTGAATGGGAATAAGATAGAGAACAAGGGAGGAATGCACCTGGCAGGATGCTTGCAGGTCAACACAGCGTTGCAAGAACTGGACATAGGCGATGCTGACTTGGTAAGTCTCAAGACATTCACGTGCAATTGTTAATAACTGAATGAAGATTAGGCTGTGCCAACATAACAGAGACAGCTGATCATACAAGCAGCTAGTATGCATGCACTACAAATGACAAAGTTGATTTATTTAAAATGTCTAATACTGGATGTGAATACACAAGTAACTCATTTATGGTTTTCTGTCATCTTCCTTGTATAACTTGAAGTGAGTAATATAGTATAGTATCCACGAGTTGGATACTATAATTATTTTAAGTGTATGTAGTAGACATATCAAAGATAATTAATCTCAATAAATCTGAAAAGACCGCCCCCATTTGGTTTTGTTCATTATTCTCCACTTCGTCCTGTGCTAAGTTCTGTCTCATTTTGCCAGAAGGCTTCACACATCACCAATTGCTAGTGTTACTTTTTTGTGAAGGAAAACCTGGTATACACATTTTGTCAAGAAGCGGTAAACAAACACAATGGTTAAGGATTTTTTTTTGGAGTAATAGTTTCTTGTATTTGTCTTTATTTCAGGGCACTCAAAGCATAATAGCCCTAGCTACCGTCCTACATCACAACAGCACCCTCAAAGCGCTGTGTGTCAACCGACCTCTACTGTTCAGCCAGCAGGAAGAAACCACAGTCCATATGTCTCTCATGCTCAAGGTATTTGAAATATCTGTGACTGAATAAACAAATATTGTTTCTAACTGGTGTTCCATAGTCCTGCCAATCCAATTTATGCCAAAGATTTGAAATTGTGAAAATTGTTGTCTTCTCACAGGCTCCTAGAAAGTATGTATCGCAAATCATCGTAACACTGGCTTCAAGTTTATGTGCCAATTTGTTTTATTTTTTTCGTTTTAGGTTAATAGCACACTGAAGGAGCTCCATCTTCAGAAGTGTGACATTCGAGATTTTGGAGCTGATCGTCTTGTGGAGGCTCTGCAACACAACATTGCACTAACTTACCTCGATCTTAGCTGGTAATATTTGTGTCAATTTAAAAATATGACAATTTAACCTGCAAAATGTTTTTTAAGTTTCATCCCCCATGTTTTTGTAAAAAAAAAAGAATGTACTTAAAAGTTTAAAATGAAACGGAATAAAACTGCTGTAAACTGCTTTCTGACTGGATTAACCTGAAATATACCAATCAAAAAAATGAAGGCGGCCTGACATTCCGATCTTAACAAGATCTTCTTCAAAGGCAAAAGACTAGAAAATTTATCCCATTTTGAATAAAACATTGAGCGAAAATATCTATAAGGAATAATTACCCTAGAGAGTTTGAATAATTAGCAGCTGCACAATAGTTCAGGTGGATCTATTGTACATAAGATTCACAAATAATGCAACTCCAAATAAAAGCCTTTGCTTGTAAAGTCTCAAAGTTACATTGAAAAGATATTATGGTATAACAGAACACTTGTGGCCTGTTGTGATATTAGAGTCCACGGGTTTTAAAGTCGGGGCAAATGAGCTTCAACTTGGCTGGTGTTGGCACCCTTGAGCATACGAAACCCATTGTCCAACAATCAATTGTATAACAGATTGGTCCGTTGACTCAACTCAACGGAACTCCAACATGTTGGGATTGTTAATGTTTATGCATCTTCCTTGCAGCAATCGCATCACACGGGACGGTGCCAAGGCTTTCTCTAAGCTTCTCAAGCTGAACACTCCCCTGGAAATCCTAGACTTAGGATTCAACAGAATAGAAGACGATGGTGCAGTCAGCCTGAGTCAAGCTCTGGTCTCGCTCAACTCAAACCTAAAAACGTGAGTCATCATTAATTATGATCTCTATATCCTCACTGTCTGGATTGTTAACCTCAGGTTATTTTAATATCTCAGTTAGTTTAATATTGTAGGTAGTATTCTGTAGTTGTACCGGAGAAGATAGTACAATTTTAGAGGTGGGAGGAAAACCTCTGAAGAATGTTCCGAGAAAAACGCATGGAATTAGGCAGGGACTGAAAGCCCAATTGAAATGTTGGCCCAGGTTGGAATCAAACCCGGGTCACAGCGGTGGAAGGCGAGGAAAGTACTGCTACACCAACCTGACTCCCCATTATGTTGTCAGTGGTACACTGTTTAACTTCAAAGACATGCAAAAATTCAAGACATGGCAAATATTTGCATTGTCAATTTGCAAATTTTGAATTGAGTTCATATCAATCGAGTTTGTTTTGTTAAGTCATTTTTGCTTAACATTAATGTTGCATGAATATGAACCAACTTTCACTGTGTTATTCTCAGGCTGGTCATAACAAGCAACAACATCGAGGCAACTGGACTGTGCGCCATAGCGAGAGCCATGAACACCAACACGACACTGACTAGTGTATTCATATGGGGAAATCATCTGCAGGAACTTGCATGTGTGGTAGGTAACCAAACTTCATTGAATGTTTTTTCAAATATGCAGGAGGTCGACTCCTGAAATGTTGCACCAGAGGAATGCCTAATAATTAATATGAGTAAGGCCAAAAAAAAAATTAGTCGGTCTCTGGTCAGCGCGCGCGTCGATTTTAATCATGCGCGTCAATCTTTTTTTTTCCAAAATGTTCCGCGGTAGCTCCAACAGCGCCCTCTGTTTCCGCACCTCCTTTTTTTTTAACCAAAGAGCACCAAGGAATGGGAAATTGCACCAAGGCAAATGATCGAAAGCACCAAGGCAAATTATGGAGGACACCAATGTACATGAGGACACCAAAAAAACAAAAAAGTACCCACCTTGTCTGTACAATCCAAGCTTGAAGAAAAGAAAGAAAAAAAAGCAAAAAAAAAAAAAAAGCCGCGTGGCCGCGTCAATTCCGGAACTTTGGTCTCACCAGAGACCGAATTTTTTTTTTTTTGGCCTAATGTGTAGTTTTTTTTTTATTCTTGTTATTCAGGCATTTAACGGTTTGATGGAATCTGGTCGTCTGGATATAAAGGATACAGATGTTAAGCCATACATCGTAGATGGCCACGTCCTGCTTGCCGAGTTGAACCATGGGATACGTCGTCATTACTACTGGACTCCATTCTATGGTTCTGATGCAGAATAAAGAGTTGCTGTCGGGTAGGGCTGTGCATCGGAACCGGGTACCTGTTCATGTCAGGAACCAGTTCCAGATTATGTAATCGGGCGCTTGTAACCAACTTCACAAATTACATAGTAGCTTCTCATCAGAAAGGAAAAAAGAAAGGTTTTGAATGTCATTTTTGAGAAATGTTCAAAATGAAAACCAGGCTACACAGTTTCGCATTTATGAGGCTTGCAAAAGTTACAGTTAACACTTTATTACCCTAAGGCTATAAAGCTCACTACATGTACATACTTGTATCTTGCTGTATTGACGCGCTGATGTGGTTGTATTATCTTGCGGACCTTTACGAACAATCTGCACAGCTTTCATGATTTGAATTTTTGGGTTGAGTTTCTTTAACGGGTACCCATGTTTTTTTAATCCGGTACACGGTTCCCGTACTATCTGTAAATGCACACCCCTATTGTCTGGGGGGTGGGGGTGGGGGGTGGTTGATGGCTGATTTGACTGAACCCCCCCCCCCCCCATATATAGCTCCCTTTTTCTGCTGACTTGCAGATGTTTTTTGCTGTTTCATTAGGCAGTGTCAGATCCAAAAGTTTTCAGGTGACGCTCACGAAATTAAGGCCTTAAGGAGTGAGGAGTTGTGATATTTTATGATCACATTTTTGGGAACTTAATTCTGGAAATATGTAAATAACAAACATTGATACGACGGCTTGGGGGTATAGCCAGTCAAATTACTAAATATTTAACCTGTAATTTAATACTTTTTCGTGTACAATTCCTCTTAATTGTATATAAAATGTATTTGGATTGCAATATTTGTGGATTTGATAAACATAGAATAAGAAATAAATTCAGATATTTTGTGTGTAATTCAGTGGAGTACATCAAATTAATTTTGGGCAAATGCTTTCTCCAAATGCTGAAATTCCATTTTTTTTTACCAAAAGAGCAACACATTTTGGACTAAATTTCCCTGAAATTTTCGACAGTTCTTCTTTTGAAATTTGTCAAAAAATCGAGTCGATATGTGTTTAAGCCAAAATTGAAAAAAAAGTGCAAGGGGGTAACCTTACATATTTAACAAAATATGGCAAAACAAATTGCATTTCAGCCAACAACGCAGAAAATGCAATGGATGCAAGAGAAACATCAATCAGTATTCCAACAAACACTAACAATCCTGCAGATTTCGGGAAAATTCGCCTATAATTTTGAAAAAAAATTGAACGATTTTCTCCTAAATTTTCAATGTTAAGTTTCTTCTTAATTCATATTTGTTCAAAAATGGAGTCAAAGTGTGTTTCAGGATCCTTTAGGCAAACTGTCCTGCAAGTTTAAGTAATTTCATTTTTCCGGACAAACAATTTATTAATGTGATGATTCCCTTGACAATGCGAAATTACATGTACATGTGTATTTGAACTAACCGTCGCGTCTAGAAGTACATGTACATGCATTTATGTTGTCGTCATCAGTACCTTTATAAGCGACTGTATATATATAATCCCGAGGTCCCTACTCTTTGTGATGAAGGCTTATCAGCTTAGAGTGCAAGGCTAATAATCTTGCGCTCCGTAATTGCGTAAGCGCAAGTCGGTAGTTACACAATCATTGTTACACCACGGGTGGTTATTAAACAGTTGGTATAGGCTAAATATTTCTTCATCTATTATGGTACAACTCTAGTCTACGCTACAATCTGGTAAGTTTTTGTGTAAATAATCATTTTTAAAGTCTTAGGCTTATGTCCATTTTCTAAGCTTTCCTAGCACGCTTCTCACAAAGGGACAAAAAAAGATCGGATCGGAGTGACGGAGCTATAGTAACCTTGTGGTGGTCAACAGAAAATGTCTTCACCATGATCTGGTTGCTCTAGCCATTGTTGGTACTATCGCCGTTGACTGTAGCTATATAACTACAAATGATGATCGACAATATGATTATTTGGCACATGGATTCAATTAACTCGTACGATCAAAAATTCACCACAAAGGAACGGCTAACCAATATGAATAGTTAAAGTTCAATCTCAGGTCAAGCCTCGCCACTGTGCCCTAAAACGTGAATGAGTAAAAGAAAACTGGTTTGCGCAGACGATATCGTCAATTCATGCCTGCATCACTCTTATCACACAATAGCCGTCGGTCATTGAGCGAATTTATAAAGTGCACCATGAACCATGGAGCTATATCAAATTACAATTTAATATAGCTCTGTGCGATGGACAGGGAATTATTGTAGCTGTCGGCATCTGTTGCATCATTTCCAAATTTCCAGCTCCGTCGCATCGTGCACCTAGCTACAGCACCATCGAGAGTTATACACGCACCACAAACATCCCGTACGTATCTCGTTTTGATCGAAGATAACAGTGAATGATGAATCATTATTAGACGCAATTTTTGTCGACAGGATACAAGTACTGGGATTGCTTGGTGACCTCGCGTTGCCCCAAATTTGAACCTTTCACGGGACTCGCACTTGACTGGCATTGAAGTTCTGTGCTCGGTACATAGTGACGGTTCAAACGGACGTTCCAGCCAGACGGAATTGTGGGGTGATAGCATTGTGTTCCCATTATCCCTTTTTCTAAAGATTCTCTTCTGGGGTGATGTTTTTCTATTGTGAAAATAGTGGGGTGATGTGTCCTGAAAAGAACATCACCCCACAAGGGTGGTATGGTCAGAACGACGCAGCCTATGACACGCCATTATTGCTGCATTACCTCGTTAGTATTAGTAGGTTTTTGATCTTTTTTTTTGCTCTCTTTACGCGTCGACAGGTCATTGCAAACTATATTTGGTATCATTCAAAGTGCGTCGATGAATGGCATATCATAAATACCTGTTGCCAGTGGTAAATATTTGCTTTTAGATAACTATATGCCTGATTGTTTGACGACTTAGTAACAGTTAGTAATGACCCCATCAAGTTCAAAACCAGCATCCAACCAAGTCTGATCTTCGAACTGCATACAGATTGCGTTGTCATGTTTTGGAGGTTTCATCTGTTTTGTTATTTTTATTTCAGACTGGAATAACGCACACCTTGCGAGAGAAACAAAATGGCGGAGCAAGAAAAGAGCCCTCTTCGAGTCCGCATCCCTGTCATCATTCTGGTCATGTTGTTTGGTACAGGATCGTGGGTAGCAATCAACGGGTTATGGGTTCAACTCCCACTCCTTGTGTCTCGTAACGTTCCTGAGGGTTACAACCTGGCTGCCTACCTTACCATCATCATCCAGCTGGCTAACATCGGTCCCTTGATCTTCACCCTGGCCAACTATTTCTCACCTAAGGGTCTACATGTTGAGATCCCCGCCAATTTTGTCATTGTGTCGATCGGCTGCATCTCCACTCTGCTTCTGGTGTTCTTCTGGGATTACTACACAGTATGGGTCATCGATAACACCCTACATAGCACAGCACTGCTGTGTTTAGCCTTCTTCCTATCCATCGTAGATTGCACCTCCTCAGTGGCCTTCACGCCCTTTATGTCTGTCCTCAAGAACTCTTATCTGACATGGTACTTCGTTGGGGAAGGTCTCAGCTCACTGCTTCCTAGCGTCGTGGCGTTGATTCAGGGGGTAGGGACTAAGGAGTGTGTAGCTAACAGCACTTACATCAACGAGACGATCATCAATGGCACTGTCGTCGAGCAGACATGTACCAACTGGCTACAGCGGGACACTCCGGAACGCTTTCCACCTCAGAACTTCTTCGGGTTCCTCTTTGCCATGATGGTCACCTGCCTGATTTCCTTCACTATGCTGAACTACCTGCCGTTGGCCAAACGCGAACACGTCAAGAAGTACCAGCCTGAGACGGAGGACTCCAAGGTCGAAGATGCCCCGGTGAAAGGAGCCGAGAGCCGAACCATGTTGGTCTTCAGCGTCACGGCCGTTGACGACACAACATCGCAGAATGATGTCGATGACGCCGAGCCTGACAAGGGCCATCACACCATCGAGGGCAAAGACGGCGCACAGACGCCCTCACAGCCGCCTGTGACCCGTTGGCAGTTTGCTTATCTCTTTGGCATCTTAACCTTCGTGACAGCAATGAGCAACGGGGCACTGCCGTCAATTCAGACCTACTCCTGCGCCCCTTACGGGCTCAACACCTACCTGATAGCATCCACCATGGCTAACATCGCTAATCCCCTGGCTGCTTTCCTGGTCATGCTCTTCCCTTTCCGTAGTCTACCATTGATTGGTGTGACAACCATAGCCGGTACCCTTGCGGCAACATTCTGCTTGTTAACGGCAGGGCTGAGCCCGACTCCTCCATTGCAGTATGATGTTGCAGGTGATGCTATTATAGTAAGTATTATTGTGGTGATGTATTTATTTTGTTTTCTACTTAACATCGTTTTCACGTCATCTAGTTTTACCGTCTTGGAATAAACATAGCCGTGCCCAAATAATGCCTTGATTATTGACTGCTGATGATGAAAATAATAACTTTTTTCGATGGTTATCTAAATGTTACCACATGTTTACTGAATCTCAGTCTTGTTCCAAAACTGAAATTGGATATTGTCTGTTAGTCCAATAATCCAACCCAAAGAGGGCGCTATATCAACAAGATGAAACATTTAGTGATCCTCGTGCGCGCTGTACTCAACAAAAATGCGCGCGCCTGTGGTGAGTCTGGTTGCCAATGATGGCACTCGTATACTCGTATCGCCTCCAGTCGCGATGGCCGGCTGTCCATGCCATGAATTAGGGGCACGGTCAACCCTCGTGAAAAAAAAGTCTTGAACCAAGACTGGCTTATTCCTATCAGCTCGATCGGTGGTCACGTCGTCTGCACTCGTAGTAAAGCAGGCCATTGGGTTGAGCACAGTATAAAAAATAGTAGATGGAGGGCAAAACTATACAAATCTTCTTTTCTCTCCTCAGATTTTGGCGTGGATCTTCGTCAGTGGTTTCTTTGTGTATACCAAAGCTACCATAGCCTGGATACTTCGATGTCAAGCCGACAACCGCACGTTGCTGATTTGGTACGGCGGGGTGTCTCAGATCGGATCTATGATCGGCGCTTTCGTCATGTTTCCGATCGTCACCATCGCTCAACTGTTCGTACCTTACTACGAGAATGTGTGTGACGGCAGGCCCATCTGCGAGACTGTGTAACGACCGACTGCCTTTCCTTAACCTTCGCGTCCACTCTGGCTTCGGATTGAGGAGATTTATGCCTCTCACCTCGGACTCCCCTCAAAATGGTTAAAAAATGCGTGAATGAAAGTATTTCAGAATATGGGCTTCTAAGATAATGTGAACATGGGAAAGTATAAAAATACACACTTCGGTAACAATATAGATGGAGCTGTCAGATATATATTTTTTTTGAGAAATAAGTACTTCTGTGGCTGACATTTTTTTTAGATTTGAAAATTAGAATTCGGTACCACCCCCCCAAAAAAAACAACCTAGAGGACGAACTATAGTCTATGCAGCATATGGTTATACACAGACTAGTTCGGAGACTGGACTCCGCGGCGGGTGATACTCAAGACTATCATGGAAGAACATGCTCTATTAAGATATACTTAAGTGGTGTTTCAAGCTTCATTTCTTTTAAGAAAAAAAGATGATTACTTCTTTTTTTCTCACCTTGTACAAATCTGTATATTTTGGCATGGTGGAGGGTATCTGGGAGAAGTTTGTGAACCAAACTTGCGACTGACTCCAAGGAGTGGTAATTACGGTTCCTTGCAGTCGTCGGGAACAACATCGACTGATGAGGGCAAAATCATGCTCAATGAACCAGCAGTGTTAATTTTTCATCGCATATTCTTCTCTGAACCTCTTCTCTTGCAAGGGCGGATCCAGAACACAATTTTGGGGGGGGCCAAAAAAAAATTTGTTCCCCCCAAAAAGTGGGTCAAAAACATTTAGGCGTGGGGTTCGGGGCCCGTAAGGGCCCCGAAAATTTTTTGGATTCTAGATGCTCTGTGGTGCGATCTGAGGCAATTTCTGACCACTTTAACCAATGTTTTTTTAGGAAAAGATGGTGGTGTACTCATTGCCTGCCTTTATTGCGATGTCACATAAAAAAAAAAAAATTGGTTTCGTTTTGGGGGGGGGGGGCCATGGCCCCCTTTGGCCCCCCCCCTGGATCCGCCCTTGTTCTCTTGTAATGTAAGCCGTTGCACTTTGCCTATAAACAAACAGACTTCTGTCAAGACCTTTACGACATGTGTGTGTACTAAGATGTATGAGTATGGTTTGCCGTGTTAATTGTGATGCTCTCCAGTCGTTATCAACTAAATCATAATTTCATACTCTGATTTTTATAAAATGAAAATGCGACCTAATCAAACTATCTTGAATTCTAATGGACTCAACTGGTGACCACTGGGCCTTAACGTAATGTATAATGTTTGTGATTCCCATTTTTTTTTTTTTTTTGGGGGGGGGGGGGAATCGTCAGAAGGACGTCTGAACACTCAGTTAGCATTAGCCTGAGTCACGCACAGAAAAACTATAATTACAATACGTCATCTTATTAAGTGGTAGTAGTGTGGCTTTTTGTTTTGCGGCCTTTTGCTTTATTTTAGTAACGATTATAACGGGTCACAAACATGATATATTTTACTTTACGTTCCTTTTCCCGGAGAGACCACGTTGATAAAACGTGCATACTCAGTTCTCTGTTCAAAACTGTAACCGTATTCATTCATAGACGAAAAATAAAACTTTAGAATTGTATAGGCCTATGTGCATGTAGGCCCCTATTTTTGAATAAAATAATGGACCATTTTGTCTTCTAATATTTCTTGTGCTCCAGTCATTATGAACTGAACGTTTAAAAAAAATATATGTTTGGCATGCATTATCTTTGTAAATGTTTGTACATTTGCCAGAATTGTCCTTAATTAATCTAACCAAGCCCAATCTTCCAATTCAGAGAAACTGTGACGTGTAGTACGTAGGGCCTAGCCAATGCATCCTTTGAAAACGAATAACTTTAACATTTAATTTTTTTTTGACAGTCAGTTGAAGTTTTCACAACTCTCTGCCTTTATCCTCAAATGATACCAAATTTGCAATTTTTTTCCAACAGGGCTTTTTTTACATCATAATTCTCAAAAACGAAGTGAAATTCATGACAGGGTCCCAGCAATGCGTGCCCCCCCCCCCCCCCCCACCCCCCGCGGCTCCCCGATCATCAATATCTTTCTATTGGTTGAAGCACAAGTTTCCCCTCCAAAACACGAGGCCACAAAGTGTCCCCTACAAATTGGATACAAGTTACGCCCATTGCCGGTTCCCTTTATTTTTTACAACTTTGTGACGAACCCACGCCTCAACCCCCCCCCCGCATGATATTCCAAGGCCCCACCCACTCTTGGCTTCCACCAGCATATGCAATAGTCTGGCTCCATATTGTTGGACAACGGCGTGAAGAAGCATGCCTGTTTACCGTCTTATTCCCAGACTCTGTAACACTGTCCATATCATGTGATGGCAAAATGGTGGAGGAATACAACTTTTACGTGGAGCTTTCCACAAATCCTGTGCGATTTGAGCCCATTAGCAAAGCAACAAACGTTTTCTACGATGAAGTCAAACGACAGGTAAGATTTAGAAAAGACATTTTCAAACAAATTTTGTATTCAAGTTGTGAAAAATCGAGGAGCACTTGTTTTCTGTTTAGTGGAATTTAGAAATAGAATGCTTCAATTCAAGTTCAACATGTTCAAGACAGTCATGACAGTTGCAACCTGCTGGCGCAACATCAACATCAGGTTGTGTACTAAGTGACTAGGCCTATAGAAAGTCAAGAAAATTTTAGGGCGATCGTGTATAGAGTAGGGCCCCTGTTTTGTTTTGATCAAATGAAAGTCAAAAATGTTTTTTATTGCTCGAAAATTACATTTAGGCTTTACAATCAAAAGCAGACTTTTCTCAATTCTAAGGACACACGTTTTACAATTTTGAAAAAATTTGGGGGGTAGAAATCACCATTTTCCTGCACGGTTTGTGCCTTGCGATTCAGCGCGCCGTGCATGCTCACGGTACATTGCTCGGTGATCGCCATCTTTACTTTCGGGTTGCGTGTTGTCGCCGCGCTGTCATCGTCATTTTACCTCAAAATTTCCCCAAAAAAATCAAAACCCTGCATGCCTTGCCCTCCATCAATGACAAACCTGTTTATTGAGAATGTCCCCAACTAGTTTGGTCGGTCTAATAATTTTAAAAGCACTTGGATATTGTTCCATTTTAGGAACCAGGCCCTACATTACACGATCACCAAATTTAAAGTATTTCCTAACAAAATTGGAAATGTTTTGCTGTCCCGGATACATATCTTATCATCATTTATGCATTGACTGAAATGACCTTGATATAATATATGATATATGAAGAAAAAAAGCAGCGTCAGGTTGCAACGCTCATAAAGCGATAACATGTCCTATAAAAAGTCAAATTTAGCAGGGAAATTATTGAAGCATTATGATTTAGCTGGGTTTGTGCACAGGGTGTCATTTACTGTCAGGTGATGTCCAGGTCTGGAATTCTTTCTGAATGGTGCTACCTGATGCCACTTTTTCATCACATATCATCTCAATGAAGGTCAGTCATTGCAAAAATGATGATAAGACATGAATCTGGGACTGAAAAACATTAATTTCGACTTTCGGAAGGAAATACTTAGAAAATGTTTTTGACTCTCTACAGCTGCTGGCATCTGGCTACTTCTGTCTTTCCCGTAGGCCTAAATGTTACTGTGCCAGGGGTTGTCTTTGATTTCTCCTGCGCAGCCAATATGACATAATTTGTATGTCAGCCAATCAGAGAAAACCTTTGTGAAAATAATATTTGCTACAAGGAAATCGGCACTGACCAAATACCCACTGCCTTTTAAACAGGCTCAAGAGCTTAAGAATAATGTAGATCATGATAGATGTTCATGTTGATAACGTGAACCCAGCATCATCCAAAACTAAGAATTTCACTCACCAAGATCACAAAAAGTTTACTCTGCTGTCTGTCATCTTTAGCTGTCAACTGAGGGCGCTGTGCTCTTGACCAAATTGCACATGCGCACAGCGCCCTCAGTCGACAGCTAGCGACGATACAGGGGCCTACAGCAACGACGACCCACACAGTAAACTCTATGTGATCTTGGTTCTGGAAAATTTCACATTTTTGTTGACTTTTCTAACCCACCCTAATTGGAGGTACCTTACCATGTCAAAATAATGCCTATGCAATGCTGGGGCCAAACAGTTTGTGACAGGAGAGTTTGGTTTGAAAATATTGACAATATTCTGCCACAGCAATTTCAACTTGCTTTCTGTAAGGTTTGTAAAAAAACTTACAGTTCTGGAAGTAACGTGAACCAGCTGAGGTAAAGCCAACAAATTGAAATGTTCATATTGTGTGATGCTATTGCAGAAAAGGAAATGGTCATTCGGAAGGGGAGGCTAGTAGCTAGCCCTAGGGGTAGTGGTCAATCAACTTAGCCAAACCATCTCTTCCCTGTTATAGGTATCTTCTAATATGTTCATCCATATCAGAGTTTGTGAAAACTGTCAATGTCATTTCTGTTGCACTGACATTATCAATCATCTTGTAGGTGTTTGCTGTACGCTCAGGTGGAGCTCTTGGTGTTGTGGTCCGAGGCCCAGATGAACGAACAAGCACAACTTTCAGGTCAGTGTGTTGGAGTTGATAATCTTGTTTCAGTCGGGCCCTTTTCAAGGCTCAAGTGTACTACAATGTCACTCTGGTATGGTAGGAATACTAAGCCTTGGAAACCAGACTTTCCTGCGTTGTACAAGTAATGATGTGTTTGAGCTCAGAAAACTGCATGTTGATGCCACTTCACTGGTGTAGTTCTCACAAATGAATTTGTTTAGGCACAAATTTTATTAATTGTATCAGAAAATGATTCAAATTCTCTTTGTCAACAGAATGGAAGACAAAGGTCCTGTCATCTCAATCAAGTTTTCGTACGACCTGAAAATATTAGCCATTCAGAGGTCACAGAAGACTGTGGTATGTATAATTCCAGGCAAACCTTGCATTATTTCCCAGCCACCAATTTAATGTTTTCTTTTCCCTTGTTGTTATAGGTACAGTCAATCATTTGTAATTTGTGCGTTATGTTAGTTTGAAGCAACGAAAGTGTTCAAAATCAAAAAAAGGGTGCTTAACAACTAACCTGATGAAGATTTAGCTCAGTGAATGCTGTATATTCTGAGAAAAACAATATTCTAGGATCTCGATTCCGAATCAATAGTTGCCAAGTCATGTTTTGAATTGCGCTCGAATTCAGCATTCTCATTCAGCTGATTGCAGCTATGCAAAGTCGCACATTGAACCGACGAATTATAGCAACAAGGCATCTTAAGACGCATTGTTTGAAATGGCTTTGTTTCATTGTTTCTTCGAAATGTTAGCTTGCCAGAAAGAACATTTCACAGTCAATCCCATTACTTTCTTTAAACCGAGTGTGCTTTTCAACAATAATTTCGTCTGTAACTTTTTGGATAGCTGCAAATGAAGGACTGAAGCTTTTACTGAAGAAAAAGAGTTCAGATTTCACAAGCAAAATTTTGCATTCTCTTGGTGACTAATATGCGAGTAATGTCCTGTTTTTCTAAAAATTCTGGCCATCATGAATGTTTTACTTAAAGCTTGAATGTGTGAAAAATAACATGCCTCATTCTCACTTTGTTTTCAGGAATTCATCAATTTTCACACTTCGGTGGATTCAGCTGAATATTCTCAGAGTTGTAAGGTAAAAGTCTTGAAGTAATTTACATTTTCAAAAATACATAGACTGAACAGTTTTGAATCTTTTTCATGTTAAGTTGAAAATCCTTTTTTCAGATGGTGTTAGTTTTGACAGAAAATTGCAGTTAACTGGAAATTCATACGCAGCGGGAATGGGTTAGCCTTTAACACATTGACTACCGACTATGAAGATATTCGTAGTGACAGACGTACCAGATTTTGCCACTACGATTATACTCGTAGTAAAGTAAAGGCTTATGTATTGTACTCTGAATATACTGGTGCTGCTGAAAACGCAACAAATTAGCTGCTACAGTATGAGAACAATAGTATGTTCACATTATCAAATTGTTTGTTTTTTTAGTAAGTGCCACATAAATAATATGCGCACATGCATACATCAATCATTTCGCAAAGGGGCCCCCTGTAATGCTTCATAAGTTTGTGAAATGTTCTCCTTAGCAATGGACAGAAAAGGGTACACAATGCTCATAAATTTCATTTATTGTCAAAAGGCGCAGCAGCGTTTAAACTTTTAACTTATTCTTAGCTATAAATTATGAGTTGTTTGATGAGAGTCTGTGTAAATGCTTCATTTGATTAGGGTAAGAACACCAAGATCATTGGCTTCAATTGGACTAACATCAACGAAGTAGTTTTCGTCACAGACCATGGACTGGAACTCTACCAAGTCATCCCAGAGAAGAAGACACTGAAATCTCTCAAGAACATCAACATCTCGGTCAACTGGTTCGTCTTCTTTGTGAGTAAACCAAAGAACTGTAATTAAGACAATCACAAGTCAGTCGTTAGCCAATCACAGGTAAATCGTTAGTCAACCTCAGGTAAACCGTTAGTCAACCTCAGGTAAATCGTTAGTCAACCTCAGGTAAATCGTTAGTCAACCTCAGGTCAGTCATTGGTCAACCTCAGGTCAATCGTTAGTCAACCTCAGGTCAATCGTTAGTCAACCTCAGGTCAATCGTTAGTCAACCTCAGGTCAGTCATTGGTCAGCCTCAGGTCAATCGTTAGTCAACCACAGGTCAGTCATTGGTCAACCTCAGGTCAATCGTTAGTCAACCTCAGGTCAATCGTTAGTCAACCTCAGGTCAATCGTTAGTCAACCTCAGGTCAATTGTTAGTCAACCTCAGGTCAGTCATTGGTCAACTAGAAGTCTGTCGTTTGTCAATCACAAGTTAATCACAAGTCAATCATTAGTCAATCACAAGTCAATCGTTAATCAATCACAAGTCAACTACCAGCCAATCACAAGGTAATCACAAGTGATGTCATCAGTTACAGAGGATAATCACTGACAAAGTTACGCCTCAGGCCATAACTTATTGCAATCACTTTGTGGCTTGACTAGACACTCTGAACTTTGATCTCATGTATTTCATTTGGAATTTTGTTTTTGTGAAATATATGCATTCCTGATCATAATAATGCAAGGAACCTATCGATTGCAGCAGCCTATGATTTTTGTCCCACAGAAATGGTCCGTTTGTGCAAATCCTAAATTCCATTACAGCAGTTAGAATGCTATTTGTGTATCAAAAACTTTGTGAAACAAAAAGTGAACACTCAAATTTTATATTCTGCACACTTTGCATGAAGAGATCCACAACATGTAATAAATTATGGCCTGAAGAAAAGGACTGTCGTGAAGTCACTTTATCTGTTGCATCAAGAGATTTCAACCAACAGGAGAAATATGAATATACTTTTTCTTGGCACAAATTATTGCAATCTTTATAATATGGGAGTGTGGCCTAGTGGTTAAGGTTCGTGACTCATGATCAGAAGTTCAGGGGTTCGAATCCAGCTGCTAGTCGTTTGTTGTGTCCTTGGGCAAGCCACTTCACCCCCCCCCCCCCCACTTGCCTCTCTCCACCCTAGAGTATAAATGGGTACTGGCATTAGCTGGGGAGTAACCTGCAAGGCCTGGCATCTCATTCAGGGGGAATATAATTTTTTTTCAGTCGTGTTATGCTATTGAAACTGGAGATAAATGCTGGCCTGATGGGGCATATGGCCAGTGACAGACTTTGCTTTATAATATGGAGTATTTCTCTGTCCATATTTTTCTGTGTTGTCTAACAGGCTGATAACTCGCTGCTCCTATTGTCCTCATCGACGCTAGGCAATGTACTCAATCCATTCCATTTTAAGGTAAGATTTCTGAACTGGTTGCACACTATGATCACTTGAACACTGTAGACTGTATTTGGTAAATGATATGTTGACCAAGTGCTGTCGTAGTGTTATGAGAGATGTTCGAGATCAGTAAACTTAATCTTTGTGCGATTATGATTTGAAAAAAAAAGTATGTTTAATTTGTGGCTGGTGGAAAGTTTAGGATTATAAAAGTACAATGCAGAACCAGAAAGCTATATTGTACGATTTGCTGTCATAGGCTGGTACCATCCTCAAGATGGCAAAGTTTGATGTTGATTTACCACAAGTTCCCAAACCGGCCAAACTCTGTCTGCTGGAACGAGACGTAACTATTGCCAATCTGTAAGTATTAAATCAGTTTAAAGCAAAATTATTAATCACAATGTTCACAAGGAGTTACTGTCAGTTCTCAGTTGTAGGAATGGTTGCCACTGAGCCATGCTGAAATGTCTGCTTCGTTTGTTCTGTTGTAAGAATTTTTTTTGTCAAAATGTGAATGTGAACGCTGTATAGATTCACTGTCCCTGAGCAAGCTACTTTGCTACAAGAAACTAACATTCCCAAAGCTTCAAAGGAGAAATGATTTTAATGACAATTAGGTGGTGAAAATGAAAATTCCCAGAACCAGTGTTGACTATTATAAGATGAAATGTTCTCACCTTTGCAGCCATTTCTTTTTCAAAACATATTTTAATCTGTGAATTTTTCTGTTTGTAGTTATAAGCATCTGTACATTGTTGTTCTTCGACATCAGCCAAGGGGACCAAGCAGTAAAGGAGCAGAAATTGTTCTCTATCAACTGCAGAAGTGAGTTCCATTCAAAAAAGTTCCATTCAAAAATGGCTACTTGGTTGAGGCTGTAGAACATGACACTAAATTTATGCAAAAATGTGGCTCTAGTGATCCCTGAATCAGGATAGTACAGGGTGAGTAAAAAAAGGCGGGACCCACCCACTGTGAGCGGGTCGCTGACAGATATTTCCAGCCTCGCTCCCTGCGCGTTTATCCGTCATCCGTGGACAAACTTATTTATCCCAGATACTCCTTGCTACAACATTACTGAGATGCTTAAAAAATGTAAGAACAAAGCAACGCTTGTCACCATAGATTGGGGAAAGATTGCACTTTGGGTTGAATGCCTTTTTTGTTTGGTGGTGGTTAAGTGTGGACTGTCTGAAATTTGTAGCTGCACAAAGTGCATGCGGTGTACAGAATGTATGTTTATCAGTTGATGTGCTTTTGATTTGTAGGGAATCTCCAGCCAAGAAGACTGACGTCCTCAAGCTGAACATGTCCGGCCGCTTTGCTGTAAATGTTGTCGTAAGTGTGTTTGTTTACTTCATTCTCAATCGATGTTTAACCAAGGCAATACCCACCCACCCTCTTTCTCTCTGGATTCTAGATCCACTTGTGTTGGAATGCATTGTTCAAGATTTGTGAATAATAGATGCGGTAGTTTAAGTTGTTCTCAGACTTAACATGGAGCACTAACATTCGATTGGTAATTTGATGTTTAATTGAATTAACCATTGACTGAACACATGTGACAAAGTACCATTCTTAGTGTTTTTTTTTTTTGGTTTTGTAGGATAACTTGGTTGTGGTACACCACCAGGCTTCAAAGGTGTGTAAGTCATTTTTTTGTTCTATGAAACAGCTTTAAAACATATTTTCATCCTGTTTTAATTGTTGACTGTTCATTCAACGTTATACAACAACAGCATTTTTAAATGTTGTTTTCAAAACAAATTGCTTCACAACTTCAATTTGGTCGTAGGTCTTTATTTCCGTTACTGAACTCAAAACCCCCAAGTGTTATACATATTTCCCCTTAAAACTCTTGTTCTGCAGAATCAAGAATGAATTAAAAATACCTCAATTCTTCTGAGTCCGACTTTATGCTCACTGTGGTGAGTGTTCGCATATTGCAACATTTGAAGTTCTTATTTTTGTTTGTGCAGACGTCCATGATATTTGATATCCGGCTGCCAGTGACAGAAAGTGACGGATACGTCAACTACCACTACCCAGTCCTGGCACCATTACCCATCAGGCCTATCAAGCTGAGGGTTGCTGGGATACCGACGCAGACGGGACTAGAAATGCGCGAGGTCAACATTGATTTGTGTATCCTTACATAATTGTTTGGGGTTCTGGTCGGGAAGTGTTTTTGGGTGGTTAAGAGTGCTCCATAAGCAGTGCTATTGTTATCGGTTTGGTTGTGCTGCAGTTTGTTCCTTAACGTTGCAACCGATACCCAGACTCACCCAACTGGGTGGTGTTCCAACCCAACACGGTGATTGATGCCCGGCTGGGATGTCTGTGGCATGTCCATCTCAGACTGGAGCCACTGGTCACAATGATCCCAGAAAAGGTAAGATGATCACAAACAATATATCAGATGATCCATATATAGGAAGATAATCATAGACGATGTAAGATGATCACAGATGATGTAAGATGATCACAAACAATATCAAATGGATCCAGATATAGGAAGATAATCATAGACAAATGTTAGATGATCACAGATGATGTAAGATGATCTCAAACAATATAAGAGGATCTGACAACATTTCACCCTTATCTTACTAGCTTTCCAAAGTTGCTAAAGTCAAATATTCTGAAGTTGAAATGAAATACAAGAAAAGTTCAGCATTTGAAACAGTTTGGAGGGACTGCATCCAAAGACCTAGAGTTACAGTCAGTCAAACACCCCCTGAGTGTCATTGGTGAAAAATCAGTACATAAAGTTTCCCCGCCAAATTATTGTGGGTTATATGAGGCAAATTTTCTATTCTCACCACTTGATATTGTTGAAATTTTTGGACAAGTTTGTCTTTTTTGAAATTATGTTTACAAACCAGAGATTCACATTTTAACCAGTTCACGCCAGGATTATTTTTACCAGAACAGAATGAGGTGTGGGATTACTTTTCACTCGACCTTAAGTCAGACGTGTTGAAGCCTTTGCCCTCGAGCTGCACACTCATATTTCCGGCTTCACTTGCTACGAGCAGTTCGCTTACAAATGTTTCAGGCCTTGCTCCCTGCATGTTATCTGTCGTCCATTCCGAATACCGCAAAATTTGCGTTGTGTTCACGGTGCCCGGCGCGAACCGGTTAAAGGAACAATATAGTAAGTAGTTGCTCTTAAAATTGTCTTGTTTGCTTTGCAGTGCCGTCTGATCGACTTTCTACTTTTAAGGAAGGAAAGCAAAAAGGTGATCTTGGTAGTTTGCAAGCAAGGTAGGTGACCAGAGAAAACTATTATTATTCTTTGCCAAATTATTGTGCTGTAGTTCAAAATTTCGCTTAAATGTTTTGTAGATTTTTTAAATTTTTGATTAAATGGCCTGTTAAATTAAGTCAAATATTCCTGCCTTGGAAATGTATGGAATAAATAAAGCATATTTCCTCAATTTATTAAGGGAATAAATGTTTGGCAGGTTTTAAACACTATGTTTATCACTAGTTGGAGTCTGGATGCTGATAACTATCTGAACCAAAGGCGAAGGTAATTATGAGCATCCAGACTCCAACCGGTCTTAAACATAGTCATTAATACCGACCTACGTCGTGACGGGCTCTCGACCAGTAGGTATAGGTAAACTTTATTTGGTAATAATGAATTAATGTTTACATTGTCTTTCTCCTTTCCTGACACCTAACGGCAGTGTTGCTTTTAAGTTTAATGCTTTAAAAATCCATATTTTGCATTTGGTATTTTCCAGTCTTATTGCCGGGGCAACAGTGTAGCCTAGCGATTATTGCACGGATGTTTGACAAGCTCAACCAGGTCTATCGCAACTTCCTTGAAGACGAACAGTTGGCAGCCCAGGTAATACAGTTGAACTTGTACAAAAGTAGCTTGTAAGCGTGACTGAAGGAATGAACATTCTTCTGTGTACCGTGTTGTGTTATCAAAGTGACCATAGTGAGATGGTAAGTATCGAGCCTTCCTTGATGAGGATTCTCAGAACTTCTCTTTTGTTGACAGAACCCTGAAGGTGGTGGAACTCCTAAAGCAGCCGCAGCTAGACCTGCTATCATCAGAAAGATTGTCATTGATCAATCGGACATGTACACGCATGTATTGACACCCATTGCTGAACGCAAAGACATCAAGTATAAGTTTGTTGTAGCAGTGCTGGTGGAATACATCAGGTCACTCAACCATTATCAAATCCCTGTTCAGGTAAGGACACTAAGGCATGCACCAAAAAATATGTCAAAACAACTTTGGTATTTGAAAAATCCATGTCAGAACCGTAGTGCATAATACACAGATGGATGACAACTATAGGAAAGAAGCAGTTCTCTTCAGGATATTTACCTTTTTTGAGTAGTCTGTCATTTTTTTTTTAACTATCATGTGAATCATGGGCAACTTGTGTTTGTTGTTTGGAAATGACGTTGTTGTTTTTATGGTTTTTGTGGGGGGGGGGGGGAGAGAAGTCCATTTCTGCTGCGTGTATCAAATATGGTGACATCATGATGTCAAATAATTTGTGAATACTAATGTTTGCGGTAAATTCAGCCTTTGAATAATCAAAACAAGAACAAAGAATGATTGAATACTAAACAGCTAAATAAGCTTCAACTTTATTGAAGATACAAGATTTTTTTGCTTTGCATGGTGGAGTATCAGTGTTGTTTTGGTCTGCGGTCACGGTAACACCAATAACTACTGTCGCTCAGTAGATCTTTAGTTTATTGAAGATATATTCTAAACATACTTGATGTAACCAATTCTGTCCCAAACAGCATTTCCTGTACGAGTTGGTCATCAATACCTTGGTCCATCACAACTGTTTCTATCAACTGCATCAATTCCTGCAATATCACGTCTTAAGCGACTCTAAGCCCATTGCTTGCCTACTGCTGTCATTAGAGAGTTGTTACCCACCGGCACATCAACTAGCACTGGATATGCTCAAGGTATGACTGGGGGTTTACTCGCAAGGTTGTCCCTGAAGTTATAACCACTTCTCAGCAACCTTGATTCCATGGGTATTGATTCCATTTTGATTGTGCAGAAACTCCTTATCCTTGGCCTAAAACCCCTATGAGTTTCATTTAATTTTAGTCATGTATCACTACACAATTGACAATTGATCACAACATTTTCGGACACTGTGACCAAGTTCCTTGCCGTATACAATTTCAGAGCTGTTTTATGTAAGTTGTGTACAATCCTGCATGCTGAGACAAAAGGCCGATGTGGTTTGGGATTGGAATCATTTGCCCTTGAGCATTCAACTGATGTCTTGCCATGATGACTGATAGCCAGGCAAATGATTGCAATCCCAACCGCAGCCCTTTTCACAACATGCAGGATTTTACACAGCTTACATAACATATTGGACTTAAAAGTCCACTCAAAACATTGCTGATGACAAACATCCACATTGTGAATTAATGAAAAGCATTAAGGAAATAGTGGCAGAGCTCTACATATTTCCGTTGGAAAAAAAATTGCTTAAAACCTCTTTGTGAGTATTTAATAAGAATTTTGTATGGTAAGTGTTTTAACGTGAAATGTTTTTTCTCTTTTTTGGGTGGAAAATAACAGAGGGTGTCAACAGCAAACGAAGAGATAGTTGAAGTGCTTCTGTCTAAAAACCAGCTGCTTGCCGCTCTGAGGTTTCTCCGTAGTGTCGGGGGTGCCGATAGTGCCTCAGCTAGGAAGTTCCTTGATGCTGCGCTGAACACAGCAGACAGCATGCTCTTCTACACAGTCTTCAAGTTCTTTGAGCAGAGGAACATCAAACTCAGGGGACATCCTCAGTTTATGCCAGGTAAGAATTAAGCAAAAGGAACAAAAGTGCAAGACAGCAAGGACGTAAGGGTTAAAGGTACAAAATGTCTAAATTTAGATGCGACATTTAAATGTTTAAAGGCAGTGTAATGTATTTCTTTAAATGCAATCCCTGAAAATGTCACATTTAACCTCAATTTCATTTTCGTTTTGCTATGTTTAAAAACAGTTTAGTATGTTTTGAGTTTTTTTTTGCATAATGCAAAGCTTGATGTCATTTAAGGTGGAGACCTTAAAGTAACGACACCAACATTTGCCAGAATTTTGGATAATTTGCTGTCGTGAAGTTTCTTTTCTTTGGCTTACTGTCGTGTGCTGAAACAACAATAAATCACCAAAGAGCAAAGTTTTCTTGCACATATTTTTTCCCATTGAGTAAATATTGGGTTCACAATTTGAATTAAAAACTCTTAACAGTGTATTCCTGAATGAAACCACAGAAACACGCCCTCAATTGTCATGAAACGTGTGGAAAATGGTGAAGCTTAAAACAGTGCACTTCCTGATAAAATTAAGGAAGTCAAATAGTTTTCATACATTTAAAAGCAATTGAGAGTTGCACAAAATATGTTCTCAAGTAAAATTCATGTCATGGGTCTTTTAAACAAAATCCTTTCTAAATCAATTAACAGATGTACCCATTTTTTAAAGCAGATTCTCGTCAGAATTGAAATGGCATCATGATTAGAGCTTTAATTTAATGTCGTGTTTTGTTTTCTTTTTCACCATTTCCTATTTTCTGTAGGTGAACATTGTGAGAAGTATGTGAAACATTTTGAGGCGACGTTCGGTATCGAGTCACTTGCCCCTTTACCTTAACATCTACCGCGCTCCTGTGGACTATTTCCCATCAAGCAACCATCTTGGACTTGTACCCTGATCATGTGTTGTTTGCCATATGTTAAGTTTTAACATGGCACCAGGCGCCAGACTGTTTAGGAGCCTAGCTTTTACATGTACGGCCACGTCTATTGTCAGCGTACTTCCAGGTAATTTGTAAATTATGTCAAAGTCTCAAAGACCTTCTGGTAGACACTGACCCTGGAAAATATATTTCCCAAGAATTAACGTCTTGGGAATTCAAAGGAATTGGAGCAAGGCCGTTTCATTTCCATTTTGTAAATGAGACTGTTGGTGTAAATATTAATATTGTTGAACAAAATGGCGACTTTCAATTTGATACTGGTAGTCGTACGCGAGTATCACTGCGTTGCCTATCTAATTAGTGATTCTTGATCACCAAAATTCACAATAGAATTTCTACGCGTAGTGCATATATTTATTTTAAAGGTAGAGTCCATCATTTGTAATTTGTGCATTTTGTTCGTTTGAAGCAACAAAAGAGTTCAAAATCTAATGAAGGATACTGAGCAACTAACCTGATGAAGTTTCAGCTAAGCTTCAGCTGTACATTCCGAGAAAAACAGCATTCTAGGATCTCAATTTCAAATCAAAAGTTGCTGAATCATGTTTTGAATTGTTTTGAATTGCAACTATACGTGACGTCGCGCACTGATCCGACGAATTATAACAACCGCGCGCGCGTGTGCGTCGTTCGAATACTTGTGCGCGCTGCGCTGAATAACAAAACGAACTACTAATTTAAATTTTCCTACGGTGCTTCTTAAGAATCACCGTTGGAAATGCCTTCTTTCGTTGATTACTTCAAAACGACAGCTTCCCAGAAAGAATAATTTCACAGGGAGTTTAGTCTCCTTACTATCTTTCAACCAAGTTAGTTTTTCAACAATAATTACGCCAGTTACTTTTCGGATGGCTGCAAATGATGGACTCTACCTTTAATGTGACTGACGCACGTGACTGACTATAAACCATATCCTGATTGCTGATTGCTTTCCTAGAAAAGCCTAGGAAGAAAATAAAGAAAACTTAAGACCACTACTACAAAATTTGCAAGACGTTAGTGATTGTCTAATAATTGTGTCGTTAGAGGGCGCACTATGTACGATCACTAGCGTCTTGGGCCAAGACTACTGAAGACATCCAAAATAATCCCAAAAAGTTGGGGGTTTGGTAAAACTTACAATGTACAAACATACAAGCTAGACTTTTATACGCCTAGGAGCGATCATTATGAGAGTACATGGGGAAATTGTACACCTGTATATTTGATGTAAATACAAGTAGATTAAAATTGTTCTGTAAAATTCTGGAGAGTTGAAAATTGAATTTGAGAGAAAACCCAGGTGCTTGACATGTAGGAGGATGAAATTTGTCAGACGAGACGTACAAGTTATAGAAGTTCATTTGTTCATGTCTCCGAGCCAGTAATAATTTTCACTGTGAACAGATTGTAAAAATTGAAACTCCAGCCTTGTGTATAAAATACTCTTCTAATCATGACTCAATAAACGGTACCCCCATGTAATATTACTTTCTTTTATTATTTGCAGACCAATGTTCAAATGAACTGGACGGAATAAAAGGCATTTTGTATGTTGATCCACTGTAGAGACTATTTCACAGATATTTACAGTATATGAAAGAGATGCATCCTGTCGTCCTCAAATTGCTTTAAACGTTCAGGGAGGATGCCTACAGAACCATAAAACACATTCATATATTTTTCAATTTAGCTGAAAATACAAATCACTTGAAACGTGCAGGGGATGCCTAGTTCTTTTATGTAAAATTGTTCAAGCAAGTGATTTTTGAAAACTATTATTGGAAAATTAACACATTTGTAATGATAAAACCAAACCAGAAATGGAACCGAGCTTACATGTACATGTGTGTAGGGCCATCATGTTTATTTTAGCCACTGATTTCTAATGTTATAGCGATCAATGTTTCTGCTCTGTTTGCATGCAAGGCAGAGGATACGAGTGCAGAAAGCCAACTGCTTCATGAATTCAGAGCATTATAGGGCGCTATATCTGAAAACAAATAGTAGTCCAATCAAAGGAATGGGAAAGCAGTTTTCTGTAATTTTGTCGCAGAGCTGACACACTGGCAAATTTACCATTTTGGCAATTTTTAGATTTTGTTATTTTTGGGGTATATAAAGGATTCTCTTTCAAGTATTTATGCCAAAATTCTTGATTTTTGTCTGGATTTTGAGATTCTGACCCCCTCCTGTGGCGAATCGGACACAATAACTGATCCATAATTTGACATGCAATACGGAATTTTACTGGTAACCAGCTACATGTAATGTAAGGTGTGCGTGCAAACAACGATTATTCCAAACTAATTCGTCAGTTTGTTAGATTGCGCACGCATGCACGCGTGATCTGATAAACTGACGAATAGCTATACAGTGTGAAGAACAACCGGCTTTTAGAAATTTTATTATTTGACAAACTGACGAATACATTAACGATCAAATAAAATCATATCGCACAATTCTCTGATTAAATAAGTAACCTGATGGATACTACGTTTCCTATTTCATTTCGAATATACACCAAAAGGGTTATTATCAAAATATTAAGGGTGAAATACGACGCCCAGAAAAATGTCCAACTTCAAATGCGAATAACTCGAAACAGGGTTTTTGCTTATTCGTTGTATGTCAGCTCTTTGAAGATTTGAAACTACTCAATAAACTCAAGCCGCTTTAATTATATCAATACATTATGCAGAATTGCATGTAGTCAACTATGTAGGGGCACTATTGAATGGAGTTGAAGCATGCAAACATGCAGACATACAAATGTGAGTTGTGTATAATATGAGAAATAAGCAAATAAACTCCCCCTTCATGAAATGAATTCGTCAGAAAAAGAACTGGTGACAAATGGTCAGAATCTTTTGGATTGGGAACCAGACTACCATTATGCACATACAAACATGAACAAGTACTCGATCTGCGGCTGTGTAGTAATTCACCCACGCAATTTGGCCTATTTTCAGTACCTCCGTCGCGCGCGCTGAGGATTTAGTGCTTGGTGAGTCTTCTGCGCCAGCTTGGTTAGTGTATATTATTTTGCGCTACAGAAAGCCTACAAATCATCTCTGGACTCGAAAGCATTGACTCCAGGAATGGAGAGGCCACTGAATGGGAATAGATTCCTCCCTGGGCCTGGGACAGGCCCCAGCAGAGTCTGCTCAGACAGCTGCGACGACATGCCTGGGCCGGAGCGTGGTCATTGGAACTTTACATCCTTCGCATCGCTACTGGTACCGGCTGCAGCGACAAGATGATTTGCATCACAAGATGTCACAGCTTTGGGGTCATCTGAATTCTGACATCAGTCAACTCTGTACATTGAGGTAAGATTACCTAATAAGCCCGGGGCGCAAAACCTGAGAGGTCATAGAAGACAACCTGAAAAGAATCAGCTGACCTTTTAGGTTGGAGGTGTGGCTACGATACAGCATAGCAATATCCCAGGCACATAGGGCTACCATTACAGCAGTCGTTAACCAACAGCTATCAATACACGACCATCTTATGCATCTAGTTCCCTGACCTTAGTATAGTATTCAACGTCAGAATTTTTGGCTGTTGGAACCAGATTACCATGTACATGTAACCAACCAAATGGTTTCTCGGACTTCATTTCAAAAAGAATGTTGCAACCTGACGCTACTTCAGCCGTTGTGTACAAAGTTATGGAGAGTGAAGGAAATTTTTTAATTTTTCCTAACAAAATTGGAAATATTTTTCAGTCCCAGATTTAAGTCTTATCATCATTTTTGCGCTTTGCACTGCATTGGCACATAGTCGGGATAGTGGGGCAAACTCCTAGTCTGGCAATAGCCAGTTAACCATGTCCCAATGTTAAAAAGGCGTGTTGGGTCCAAGTTCCCTGGACTAGTCACTGCCCAGCTGCTAGTTGGATGGTGACTTTGCAATACAGTAACGATATAGCTGTCGAATGCAATTTGAGTCCCCTACGCAAGTTTAAACTTGCGCGCGCAATTTGTAGCAAGAAAATTAATGCGAGCGCAAGTTTAAACTTGCGCGCGCAGGTTTAAACTTGCGCGGGGGACTCAAATTGCGCTCGACATAGCTATATAGCAATAGCACTTAGCAGTTAACAATCGGGTTACAAATACAGCTGCTGTGTATAAGTTGTAACAACAGCCACCTTGGTCGGACTTGCCTAGCTGTCCAGTGATTTCAGTCATTTGATCTGGCGATCTTCCCACATGCAGAAGTTTTCCATGGCATGTCATTAAAATGAAATCACTAAACATCAGCATTTTGGGCCGAGTTTATAACACCAAAAAATGGCAAAAATTAGTTGACTAGTACGAATTAAGCCCCGGTACTGGTCATGCTGGTAGTACGAACGTTTGTTTACAAATCGACAAAAACGTGTTTGGCGCCCTCAATATTGAGGGCGCCAAACACGTTTCACTGCTTGAGTCTCATGCAATGCGAGGGCGACATACACTCCGGCCGGTGTGCTTGACATGCCAATTTTCTTTCAAAAGAGGGCGCGCTACACAAATAGTGGTCACCACCACAAACAAATAAAATAAATAAATACAATTCTCGCCACGGAGAAAAAACCTGTGTCTACAAAAATAGTACATTCGTTTCAGGACTAGAATATAATAACTCCAGAAACACCTGTTGTATCTAATTATGTCAAATTATTGCTTGAAATTATATTTTATATTTTTCTTGAACATAAAGGGAAATATACTTTTCTTGAATATCAAAGGAATAACCCAAAAATAACAATTAATAATATATATCTAAAACAATGCAGTGCTTTAAATGTGATTTTGCGCTATATATATATTTTTATTAACTTTCTCGGTCCATCGATTTTCTTGATATAGGCAATAATCAATAAATCAAATTCATACAAAAGACAGGCTTTTTATATTGGCCCGGACGCAACTAGTGTTTTTGAAGAAAGTTTGCCGCAAGCGACCAACCTTGTTTTGCTGTAGAGGGAAACGCAGATATGGCATGTTTTTTTCACACTCACCCCCTTGGCTCCTGGAATGCGCAAGTGCTTTAGAGTGATACGCAGTAATGGCATGTTTTCAAGCCCCTTGGCTTGTATGCGCTAATGCTATCCGGTGATACGCCGTAATGGCATGTTTTTCAAGCCCCTTGGCTTGTATGCACTAATGCTATCGAGTGATACGCAGTAATGGCATGTTTTTCAAGCCCCTTGACTCGTATGCGCTAATGCTACCGAGTGATACGCAGTAATGGCATGTTTTTCAAGCCCCTTGGCTTGTATGCGCTAGTGCTATCGAGTGATACGCAGTAATGGCATGTTTTTTAAGCCCCTTGGCTTGTATGCGCTAGTGCTATCGAGTGATACGCAGTAATGGCATGTTTTTCAAGCCCCTTGGCTCGTATGCGCTAATGCTACCGAGTGATACGCAGTAATGGCATGTTTTTCAAGCCCCTTGGCTCGTATGCGCTAATGCTATCGAGTGATACGCAGTAATGGCATGTTTTTTAAGCCCCTTGGTTTGTATGCGCTAGTGCTATCGAGTGATACGCAGTAATGGCATGTTTTGTAAGCCCCTTTGCTCGTATGCACTAATGCTATCGAGTGATACGCAGTATTTGCATGTTTTTCAAGCCCCTTGGCTTGTATGCGCTAGTGCTATCGAGTGATACGCAGTAATGGCATGTTTTTCAAGCCCCTTGGCTTGTATGCGCTACTGCTATCGAGTGATACGCAGTAATGGCATGTTTTTCAAGCCCCTTGGCTCGTATGCGCTAATGCTACCGAGTGATACGCAGTAATGGCATGTTTTGTAAGCCCCTTGGCTTGTATGCACTTATGCTATCGAGTGATACGCAGTAATGGCATGTTTTATACGCCCCTTGGCTCGTATTCACTGGTGCTACCGAGTGATACGCAGTAATGGCATGTTTTATACGCCCCTAGGCTCGTATGCGCTAATGCTATCGAGTGATACGCAGTAATGGCATGTTTTATACGCCCCTAGGCTCGTATGCGCTAATGCTATCGAGTGATACGCAGTAATGGCATGTTTTTCAAGCCCCTTGGCTCGTATGCGCTTATGCCACCGAGTGACATGCAGTAATGGCATGTTTTCAACGCCCCTTGGCTTGTATGTGCTAATATCATCGAGTGATACGCAGTAATGGTAGTTTTCCAAGCCCTTTGGCTCATATGCGGTGGTGCTACCGAGTGATACGCATAATGGCATGTTTTCTACGCCCCTTGGCTCGTATGTGCTAATGCTATAAGCAGTAAATGGCATTATGTTGTCTACACCCCTAAACTCAGATAGGGCATGTTGTAATTTTTTGACCCACTTTGGGGGTACCAAAATTGTTTTTGCCCCCCCCCCTTGTGTTCTGGATCCGCCCATGCTCAATATAGCTTGGCCTGGTGAGCTCGGGTATTGTTCAAACGAGTGTATTAATTATGATTTTTCCATGGACGTTGACTTTTTATTTTTCATTTGGTTTGTAGTTTTCACGTTTAAAATACTATAATTGTTTCGGGTATTTTCTTTTTTATTGTTTGATGGTTTCTCATGAAATTAAATCTCATAATGTAACACGGTCATCATGACAAATCACTGGAGGAATATGAAAATTTGAAATACAGAACGAACTCGTTTTGGGGGCAACAACTCAAGAAATACTAAATTTAATTGATTTAAATTTCAAATGCCTTGGCGATCAAGAGTTGTTAGCATTAACAAAAACTGGAAGTGCGTGTAAATATCACTCTATGGGAGCCGATTGAAAGGTCTGAAGCCATCGAAATTCAAAAGGGCGGCGCGCCCTGTGCATGCGGGTTTTTTATGTCGCGACAGTTGGGGTTTTTTTTTCAAAATGAAACCATTTTTGTTTTTGTTTTTATGTGACGTCGCAATTAAGGCAGGCACTGAGTACACCACCATCTTTTCCTCCTAAAACGTTGGTTAAAGTGGTCAGAAATTCCCTCAGATCGCACCTAAGAGCATCTAGAATCCAAAAGTTTTTCGGGGCCCTTAAGGGGCCCCGAACCCCACGCCGTAATTTGTGGAATCACTTTTTGAGGGACCAAATTTTTTTCGCCCCCCCCCCCCAAAAAAAACATTGTGTTTTGGATCCGCTCTTGGGGAAACGCAGGTACATGTTTTCTACACATCTTGGTTTGTGCGTTTATGTCTTTGGTGGTTTGTGCCATTGATCTCAGACTGTGTACAGTACAAAGGTTTGAGCAGTCAATGAAACGTGTTTGGCGCCCTCAATATTGAGGGCGCCAAACACAGTTTAATTGCCAAACACGCAGCTGTCTTGGTCACTGTGTATACTAAGTTTGTTTACTTTTCTGCGTTTGTGATTATGGAATATGGGTCTTTGGTTGAGACCCTCCCACTCCAGTTTCATGCTCTTATTTCATTATCATATTTCTAATATTCATAGGACTGCAGACATGGTGTACAACCTCTGTCTCTCCGTTCCTTTGGAATATTGAGGAGTCTTTGGATGAACTCGCGTTTACTTCTGGCAATAGCTAGCAAACCTTCAAGTGGGCTTGATCATCTTCTGTTGTTGGATGAGCCATAGCCAATGTCATCGCCGATCGCATCATTTCGGATGTCATGACGGCGGTGCAGGAGGGAAGTCAACCAACTTTCCAAAGGTAGGAAAAATCCCTTGATGTCAGTGTTTGCCTTACTGGAAAAAATGTTGCATCCTGACAACACTTCTGCGATTGTGTGTGTGTGTGTGTACAGGCATTACATTCACTGTGCGGACTTCCGAACGAACAAAAGAGGTCCACATATTAAAACCAGGTAGAGGAGACGCTGTGTGGACTTGGGCAAGTCCACACAGTGTTTCCCCATTTCTGGAAAACAGGTTTAGAGGCATGTTGGGGTTAGGTTTATCTGTAGCATAGCAGAATGAAGAGAAACACTAAAGGGAATCATAGAAAAAAAAATTGGGTTGAAAGAGTTTTCACAGTTTGAGAAAAATGATTTTTTTCACTGGTTTTTCTTAACTACACGAAAGCAATGGAAAGTCCACACTTGGTATGTAACGTAGACTTGGGTGTGTGGGTGTGTGTGTATAAAGTCTATGGACACAAATGAGAGTCAAGAAAAAAATGCTGAGTTATTTTCCTAACACAATTGGGAATGTTAATTCTCAGTGCATGCAGTCCCAGATTTATGTTGTTAGTATCAGTATCATCATTTTGGCGATCATGTATAGTTTAGTATAGTGTAGGGCCCCTGTTTTGTTTTGATCAAATTCAATTTTTTTTTTATTTCTAAAAAACGATGTCAACCTAAAGCAGACTTCTCTCAATGTAATGACACCTTTTTGAATGTTGGTAATTTTTGAACACTAGTAATGCCTTCAAGAGAGAACTGTACAAAGACAGAATATGTCTCATTTTCGTATGATTACTGTTATTTTTTGCTCAAACAGCTGATAAAATCAACCAGTCTAAGTAAGTTCTCTTGGTTGGAGAGTCATTTGGGTGGTAACGAAGCAGTGGACGAGGCAATCAATCGAGCACACCATTGAGACATGGATCAACCTCCACTGATTGACGGAGCTGTGGTGACTAAGATTGACACCATTGATGATAAAGTAAGTAGCAAGTTTGAGTCCTGTATGGGTTTGACCTTGGTTCGATTCCTCTTTTGTTCCAAGGTGTAGCCTTAGTTATCCTTGAATGAATTGAAAAGTTTTTGGTTCAGATCCTACTGCTTGTTTGGTTTGATTCCTTTTTATTTCAAGTTGTAATCTCAGTTATCCTAGTATGAATTGAGGAGTCCTTGGTTCATGCCTAGTCCGAAAATTGGGGACTCTACATGTATGGGGCATTCATCCAACATGAGACAGAATTAAGCACAGGCCGTGAGGCCAAAAGAAAAATAGTGGGTCTCTGGTCAGACCAAAGTTCTGGAATTGATGTAGTGATGCGTTTAAAAAAATATTCTTTGTCTGTACCATCCAAGCTTGGGGAAAAATAGCAAAGTGGTACTGCTTTGTTTGTTTGAGTTCTCATATGGTGTTACATCATTTGACTTGGTGCCCTATCATTTGCCTTGGTGCCCTTGTGCTCCGTAGTGCTAAATATTTGAGGCGGTGCAGCAGTAAAGGGCACTGTTGTAGCTTCAGAAAATTTTAAAGAAAAAAAGAAATTTACTCAACAGATCAAAATTGACGCACAACAATTTTTTTATGGCTGATGAATGGACAATAATGCAAGTGGGGGATTTTTGTTTTCTTTTTATTTTCAGATTGAGTGATATTAACCCTTACCCTACTTGACCCTCCAATGCATGCCAATTGTGCCTCAAGAAAATCTCCTATGTTTTTTGCATGGCCCTCCAATATCTGCCATGTCATTTCAAGGGTAACTGGACAGGCACTCCAATACATGCCACAGAGAACAATGAGAGTCCTCTGATAACAAAGTGAGTGCCCCCAGCTGGTCAGTATCAGGCACCCTCCAGGGCCTCCAACTCCTGCCAATTGGAGCCTTCACTGTTAAGACTTGTTATCTGCCAAATAACTGCAGCTGGAGGGCATTGGCATAACCAACTGACATGCAGTAAACTACCCTCAGAGAGTAAGGGTAATAGCCTTTGATAGTCACTCTAATCTCTGCCTATGCACCTACCCTGACGTCTACCCCAGAGTCTAAAGATGACTTCTATCTTCAGCTTAGTGAGTTGTTGCACAATATCCCGGCTGGTGATGGCATCATTCTCCTTGGGGACTTCAATGCCCGCATTGGTTCTGACTGCAGTGCGTGGAAGAATGTAATTGGCCCGCATGGTGTTGGGAGAATGAAAGACAATGGTCAACGTCTCCTCGAGCTCTACGCTTCGTACAACCTATGCATTGCCAACACCTTCTTCGCAGGCTCTGTTCGCTCCAAGGTCACCTGGAAACACCCTCGCTCACAGCACTGGCACCAACTGGACCACATCATTGTCAGACAGATACAACTGCGCGATACCACCCACTGCTGCAGCTTGCATTCTGCTGATTGCAATACAGACCATGCCCTTGTTTGCTGTAAGCTTCATTTACTACCCAAGAAGTTCCATCGTGCAATGCATAGACCATTGCCTGCTATTGACACTGTCTCAACTCACGACATCAGTCATGTTACTCAGTTTCAAGAGCTCCTTTCTGGTAATTTCAGCTTAGCACCAATCTCTGCCAACCCTGAAGGTGCTTGGTCTAGGTTCCGTTCAGTAGTCTACAACAGTGCTGTGTCTGCCTTTGGTCGCTGCTCACGAAAGCAACCTGACTGGTTCCGGGACAGCGCGGACATACTGCTCCCTGCACTAGAGAACAAACGGTCAGCCAGAAACAAATGCCGCTTGATCAACACACGCTCCTCAAAAGCTGCCCTTCGGGCTGCCAAGAGCACTGTCCAGCGTCTTACTCGAGCAGCTTTGCAACGCTACTGGTCTCACCTGAGTGATCGCATCCAACGTTGTGCCGACTCTGGTGACCTACGCGGCTTGTACCAAGGCATTAAGGAGGCAATTGGTCCTACCCCAAAGAAATCTGCTCCTTTACTGTCGTCCACTGGTGCCATCCTCACAGACCAAACAGCACAGCTTGACCGGTGGGTAGAGCACTATAGCTCACTTTACAACAGCGATGCTGCAGTCAGTACTTCTGCAATATCTGCCTTACCTCAGCTTCCCATCCTGAAAGAGCTGGACAATTCCATCACCTTGGATGAAGTGAAACATGCCATCAACGGCTTAAAGAACAACAAGGCTCCTGGCACTGATAGCATCCCTCCAGAGGTACTTAAGAAGGGTAGTAATATCTTGGCTGCAGAGCTCCACGCTGTTCTCCTGACCTGCTGGCAATCCCAGTTTATACCACAGGATCTAAAAGATGCAAACATCATAACCCTCTACAAAAACAAAGGTAACCGACAAGACTGCAATAACTACAGAGGCATCTCACTGCTGTGCTTAGCTGGGAAGGTTTTTGCTCGAGTGCTGTTACCTCGGCTACAGGTCATTGCCAACAGAATCCTTCCCAAAAGCCAGTGTGGCTTTCACCCATCCCGCTACACTGTTGACATGGTGTTTTCCTTGAGACAACTCCAGGAGAAGTGTGTTGAACAGCGGCGACCTCTGTACATGGTCTTCATCGACTTGACTAAGGCCTTTGATAACGTGAGTCGTTCAGGCCTGTTTTCCATCCTAAAGCGCTTGGGCTGCCCAGATAGGCTTTGTCTATTCTGATGTGTTTTCATGATGACATGCACGCCACAGTCCAGTTCAATGGCTCAAGATCTGTTAAGTTTGAAGTTCGTTGGGGCGTCAAGCAGGGGTGTGTACTTGCTCCTACCCTGTTTGGGATCTTTTTCTCAGCCCTGCTACACCGTGCATTTCCCGAACCATCTGGTATCCTACTCCACACACGCAGCTCCGGGAATTTCTTCGACCTGTCCCGTCTCCGTGCCAGGACGAAGATTCGGCATGTTCTCATCCGGGAACTCCTGTATGCTGACGATGCTGCCATTGTTGCCCACTCAGCAGATGAGCTTCAACATCTCTGCAACTCATTTGCTAGTGCTTGCTCGGAGTTTGGCATGATCATCAGCCTTGGCAAGACAATGGTGTTATCGCAAGGCCCAGGTCCCCCTCCCATGATCACCATCAATGGCACACCTCTGAGCGTGGTCAACAAATTTCAGTATCTGGGTTCTACAGTTACCAGCACCAACTCCCTGGATACCGAACTTGACTCCCGAATAGGTAGGGCTGCAACCACCTTTGGCCGACTCCCTGCTCGTGTTTGGGACAACCGGGCCCTTTCCATCAAGCTGAAGATTCGCATCTACGTATCCTGTGTGCTTAGTGTGCTACTCTACTGCAGTGAGTCATGGCCGACCTACCGCCGTCAGGAACGTCGACTGAACGCGTTTCATTTCCGCTGCCTACGTTCAATTCTTGGAATCTCCTGGCAAGACCGAGTCTCAAACCCTGCCATTCTTGAGCTCACAGGAGTCAATGACATGCTCACATTGCTGTCAGCTCGCCGCCTTCGTTGGTCTGGTCATGTCTGCAGACAAGAGGACGGTCGACTGCCGGAGGACATCTTCTTTGGGGAGCTGGCTCATGCTCCTCGCCCCCGTGGTCGTTCAAAACTCCGTTACAAGGATGTTCTAAAGCGTGATCTGCGAACCTTCCAAATTCCAGTCACCTCCTGGCAGACCGTGGTGCAGGACCGCACTCGTTGGCGATCCGCTGTCCATCTTGGCCGCTCTGCTTCCTCTGCCGCCTATATTGCTGATTGCGAGAATCGTCGTGCAACTAGACACCGAGCTACATCGTCGTATTCGACGGGATAGGCCACTACCTGATAGTCACTACTTATGTTTTAAGGAAATTGTATAAAAAATATGGAGTAAGGTCTAAGGCATGTTTAAAGTAAAACCAATGGGCTTGTTTCATTGTTTTTGTCATGTAATGCTGCGGCCGGGTGAGGTGGGGTAGAGGGCGCTATTCAGGACTTTCTTCTGTCACCTTGCAAGATGTAATGATGCCAAGTCACTATAAATTTATATTTCCCGGATTCGTTTGTATCAAAGATATATAACCAGGCATCCTATTCTAGGATGGGACTAATAAGGGAGCAAAGACACTTCTTTTTCAGTGAAACAATAATTTATTCTTAAAATCTCCAAGAGTTCTCTGACCCAATTTGACATCTGTATACTGTAGGACTCAGCTATCATTGCTTGTTCATCTGTCATCCGCTATGAATAACTGGTTAACCTGTTTTTTTTTTAACCTTGTTCCACTCGAATTTGCAGGATAGCTAATAATGAATACAAGTAAATGTCTCAATCAGTATCAAACATTTTTTAACCAAATTGACAATATTCAAATTTCTTGACCAGGTGATGGCAGATCTACCAGCTCACTTCACATCAGAGAGCTCTCTTGAGAAGCACTATAGAAGCACTATAAGGCCCAGGAGAAGGACTGCTTCTCACGGCTAGAACAGACTCGGACCAGAGCTCTCTTGAGAAGCACTATACGGCCCAGGAGAAGGACCGCACCAAGTACATCACTACCTTGCTGGTGCTTCACAGGGATGGAACAGACTCGAAGTAGGCTACTGCAAAGTAAGACTTTTTCATATTTGAAGAGAAAATGCTCTAACTGTACTTTAAAACTGTTGAGTTAGGAACAGCAAAAGATCTATCTTGCCGATTTTTATGCTCAGCACAATAAAACTAAGAAAGAACAAAAGTGGAAAATCTGTCAAAAGCAGGATTCATCACACTGCATGTTTTTTTGGACTTTGTGATTGGGTACAACCTGATCACCTTTTTGAAATGGTAATAATTATTCTTTGGGGTTTTTTTCTGGACAATAATTCTTTACGGGTTTTCTCCTAAACCTACGTGAACTCGCTCGACCTTTACTTCTGGGTCTACTGGAAGGTCAAAGTTGGGTGAATTTTATATTACAGACAGAAAAGCCTCAAAATCAAAACGAACCACATCTTTTCCAAACAGTTCACATGATGACGATAAAACCTACATGGAATTTGAACCCTGGTCTGAAGATGTACAAGAAATTGTGATGTCATCATGACATCACCTCAGGTATCAAATTACAAGCGGGTTAACATGAAAATTTGAGAGCTTACTTTAAATTAGGCTATAACGGAACAGAGTTGTATTCTCATTTTTTAGTTGTTTCAGACATTGCTACTGGCAATATTTTGTTCCAGCATGTCCAGGGCACATACCATTTGACCTTTACTTCCAGTGTAACCGGAAGTACAATGATAATAAATTTAACTTGAAGATGGAAGCATTTTGCTACAGTTATATAAATTATGCAAATATTTAGTGAGGAATGTCCAACACAAACATTGGCATGATGACATAATTACACGAAAGGGCACGTACCAGTACATTCACGCAATGCGTCTCTCCAACTAGGGCTCTCAAAAGTTGTCAAAAAGGGACAATCTTCTGTTTGGGCACGTAATCTTTATAATCTTTACCTAGGGCATGTAGGGCCTAGTACTTTTCAATCATATTCTCAAAGGTGGCTTAAGTTCAAAACTGTACAATGCACTCAAATTTGATCAAATTGTCTACTCAGATTATTTATTTATTTATTTATTTCAACCGGATCCAACAGCGGCCAAATCGCCAATTACAGTAGCACCAAAAATAATTGCAAACCAATACTATCACCAGAGTTACCCTTTACATCTTGCGCTTAACTTTCCAGGTTGTTTCCTTGTTGAATGCCTTGTACACGCTGTTCAACGCCATCATTTCCAACTATGACGTCTAAAAGGAAAATATTTCATATGACCCAGCAGATTGTTTTAACCAGTTTGCGCTGGACTATTTTGACATTGACCAGACCAAGACTTGGGATTGTTTTCATGAATCTGGATGCCAGACGGCTTCAGGCTGTCATCTACGGGTAGCTCGCTGCAAGCCGGCCACTGACAGACATTTTAGGCCTCGCTTGTTGCGTGTTTATCCATCATCCATTCCGATTACCGCAAAACCTTGCGTGTATAACACGTTGTCTGATGTGAACTGGTTAAGCCAAACGTGCCATATCACAGGAAGTTATTTTAAAGGGTACTTGCAATAGATTATACTTAATACACTTATCCAGGTTCATTTATTATGGTTAATATGCAAACATGAAATGATCAACAATACATTGACAGAAAGCACTTTACCCGTTACTGCTTGGCTTGATTCTACCATCTTAGATCTGTTTTACTTTCAGAGTACTTTACAAGCTATGCTTATAATTTGTAGTCTTGCATATTGACTGCTTCAAATGGCATTATAAAACAGGTCTAGGAGGCTAGTTTGATTATGCCACTCAAAGTAGTCAGTATTAAAATGTAAGGTGCCATAGTCCTTTTAGCCATGTACATGTAGATGGAAAATAGCAAATACTATGTGATGCACACTCTCGGCCACTGAAAAACACAGAATCTGTGGGTGCGGTGATATAATTACAAAAAGTCACTTGCATTATCATTGTCAACATTACTCGGCTGTTCGCAGGCGTAGTCATGACAATCACTCAGAGGTTAAGTTGATGCTACCATGGTTACTAGTTCAGGCAAAAACCACGCAAATATGTATGTTTTATTATAATGTCTGAATGCAAAATTAACCAGTGTTAAATAATAACATCTTGCCAAGGTTGAAAGCATCGACGATGCCTACATGTTGGTCTCCTGCCTACTGATCCGTAATGGCAGCCGTCATGCTGGTATGATCACCTGCGCTGCATGGCATCTCCTGGAGGGCGTTGATAGTTGATCATGCCACACAAACAAGATGAGAAACTCAAACTCCTCATCGGTATTCACTCAGGTAAGATCATTGTCTTTGCTTGTGGTCGAGATACTTAAGATTGATCAATCACAAATACATCACAAGTCCATTCACAAGTACATCACAAGTCCAGTCACAAGAACATCACAAATATAGTCACAAGTACATCACAAGTCCAGTCACAAGTAAATCACAAGTCCAGTCACAAGTACATCACAAGTCCAGTCACAAGTGCATCATAAGTCTAGTCACAAGTACATTACAGTTCCAGTAACAAGTACATTACAAGTCCAGTCACAAGTTCAGTCACAAGTACATCACAAGTCTAGTCACAAGTGCATCATTAGCCCAGTCACAAGTACATTACAAGTCTAGTCACAAGTACATCATTAGTCTAGTCACAAGCACATTACAATTTCAGTCACAAGTACATTACAAGTCTAGTCACACGTACATCACAAGTCCAGTCACAAGTTCATTCACAAGTACATCACAAGTACATAACAAGTCCAGGCAAAAGTACAACACAAGTCCAGTCACAAGTACATCATAAGTCCAGTAACAAGTACATCATTAGTCCAGTTACAAGTACATCACAAGTCTAGTCACACATGCATCATAAGCCCAGTCACAAGTACATCACAAGTCTAGTCACAAGTTTAGTCACAAGTACATCACCAGTCCAGCCACAAGTACATCACAAGTCCAGCCACAAGTACATTACAAGTCTAGTCACAAGTACATCACAAGTCCAGTCACAGGAACATCACAAGTCCAGCCACAAGTACATTACAAGTCTAGTCACAAGTACATCACAAGTCTAGTCACAAGTACATTACAAGTCTAGTCACAAGTACATCACAAGTCCAGTCACAAATACATCACAAGTCTAGTCACAAGGACATCACAAGTCCAGTCACAAGTACATAACAAGTCTAGTCACAAGTACATCACAAGTCCAGTCACAAGTACATTACAAGTCTAGTCACAAGTACATCACAAGTCCAGTCACAAGTACATTACAAGTCTAGTCACAAGTACATCACAAGTCCAGTCACAAGTACATTACAAGTCTAGTCACAAGTACATCACAAGTCCAGCCACAAGTACATTACAAGTCTAGTCACAAGTACATCACAAGTCCAGTCACAAGTACATCACAAGTCTAGTCACAAGTACATCACAAGTCCAGTCACAAGTACATTACAAGTCTAGTCACAAGTACATCACAAGTCCAGTCACAAGTACATCACAAGTCCAGTCACAAGTACATTACAAGTTTAGTCACAGGTACATCACAAGTCCAGCCACAAGTACATTACAAGTCTAGTCACAAGTCTAGTCACAAGTACATCACAAGTCCAGTCACAAGTCTAGTCACAAGGACATCACAAGTCCAGTCACAAGTACATTACAAGTCTAGTCACAAGTACATCACAAGTCCAGCCACAAGTACATTACAAGTCTAGTCACAAGTACATCTCAAGTCCAGCCACAAGTACATTACAAGTTAAGTCACAAGTACATCACAAGTCCAATCACAGGAACATCACAAGTCCAGTCACAAGTACATTACAAGTCTAGTCACAAGGATATCACAAGTCCAGCCACAAATACATTACAAGTCCAGCCACAAGTACATTACAAGTCTAGTCACAAGTACATCACAAGTCCAGCCACAAGTACATTACAAGTCCAGTCACAAGTACATCACAAGTCCAGTCACAAGTACATCACAAGTCCAGCCACAAGTACATTACAAGTCTAGTCACAAGAACTTCACAAGTCCAACCACAAGTACATTACAAGTCTAGTCACAAGTACATCACAAGTCCAGCCACAAGTACATTACAAGTCTAGTCTCAAGTACTTCACAAGTCCAGCCACAAGTACATTACAAGTCTAGTCGCAAGGATATCACAAGTCCAGCCACAAGTACATTACAAGTCTAGTCACAAGTACATCACAAGTCCAGTCACAAGTACATCACAAGTCTAGTCACAAGGACATCACAAGTCCAGTCACAAGTACATTACAAGTCTAGTCACAAGTACATCACAAGTCCAGCCACAAGTACATTACAAGTCTAGTCACAAGTACATCACAAGTCCAGCCACAAGTACATTACAAGTCCAGTCACAAGTACATCACAAGTCCAGTCACAAGTACATCACAAGTCTAGTCACAAGTACATCACAAGTCCAGTCACAAGTACATCACAAGTCTAGTGACAAGTACATCACAAGTCCAGTCACAAGTACATTACAAGTCTAGTCACAAGTACAACACAAGTCCAGCCACAAGTACATTACAAGTCTAGTCACAAGTACATCACAAGTCCAGCCACAAGTACATTACAAGTCTAGTCACAAGTACATCACAAGTCCAGTCACAGGAACATCACAAGTCCAGTCACAAGTACATTACAAGTCTAGTCACAAGTACATCACAAGTCCAGCCACAAGTACATTACAAGTCTAGTCACAAGTACATCACAAGTCTAGTCACAAGTACATTACAAGTCTAGTCACAAGTACATCACAAGTCCAGTCGCAAGTACATTACAAGTCTAGTCACAAGCACATCACAAGTCCAGTCACAAGTATATTACAAGTCTAGTCACAAGTACATCACAAGTCCAGTCACAAGTACATTACAAGTCTAGTCACAAGTACATCACAAGTCCAGTCACAAGTACATTACAAGTCTAGTCACAAGTACATCACAAGTCCAGCCACAAGTACATTACAAGTCTAGTCACAAGTACATCACAAGTCTAGTCACAAGTACATCACAAGTCTAGTCACAAGGACATCACAAGTCCAGTCACAAGTACATTACAAGTCTAGTCACAAGTACATCACAAGTCCAGTCACAAGTACATTACAAGTCTAGTCACAAGTACATCACAAGTCCAGTCACAAGTACATTACAAGTTTAGTCACAGGTACATCACAAGTCCAGCCACAAGTACATTACAAGTCTAGTCACAAGTCTAGTCACAAGTACATCACAAGTCCAGTCACAAGTCTAGTCACAAGGACATCACAAGTCCAGTCACAAGTACATTACAAGTCTAGTCACAAGTACATCACAAGTCCAGCCACAAGTACATTACAAGTCTAGTCACAAGCACATCACAAGTCCAGTCACAAGTATATTACAAGTCTAGTCACAAGTACATCACAAGTCCAGTCACAAGTACATTACAAGTCTAGTCACAAGTACATCACAAGTCCAGTCACAAGTACATTACAAGTCTAGTCACAAGTACATCACAAGTCCAGCCACAAGTACATTACAAGTCTAGTCACAAGTACATCACAAGTCTAGTCACAAGTACATCACAAGTCTAGTCACAAGGACATCACAAGTCCAGTCACAAGTACATTACAAGTCTAGTCACAAGTACATCACAAGTCCAGTCACAAGTACATTACAAGTCTAGTCACAAGTACATCACAAGTCCAGTCACAAGTACATTACAAGTTAAGTCACAGGTACATCACAAGTCCAGCCACAAGTACATTACAAGTCTAGTCACAAGTCTAGTCACAAGTACATCACAAGTCCAGTCACAAGGACATCACAAGTCCAGTCACAAGTACATTACAAGTCTAGTCACAAGTACATCACAAGTCCAGCCACAAGTACATTACAAGTCTAGTCACAAGTACATCTCAAGTCCAGCCACAAGTACATTACAAGTCTAGTCACAAGTACATCACACGTCTAGTCACAAGTACATCACAAGTCCAGCCACAAGTACATTACAAGTCTAGCCACAAGTACATCACAAGTCCAGCCACAAGTACATTACAAGTTAAGTCACAAGTACATCACAAGTCCAATCACAGGAACATCACAAGTCCAGTCACAAGTACATTACAAGTCTAGTCACAAGGATATCACAAGTCCAGCCACAAATACATTACAAGTCCAGCCACAAGTACATTACAAGTCTAGTCACAAGTACATCACAAGTCCAGCCACAAGTACATTACAAGTCCAGTCACAAGTACATCACAAGTCCAGTCACAAGTACATCACAAGTCCAGCCACAAGTACATTACCAGTCTAGTCACAAGTACTTCACAAGTCCAACCACAAGTACATTACAAGTCTAGTCACAAGTACATCACAAGTCCAGCCACAAGTACATTACAAGTCTAGTCGCAAGGACATCACAAGTCCAGTCACAAGTACATCACAAGTCCAGCCACAAGTACATTACAAGTCCAGCCACAAGTACATCACAAGTCCAGCCACAAGTACATTACAAGTCTAGTCGCAAGGATATCACAAGTCCAGCCACAAGTACATTACAAGTCTAGTCACAAGTACATCACAAGTCCAGTCACAAGTACATCACAAGTCTAGTCACAAGGACATCACAAGTCCAGTCACAAGTACATTACAAGTCTAGTCACAAGTACATCACAAGTCCAGCCACAAGTACATTACAAGTCTAGTCACAAGTACATCACAAGTCCAGCCACAAGTACATTACAAGTCCAGTCACAAGTACATCACAAGTCCAGTCACAAGTACATCACAAGTCTAGTCACAAGTACATCACAAGTCCAGTCACAAGTACATCACAAGTCTAGTCACAAGTACATCACAAGTCCAGTCACAAGTACATTACAAGTCTAGTCACAAGTACATCACAAGTCCAGCCACAAGTCTAGTCACAAGTACATCACAAGTCCAGCCACAAGTACATTACAAGTCTAGTCACAAGTACATCACAAGTCCAGTCACAGGAACATCACAAGTCCAGTCACAAGTACATTACAAGTCTAGTCACAAGTACATCACAAGTCCAGCCACAAGTACATTACAAGTCTAGTCACAAGTACATCACAAGTCTAGTCACAAGTACATTACAAGTCTAGTCACAAGTACATCACAAGTCCAGTCACAAGTACATCACAAGTCTAGTCACAAGTACATCACAAGTCCAGCCACAAGTACATTACAAGTCCAGTCACAAGTACATCACAAGTCCAGCCACAAGTACATTACAAGTCTAGCCA